CAGAAACATTTAATTAAAACATTTAGATTCTGGAAGAAAAAAAAAAAAATACGGTTGGACCAATGAAGATTGGCAGGCATGTGGGTTTTAGGTGTAGAACATGTTGAAACAGCTGTCGAGAGAACTCTTGTCAAGTAGTGTTGATTACATTACATCTAAATAAAACTCAGTTGTGTCATAATGCCTTTGAATTGTCTGTTTGATGCAAGAAGATAAATTTATCTTTAACTGAAGAATTTGAGTAGGTCATGGAATTGCCCCTTCCATGGAATTGTCTTTGCAAAGTTTTCATAGTCTGCATTAAACGCTTCATATAAGAGGCAGAGTCTGGATATTATATTGTCTTTCCGAGCAGCTTTGTTATCACAAATTGTACCTGGTTTCTACAGTACATATAATACTGTACTGGATATCTTACAATTATTTTGTTAAAGATTTTCAATGCATTCTCACCCCAAGGCGTCACCTTTGACCATGCTTCAATATTTGACGTTTTAGGCGCCCTTTAGCGTCACTTACATGACGCGATCCTACGGCGTCATCTAACTGACGCTAAAGGAAAGCGTCAGTTAGGACGCGGTTAGGTTTTAGGTCTGGGGTGGGGGTATGGGTACACGCGATCCTAGGGCGTCATCTAACTGACGCTAAAGGGCGCCTAAAGCGTCAGATATTGAAGCATGGTCAAATGTGAGAATGAGAATGGGCTGACATTTTATAGCTGTCTGTTTATAGGTTTTAATGTGGGTTATCTGTAGGTTCTATCAGTGGAAGCAACAAATAAAATTGCCCTACTTTGGGCCAATTTTCCTTTTTCCAGTTAAACATAAAAAATCACCTGGTTTAATGAAAAAACATGAGTTCAAACATAATTCTGTCTAATGTGAACGTCTAATTCAAACATATGAGTGCATGGGGTACTCTTCTTTTCATTTATTTATTTATTTTTTTTGACGCTATATCTGAAGGTTTAGTTAAAGATTGTATCAGCGATTTCAGGCCCAAACATAAATGATCACATTCATCTAATCTTTCCTAACAATCCACTAGCTGCTCACCCCATAAGCAGGCCGTCCAAAAAAAACAAAAACAAAACGTGTCTTTTATGCAGCCTAGGCTTTGAGATCATGCTTATACAACCTACACCCAATGCTCATTCATACCCCATCTTCACACCTCATTTAACACAAAATGGTCTAGCTATTGCAGCTCTTATCATGTCGATACCTTTAACTCTTAAAAAAAAAGAAAACATCACTTATGGGATGTTAGAGCAGACACTATCAACAGTGTGGAGATATCATTCCTGCCTCATTACTCATGGTTTAGTGTCTCAAAATTGTTCAAATGTCAAAGATTATCATATAAAGATTATTTTCAAACGGATAGATTCACAGGCACACATTATTCTCAAGCATTTCATGAAGCTATTTTTTAGTCAGTTAATATTACTCAGTGGGATCCAAAACTATGAGATCACAAGACTTGTAGAATATTTTATGTCAACTCGGATGATTGCATCACCAGAATGAATGAAGCGAGAACGTGTGTGTACAGAGTTCACTTGCTCAGTGTCAATGATTTACTTGATTAATGATCTAAAAGATGCAGAAAATGTTATGTATTATGCATACAGCATAACATTTCTTTATTTTTTATCTTAAATTACATTTGATCAATGCGCTGGACACCACTGCGTAATGAGCAGTGATAATTGTTGCAAGTAATGTGAGTAATGTGAGAGTAAAAAAGTAATGTGTTGCAATGGTTACTAAAAAGTAACAAATTGCGTACTTTTGACATTGAGTTACACTCTTACTTTACACTCTTAAAATTGAACACGAATATGATGTTGATCAAGTTTTCATTTTTTTTTTTCAGGATATTTTGATCAATAAGATCAATAAGACATTAGCTACTAATATCTTTAATGTCACTCAATTTTTTTTTTTGTACGGATCTTAAACTATTCTACGGAAATGGTAGTGTATCAGCGATACGGCTTAACAACAGCACATTGTACATTCACCCCTGTCAGGAAACAATTCACACGCTTAAGAAACTTCATCTATATAAATATGTCATATCATTTACTCATATCTTTTTTTAAATTCCTTGACATGTCTAGCCGTCAACCAGCATCTAAAAAAGGGTTGAGTCACATTTACTCTTGGCTGAGCTGCACAAATGTACACCATTGAGGAAAAAGGCAGTCTTGAATGCAAAATGTTCACCTTAAATTGCCTCATGTCTCAAAGCACACTACATTACAATAATAATAAACGTAAACAATAAAGAGAGCCCTGACTTGGGCAATCTGATATCATTATAGCATTCTTGCCTCAGAAACGCATAGATCCAATCATGATCGGCTCAGAGTGGAATGTCACGTGTTGCTATTTTATAATTACAGTAATACAACATGGAAGAACTGTAAAAGGTGATAATGACGTGTTTGTGATGTCTGCTTGCAACTTCCACAGAAGATAATGCATATTTAAAACATTTATATTCAAGATTGCTATCAGTGTGAAGAGTGTCAACCAGTGTAACAAAAAATGTTTATGAATGTTTATCAAAGCCTAATCTAGCTTTAACCCGGAAAGGAGAATTTGTTTAACCATTTTTTTTTCTTTTTAAATTGCTTATTTTAAAGGAGTAGGTTTAAAAAAAAAATGCTGATAATTTACTCACCCCCATTGTCATCCAAGATGTCCATGTCTTTCTTTCTTCAGTTGAAAAATAAATTAAGGTTTTTGATGAATACTTTCCAGGATTTTTCTCCATACAATACACTTTACTGGCCACCAAATGGTTCAAGGTCCAAAAGACAGTTTTCAGTGCAAACTGCAAACTGTAAGGGCATTAATGATTCCAGACGGTGAATAAGGGTCGTATAAAGCAAAATCGTTTAAGATAACAAAGTTAAAGTTTTATAAGCTCAAATGATCGCCTTGCTCTGTTCTGTGATGCTCGTCCGTGACTCTCCTGTTCAAACTCAAAAGAATTTTTTTTTGAGTCATTTAATTCATTCAACGAAAGATTTGTTCATTTTGATGAACGAGTTTGAACAGGAGAGTCACGAACACGCATCACAGAACAGAGCAAGGCGAGCGTTTAAGTTTATAAAACTTAAACTTTATTTATTTTTTAAATGAGCGATCGTTTCGCTTGAAAAGACCCTTATTCATCGTCTGGTGTCGTTTAAACCTCATTGAACAGTTTACAGTCTGCACTGAAACTGTCTTTTTAACACAGTCTCATCCCAAAAAGTCATATAACTGACGTTTTGGGACGTATTTTGACCATACGTCAATATCAGCCTTTTTAGGGCCCCCTTAAACGTCGGTAGATGGCGATCCCGGGCCGTCATACAACTGACGCTTTACCTTTAACGTCAGTTAGGTGACGGGTTAGGTTTGGGTAGAGTTAGGATCCCATAACCTCATCTACCGACGTTTAAGGGGGCCCTAAAAAGGCGAATATTGACGTATGGTCAAAAGACGTCCCAAAACGTCAGTTATATGACGTCTTGGGGTGAGACCGGGTTGGTCTTTTGGACCTTGAACCGTTTGATTTCTTTTTGACTGAATGGGCATCTTGGATGAGTAGGGCCTAAATTATCAGCTAAAGTTTTTTTTTAAAAGTGAACTACTACTTTAACACTAACTTTTAGACACAAAAAGTGCTCACTCAGTGAAGTCCACAAAACTTTACGTGCTTTAAACTCACTTCGCTATTGTAAAACAAACTTTTTACAAAACTCTAAACAGTTCTCTACATTAGAAACATCGCTCAGAACTAACAGCTCGTTTGTTTCATTTGGGAAACACTGCCATTTAAATGCCACAATCATTTCCCGATTACCCACACCCAATGATCACCCTAAATGGATCAATTAGAAATCAAAGTACTACGGACCCCCTAAGGGACCTTTGCAAAAATAAAAATATACAGACTTTCACATGCTCACGGGAAACGCATCTCGTGCGCACAAGAAAACTATTGCGAAAGTTTCTTGTGAGCATGTGAAAGTCTGTATATAGTTATTTTTGCAAAGGTCACTTTCAGAGCTCCGTATTAATATGTAGTGTTTTGAGAAAGAAATACTTTTTACCCCCTTGCATTTGTTTATTGTGTGTGTGTGTGTATATATACACTGCATATATAATGAATATGCACACAAGCCACCACGTCAGAAAGTCAACATTATTTTTAAAGCACTTTGTACAGTATAGATTCTTTTCCGGCAGCTTCACAACAGTAACAAATTCATATTCTGCCGTAAAGCAGCTCTAGTGTCATTATTCAGCTCACGTCAGTTCAGTATTGATTAAGTTCAGTTCCATAACTGTGTAACTATGTTGTGCATACATGTATATACAGTGTATTTTGCTCACGTACATGTACACTCCATTGCAAACTGAACAAGCAAAAGAAACAATAGTATCGTATTACGCCAGTAGTAATTCTGAAGTGACGTAAGCTGCGTTCGTTGTTGTTACTTTTATTTTTACAGCCCGGCAGACCTTTATTTTGAGAACGCAAGAGTCTGAGCATACAAACAGAGCTCGCAGTCCTGTGACCCTATAGTTTCAAAAACTGTGCAAGAATTTATGAAAAACTGTAAAAGTGATAATCACCCAAAAAGAAAAATGCTGTCATCATTTACTCAACCTCATGTCGAGACAAGCCAGAATGACCTTCTTTCTTTAGTTGAACACAAAAATATGGCATTTTGAACAGTTTATTGAACTGTTACCTGTTTTGTCCATACAATGAAAGACAATGGGGTCCAAAACAACATCTCTAATTGTATGGACAAAACAGTTAACATTAGAGTCTTCTTTTGTATGCGACAGCAGGAAAATAGCCACAGTTTCGGAGCAACATATGGTAAATCGTTCGTTTTTGGTTCGACTATCCTTTTAACATAAAAAACAAAAAAACAGACATACTAAACCCCCTTGAAGCAGTTCAGTTTTAAAAAGTGACATACCATCTTTTTGAAGCAAGTCTTTTGATTCAATAATCCTTTATTTTCAGTCATTGGACCACTCAGGAATGAGAAAATACAGTATTTTCCACCAAAATCCCATTGTATACTGTGAGTTAACACATAACCTGACTAAATAAATTATAAAGAAAATAAGAGAAGAAAAAAGTCTTCCAACACGTCTTTGAGGTTGTGCTCACAACTCAGCCTACAGAGTTTGCATTCGGTATGGTACACTGTACAATGCAGCATGAAGATTGGAAAAACATTGATAAAATAAGACCACTGAGACAAACACAAATGATAAATAAATAGAAATGAACAAGACGAATTAAATAGACGTGGAAAAAAACACATTCGTTCAAACACTAGTCCTTTGTCCAAATCATCAAAATGATCCTGAATCACATTTAAAAGGGTCCTTGCAGACAAATGGAGGAAAAAAACACTGTCCACCGTCGTACCTTACAGATTCCTAAAAAGTCTTTCCACTTCGCAAATTCTTCGGAAAACACGCTCCCCGTGGGTCATTTTACGATTACATGGCTTTCATGTATACAATATTGTGTCAAAGATTTGATCAGTGTTCGTGAAACTATGCAGCAGAGGAAATCCAGTCTTTTTGTACATTCCTGCGTAGAATCCAGCTCTACACAGTTAGATCTGAAACTGTCTCCACACTCAAACACTGTGCCTCTCTCTCTCTCTCTCTCCCCAAGCACACGCATACACATACACCCACTCACACTCATAAACACAATAAGGCTGAAACGGGTGCTAGTATTACAGGTATGACTGTTTTGTAGCATGTTCAGTTCTGTAACAGTGGCAGGAATCGAGCCAAGAGGAATTCTTAGCAAGACTGCATTCCAAAGAAATTCAAAGTCCCACCATTGATATATGTATGAAATAGTCTCTGTCGAAGACAAACGAACACACATAGGTTCACCTGGCAGTCTTTGTTTCCGTTGGAATTTTCATTGCTGATTGAATGAACTTCATCTGTTTTCTATTGAAAATCCCAAAGCCATAATTTCAGTGTAATTGGGTCAGTCTGAAAACATATCGAGTTTCCTATACAAATAGCGGTTTTCTGTAAATTTCCTCTGTAATAGTGGAAGGGAATCATCTTTCCTGTATGTAGAAATATTAACATCCATACACACAAAGTTTAGAGGCTCATTTGAGAGGCAATGTATTCGCAATTCATCGATTTTTGTGTCAACCGCGAAATAACATGTTAATGGCTTGTCTTGTATTTCCTTGAGTCCTATCTAAAATGTCATGGTGATGTCATTTAAGAAGCAATGGGGAGCTAAAAACTGTAGTGTGTAGAATCAAATAAATAAGTTAGCTTTGGCTCCCAGGCCATCTTCTTTCACTTATCAACAGAATTAACTGTATCATTCACCTGAAAAATGCCATTTTGCTATTTCACTCACTCTCATGTTGTACCAAACCTGTATGACTTTGTTTCTTCTGTGGAACACAAGATAATAGATGCTATTTTGGACCCCGCCTACTTTCGGTATAAGGACAGTGGTACTTGTACTTCAAAATATCTTTTATGTTCCACAGAAAAAAAAAAGAAAGTCATACAGGTTTGGTACGACATGAGGGTGAGTAAATGATGACAGAATGTTAATTGTTGACTGAACTCTCACTTTAAAAGATGAGGCAATCGATGACTTCACGCTTTGTACATGTTGGCGGCGGTGGCGAGTGCTAACTGCCCATTGGCCGCGACCACACACGGCTCCTCCTCCAGTAGTCCATTGGGATCGGCGTGCGGGATGCTATCGTGGTAGCTGCTGAAGCTGATGTTGTCCTCCTTCAGCTCAATGGTCCAAAACGGGGCATTCAGTTTTCGGTTGCGATACTCACGATAGGTATACACGCCTCCGACGAAACCCATGAGGAGAACGACGACCACAATGATGACGGCCAGAATGATGACGTTAAACTGCGTCCAGGACACTACTGTTAGGGCAGAGGCTGTGCTGTTGTGTCCCGCGGAGTCTCCCGTGCCGGACTCCAGGGTCGGTAGGCTTGGGTGGGTGGAGGGGGAAGTGAGGAGACGGGAAGGGGGTGTAGAAGAAATGGAACTTGTGGATTTGGGGATTCGTGTTGTGGAGGTTTTGATGTCTTCAGTCGGGGATAATCTTACAGCTGAGAGAGAGAGAGAGAGAGAGACAGAGAGACAGAGAGTCAATGATTAAAATGGTTGCAGACAGAGACATAAAAGTATATATAAAAAAATAACGCAATTAGTTAGGTATTCAAGATTACGATCAATCTTGATGCAAATCTACTCATAAACCAAACCAAAGCATGGATTAGGACTGCATCTAGGCCTAGTTTCTTTCACTATAAATTGATCTACTTATTTCTCTATTATTATATGAGTTGTAAACAAAGATTATTGAAGAATAAATATACTATTTCAGTCTTTCTATTTCAAAATATCACATTTATTTTAATGTGCTTCTTGTTTCTTTGTAATTAATTGTGAAATAAACTAGAAATTTAAGTAAAAACTGTTTCAAAATAAAGGGATACTCCACTTTTTATGGAAATAGGCTCATTTTACAACTCCCCCAGAGTTAAACAGTTGAGTTTTACCGTTTTTGAATCCATTCAGCCGATTTTCTGATATTTAGAAGAATATCAGTAACCAGACAGTTTCTGGTCTCATTGACTTCCATAGTAGGAAAAAAATATACTATGGAAGTCAATGAGACCAGAAACTGGTTGCTGATATTCTTCTAAATACAGTGGTATGAATAAGTTTTGGCACCCATGCTAAAGTTGCCTAAAAAGAGGAATAAAAAATCATCTTTTGGGTATTGATCTTAATGCCTTAATTAGAAAAACGAGGAAAACTCCAACCTTTAAGGACACAAATTTTCTTTGTGAATGAATAATGTATCATAAATAAATAAATGTTTTTCCTTAAAATACAGGGATGCATAAGTCTGGGCACCCCTATGTTAAATTCCCATAGAGTCAGGCAGATTTTTATTTTTAAAAGCCAGTTATTTCATGGATCCAGGATAATATGCATCCTGATAAAGTTCCCTTGGCCTTTGGAATTAAAATAGACCCACATCATCACACACCCTTCCACCACACCTAGAGATTGGCATGGTTTTACTTCAGTTAGCCTAATAGCTGGTTTGATTTGCATTGAAAGATGATCTTATGGAAAGTACCCCATGCCAATCTCTAGGTGTGGTGGAAGGTGTGTGATGATGTGGGTCTATTTTAATTCCAAAGGCCAAGGGAACTTTATCAGGATGCATATTATCCTGGATCCATGAAATAACTGGCTTTTAAAAATAAAAATCTGCCTGACTCTATGGGAATTTAACATAGGGGTGCCCTGACTTATGCACCCTGTATTTTAAGGAAAAACATTTATTTATTTATGATACATTATTCATTCACAAAGAAAATGTGTGTCCTTAAAGGTTGGAGTTTTCCTCATTTTTCTAACTAGGGCATTAAGATCAATACCCCAAAGATGATTTTTTATTCCTCTTTTTAGGCAACTTTAGCATGGGTGCCAAAACTTATTCATACCACTGTATCTGAAAATTGGCTGAATACATTCGAAAACAGTATAACTCAACTGTTTAACTCTGGGGGAGTTGTAAAATGAGCCTATTTCCAAAAAAAAAAAAAAAAAAAAAAAAAAAAAAAAAGTGACATATTATATATATTTTTTCAGTGACATATTATATATATTTTTTATTTGCAGATCCTCATTTTTCTCTTATATTTCATTCAAATTATGTTTCCCTCCAAGTAATTTAAAAAGGTTAAAAAGACTGTGGCAAGACTATCTGCATAAGTAACATTAAAATAAAAATAAAATTATTTTTACATAATATTAGCCTATTAGGATATATTTAAAGACATGAGCTTTTGCATATTGCTCGAAAATTGCAAGTCTCTACTATTTCAGTGATTGCATCCTTTGAAAATCCATTTCATAATCTAAATTCAAGATCCCCAACAGGAAGCAAATAAGGTCACGCTTTTAAATTAGTTTTATCTCCTGCTATTAGTCACATTTGTCATATTTCCATGTTCGTTTGGACGTCACACCTCCAAATGAAAGCATAAAAGAAGTTGAAGAGGTCATGAATTGAGAAATACATTTTTCCTTGATATTTCGACATATAAGAAGTCATTATACTACAGAAATATCCTGTACGTTTCAGAACTCAAAACTTTCTCATATGTCCAAAAATAGTTTTTGGTGAAACCAAGCAACCAAAACTACTTGTTTTGGATGTTGTCACATTATGACGTAATACAGTAGTGTGACAAAAGACCGCCTCTGCAAAAGAAAATCAATGCCTATTGGCGCGTGTCACTAAGTGGTATACAAAAGAAGCAAACAGAATTATTTCAGCAACAAAACAATAAAAATACCTCTGAAGATTTCAAGATTTTTTGAAGTACCAAGTTGTGCCAAGTTCCAAGTCATTTGGAGGTGTGACGTCTGAACGAATATGGAAATATTACAAATGTGACTAATAGCAGGAGGTAAAACTAATTTAAAAGCTTGACCTTATTTGCTTCCTGTTGGGGATCTTAAATTTAGATTATGAAATGGATTTTCAAAGGATGCATGGAAATAGTAGAAAATTGCAATTTTAGAGCAATATGCATAAACTCATGTCTTTAAATAGATCCTAAAAATATAATGTAAAATAATTTTAGTTTTATTTAATTGCTACTTATGCAGACAGCCTTGCCACAGTCTTTTTAACCTTTTTAAATGAACCCTACCCTAGTTACTGTTGCTACGCGTGTCAAGCTTTCACTCCAGGCACGTCTATTTCAGTGTGTATGCACCGGTGTCAGTTCAAGTAAGCCAGATATGCACAGATTCTGTGCAATATGCTGTATGTAATGTATCACGATGACCCACAAATTGAGTATTTGTGCTAAATCAACACAGATTTGGCTTACACAAACTTCCCCAGCAAAGTGAGTAAACATAATAAGTATGCCGAATTGGCTAGTGATTTGATAGCGTTACACAACAGTTGATTTTTACCCGCATTTGGTGGGTTGGAGGGTGTTAATAAAAAAAAAAAAAAACGTTTAAAACATACAATACAAATATACTCATTTCACTGTCAATCTAATGTTAGACACCATAATACATAAAAGAAGGCGTTGTCAAAGGTGTGAACACAGGAAGTCTACACAAACAATAAACAACTGTCCTCAACGTAGATAGGGCCTACTTTACCTCAGAAAGGTAAAAGTGCGAGCGGTGTCATAAAATCATTAAAAATTATCCAGACAACACCAAAGCTTGCATTCATTATTCACGTCTCATGAGATCCTATAGCAACCACTTCAGCAGCAAATTCCTTTAAATAACATTGACATAACATCCGTTATGAGTTACTGATAAAAAAAATACAAATAAAATGCAGTGACATGTTATTTCATCATTGGGACATCAGACTCCCATAGTCCATTTATTAACCATTGATACTAGAGATGTACCGATACTAAATCTCTACCCCAATACTGATAGCTCATTATTCAGAATGATATGATCTCTGCCAAGATCAATAGTACAATCTCAACCAACTAATTCTTTAAACTATACAGGGAACCCTCTCATTCGGTACTGTGACATATCAGACTCAGGGAGAGCAGAAGGATCCAACTACAGTACAGAGATTTATTTGTAACAACAGGATAAATCATAAAGTTACAAGCCAGGTAACAAAGTCCAGAGTCAATCACTAAGCAAATGGTCCAATTAGGCAACCAAATCCAAAACACAAAACCGAGCAAGTAACAGTATAACAAGACAGATAGGCCTAATCCAAAATCAAGGCAAGACTAGTGATGGCAATTTCAAAATACTGCATCATGACGCTTCGAAGCCTTTACAAATCGCTTGTTTCGAATCAATGATTCGGAGCGTGTATCAAACTGCCAGTTACATGATTTCAGTAAACGAGGCTTCATTACTTCATAATTGTTTCGAAATATTTGAGGGAGATGATTTCGGTCAACCCATGAATCATGAGGATTCACTGAGAAACATTAAACAAGTGTCTGTGGGTTTTATCTGATCACTGATCAGATTCATATACATTTGTATTCTGTAGACTATTTAAGATATTAGTATAATTAAAATGAATAATGGTAGTTAATAGACTTATTGGCCTGTTTAGCTGAGCCATTCATAGAACTAGAACAAAACAAACCCTGACAAGAACGTTCACTTTATAATCTTATTGGATGATTACATTTGAAAGATTTTACTTTTAATAAAACATTAGCAATAGATTTGTAAAAGGAGTTTTTATGCATGTTTGGCCCGGGTTTTTGTTGCATTTACACTGTTCGGACCACTAGGGGTCACCATTGAAACAGGTAGGGCACATTTGCTTCAACTTTTTCAGTGTTTCACAAAGCCTCAATCTGCCCACCACTAAGCAAGTCAACAATCTCTACGGTCTTCAAGTGGGCACCTTCTGTCCTTAGTGTTTCATCGACTAGCCCACGACACCTCAAGAGACATCCCAGAGTCACCCCCTCAACTCAGCCCAGCTTACTGACCTCTACATCCCTCCTGCTGCTGAGACCTAACCACAATCTCACAATCTCTCCGCAACCCAACCATACGTGCCAACCCGTTTGACTAAGGCTGTCGAAACCCACTGGTGCGTTAATATGCAGTTTCAGTGGCAACGGTTCAGTATGGCATACCACCTACCAATATCTGCCCAAACATCACCCGTCATTCATGCAATATACACAGGAACGTAATGACTGTAAATACTATGCAACCTATGCAAATAAACCAACAGACTCTTCAAGTTTTTAGAATTCTCTGAAACCGTAGCGTGGTGGCCTGTAGAATTTTTCCGTCTCAACCACAGCCAGGTGCTGCTCCTCTCTGCTCCTTTAGATAAGTTCTTTACTGTGCGACACATCTCTTGGAGAAGTTTAGAAACGCTGCAGCTCCGTTTTGCGTTTTGAATCTCCAGAGGGCGTTTTAGTGAAGACGGGACAAAAAGGAGGACTTTAGAAACGCTGACGCAGAGGCTCAAGCTTGAGTCTTGGGTGTCATCAGTCATGACGTGTCCTTCCCTGATTCGTCAGCCACTGTTTACACCGGTGTTCTGTCGATTTTTGCTGCCTTGTGGAAAAATGCTACCGTAGCGCGAATTGATCACAGAATGCCGATTAAAGTCGTATGAAATACAATTCTAATACAATTCTAAGTTATGAGTAGCTACTGTATACTGTAGACTACTGTTTTTATTTTTAAAACGGTGTGAAAAGTAAAAATTATCATAAAATATTCATCTTTGACTTGTCAAAGTACACCTTTTCTTATAGTAACTGAAACTTTCAGTTATTCCTTTTCAGCTGGCTGACCGTACAAATATTCATATGGTAGTAAGCATTTTTTAAAGGGAAATTATACATTATAACAGGAAAATGTACCTTTTGTGTAAAAAAAAAAAAAAAAAAAAAAAAACTGTGAGTCTGCACATGCGCATAACCGGTAAGTAGGAAATCTCGAGCATGAATTGTCAGAACACCGGCACGAGCATGCCCAGTGTTGGTGAATGGTCACGTGATTCGCGTTTTCAGTCGTATTAATGTGGACGGAGATCAATTCTAATAGCAGACTGATCTCATGAAGTAGCGTGTGTATGACACACCAATTCGTATTTCCATTTTTGACGTGCTATCAAGACGCATAATCGCTTTTCAGCGTGTTTATGAACGCCGTTGACTTGACGTTATTACTGTATATATAAATATATGACTTACCTCAACCCCGTCCCTAAACCTAACCGTCACTGGGGTTAATGGCATTTATGACTCTTCCCTTACCATCCTAGGACAAAAAAAGATCGCTCCCCAGATGTAGATCTACATTTTGCTTCGTTTCGCGCGGACATTTGACGGGGTGTACAGACACGCAGAATCACTCGGGCGTTAATGGCGTAGACATACACGCATACCCGTGGATACACGCGGATAGCTCAAAATGCGTAGAGATAACGCGCCACTTGACTCGAAAGTGGCGTGTATGTTTACGCAAAAGTCATGATGCTAAAATGCTGCTGTGATGTTTAAACAAAAAACGCAGCAGTCTGGACGAGGCCTAATGAATGATCTGTAGTGCTTATTTTATTAACTTATGCGTGTATGATCTGAAAGCATTGCTTGATTTTGAGTGAAATGGTTTTGAAGCAATTGTTTGACTTTACCAGAAGAGTCAATGGTTTTGTGAGTTTCGGTTGAAAATTTGGATTTGTGTTTAATGTTGAAAATGGAAATGAAGGTTTCATGAACGTGTCTAAGCGATTGTGAAAAAAGAACAGAAAAACACTAAATGAAAAGCATGTTATATTACACCCAGAAGAGTTGTGCAACTGCAAAATCAAGGACAGTGAGAGACTCATTCTGGCTCAGTATCAAGTTTTCATGATGGGTTCAGACTGAGGACTTTGTCCACATCACAGGCAATGTCATCTCTTCATGCCAAGGGAAAAACCCTAAAGCCAGATAAGCCTTGACTACACACCTTGCTCTTTCTCCTCCTTCACCACCTCTAATACACATATTCTTCCTCCTCTCCCTCTTATATTGTTTCCATCCATTATTGGCGTCAACATTCAGTGCAACATTTTGAGTCAATTTTGCCACTCTGAACTAAGTTGGTCTAGTCACATCATTAGAAATAAGTGTGAACAATTTAGAGTCATTGGGTCTCATTCATGAAATTTCTGTGTAAATCGTGTGTAAAGTGGTTCTGGCGTAAATTTTCGGATTCATTAAAATGTTAGTTGGTACGCAAGAAATCTACACCTGCTCCCAGCCACGCGTAAATGGTGCGCTTAACATCCGAACGTTTTGCTCGTTATTGAACGTTAAGGCTGCATTTTAATTCACCTTAATCGGGTACATATTTAAACAGCATTTTGAAAAAATATTTTATATAGTAATTACATACGGTTTTTCTTTTCACTTCTTTTATGAGAGCCAGTAATAGCAGATCTGGTGATCGATGGTGGTCCTTCTCCGGTTTGAATATGATTTTTCCGGAGTGAACTAATTCGTTTTTTGCTGTCAAGCTTAATGTCGAACCATTGTCTTCTCACCTCTGGGACTGTACGATTAACAGATGAAACTCCATTAACTACATCTGTAATATGCTGCCAAGCTTCCTTTTTTTAGGACCTGATATGCCACTATGTACGCTTGAAAATAAAATTGGCGTTTTGAATGAACTTCTAATAACAAAACTTCAATTTCTGCATCTGAGAAATCTTTCTTTTTCATTCATGTTATGCGGGTTGGGCGGGATTTATGGTAATTGAGAATGAACGTGCACGCGCATCCCATTTACGACTAACACACATTTCACTATCACATCTGACGTTTACAAAGTATTCGTGAATCCGGAGAAGAGTTTTCGGGAAGGTCTCTTTACGCGCAAATCACTCTCGTATATTTACGAATGTTTCATGAATGAGACCCAATGTGTATAAACGATGACAACTGTGTCGTAGTTTTGTTTTACTTTTGCCTCGTGTAGTGACACAAATGTGTCACCGTGCGAATGTGTTTCAATGAGTGAAAATGTGTTTAGAGTTTTGCAAAATAAAAAAAAATGTGCATGAGAATCAGTGTCGTACTGTGGGAACGTGATTAACGTTTTGCAGAAATAATGATTTATTCGACAAAAATGGTTTAAGCTATTGAGAATTTGGTTCAGAGAATGGAATTTGGTGTTTTAGCAATTCAGAAAAAACGTAAAGGACAGTAACCCAATCAGTACTGTATGGACATGTTTTTAACTGTGTTAAAAGACACTAGTCATACCTCTCATGGTGCAGTTGTGATAGCGGGCGTCCCCCGTGTATCCACGTGTGCAGATCTCACAGTGTGGTCCTGTTGTGTGGTTGATACAGCGGTGGCAGTGCCCAGTCTCAGGGTGGCATATTTGTGGCATGGAGCGAGGGTCTGCGTTCCCATTACAGTCGCAGGACACGCACACGCCTGCCGATTTAAATAAACCGTCTGTGCACACGTCACATGTCGGGCCAGAGAAGCCAGGCTTAAATTCGTCACATATGGGTCGTCCATTGGAATCTGTAAATGAGATTGAACACACATGATCAACAAACAGTTCAAGTTTATTGTCATATGCATATTAGTACAAAGTACCACAGCAATGAAATACAATGTGCCTTGGCACTCTCTCAGCACCAGTCAATAAATAACATCCAAGCACGGTAAATATAGCAACTATGCTCCTTCCTTTTGTATCATCCAGTAGCCTTATTACCTGAGGGTAAAAACTATCCCTGAAACGTGATTTGCGTGTTGGGATGCTTTGTAAACGTCTCCCTGAAGGAAGGTGGGAGAAGAGATTATGTGCAGGATGATTAGAATCCTGCATTGTGTCCTACCACAGTAGTATAGTGATCGTCTGCAAATTTCACAATACTATTAATGGGATGTTTTGCAATAGAGTCATAGAGATTGCATAAGGCATTTGTAACTTATTTTATGGAGTATTACAAAGAAGTAGTGTTCCCTTCCTAATGCTTGACTCATTTTGATGTATAGAGGGCCTCAAAGGTATTTGGACATTTGCGCCACACTTAAAAAGTTATAAATGTCTTCTGGCCACTTCCTCTTGTCACTGCCCTATGAAACCATATTTTATAAGAGACCGGTGTGAAGTTTAAGGGAAGGGATCTGACTTTATACCTCTACAGCTATATAATATATATATATATATATATATATATTTTCAATATATATATATATATATATATATATATATATATATATATATATATATATACATACATACAGTACATATATATATATATATATATAGTATATATATAAAGATCTGACTTTATACCTCCAAAGCTATATATATATATATATATATATATATAAAATAGTTCTAAGTAAAATGCTAGAATCGTGAATTAATAGTTTTATTATTCATGCATTGAAATTCAGACAATTTTACGCATAACTTGAGTAAATTGAGTAAATTAGTATTTTTTGGGGACAATAAGTAATTCCAACTCCAACAACAAGAGGGAGCCAAAGCACCAAATTTCAAGCCTGACATCATATTCTACAATGCAGTGATTATAAAACATGCAGAATAACATAAAAATTAAGCAGTAATTAAGACTATTTTTTTAATTTACTTTCAATATAATTTACTTAATTAAAAAAAAAAATGTTGTTTTTTTTTTAACACGAACATCAGTCAGAAAAAAAAGTTTGTAATAGTGACATTTTGGTTCTTAGCCCTTAACCCAACTTGTCAACCACCCCTGAAAAAAGTAAAATTAAGATAAATGAATAAATTATAAATGTAAAATGAATCCAAAAATGTAAATCCATACAATTTCATTAATAAAAAAAATTACACATTGTAGAATAAATTACAATGGGATTTAATGATTACCATATTCATGTTTTTTGTAGTAATGCCACAGTACCATGTCCAAAAACTGCCATGTCACACACACACACATTTACATAGCTATCTAAATGGGAACATAGTACTGTACAATTTGTATATTCTATCCCCTTACACTAACCCTACCCATCACACAAAACTTTCTGCATTTTTATTTTTTTAAAAACCTTTAATAACTTTATTATTATACCAGATTTGCAAATGAGGACGTCTCTAAAGGGAGGTTTTTGGATATTTTGTCAGGTTTTGGTCACTTCTGGGTACAAATTTGTTCCCAAAATATAGTTAAGTAGGTACGCACACACACAACATAGCTGTTGTCGGCTCTGAAATATTTATGATAGGAAAGAAAAACACACTTAGCAGGATGTGTGAATGAGTGCACTGGATGAACATTCTGACCCGCCTGACACTCACACTCACTGTCTGACCTACAACTGCCTGCTACCAGGTTTCGTATCTACAAAATGATGTTCAGAATAAATATGAAATCTTCCACAAACAAGCTTCTCTGCAGTTTTGATAGTCATGATGACCCCACTGATCTGTTTTCTTATTGGGCGCTGTTGCCAGGACAACCCCCTCCCTGAAGCACATATCTCTCCTCACTGCCTCAGCCTGTGACATGCACAAGTCTGGAGCGAATCAGAGAGACAGACACACTGCCGGGCAGTGACAGACGGAAGTGGCCAGAAGGCAGAGGAATTGATTTGGGCACTCCTCCCATTCCTGCCATGAGAACCCCTCGCCCGTGCCTGTGCCAGCTTCATGATGCCAACACATGAGGGTTTACCAACATCAGGGAAACTAACTAGTATAGAAATGCACACACACTTGGGCTTTTTTTGACATTTGTCAGTTGTCATTTGACATCACAATTATCTATCTATCTATCTATCTATCTATCTATCTATCTATCTATCTATCTATCTATCTATCTATCTATCTATCTATCTATCTATCTATCTATCTATCTATCTATCTATCTATCTATCTATCTATCTATCTATCTATCTATCTATCTATCTATCTATCTATCCGTATTTTTTCTAATCACCATAAACCTAAAGACACATAAAACTATAGAACAAATTGTTATTAATCAATTTTTTACAACCTGTTTTAAAATCATTTTATCTCATTTTATTATTTTGTATTATTTGATATTGTTGTCTTCAGTTATTTATTTCTTATAAATATCATATGAATGTGTATTTAAATGAGCAAATTATTTATTACATTATATTTACATTTGTGTACTATTTTTCTCTTAATTTTTTCGTGGACTCCCATATCAAAACTTCACGGGGTCATTAAGTCTATTTGCAACTAAACGTCACACCTTTTTCCCCACATAAAAACATTAAGATTTCCATTTTTTTCCATTTTTTTAAAGACTTTTTTAAAAAAAAAAAATCAGCAATGCCTCATAATAAAAAAGCAGGTAGTAATTTAGCAGTTCCAGGGACATTCCAGTATACTTACTATATTTATATATAGAAGCACTTCCCTTGGAGAAATCTAAAGTTAAGCTTTTGTCGCACAGATCTCACCTTTTTATGGAGTGGTGTAATGGTTAAAAGATCTGAGCTGACGATTGAAAATTTGTGATTATCAATGTGTCAACAGGCCCACATCTGCGCCTCTCGACTTTCACGACGAGCAGATGTGGGCCTGTTCACACATTGTTAATCGCGTGATGTTCTGCTTCATCTCCCTCTTTTTACACTCCCTTTCATTTTCCCTCTCTCTTCTATATAGATATCGAAATAATTTCAAAAATATTGAATATTCTACGTTGTTACGCCCTGAGCCTAATGTTAATTTGTGTGTACTACTTTGGCTGATCTGATTCTCTCTCTCTCTCTTGGAATAGGCTCCTCCTCTGCACACCTGCGGGTGCGGAGGTCGATCACCTACGATTTGTTCCCATCGCGCCGTGATTGCTTCGTTCACTGTTTTAGCTCTGTCAAGAGCTTGGCGTGTCCTGGAGGAGAAGGGCATGAGTGGACGAACTGTGCGCGCCATGATGTTTCTGCCAGCCACTGATAAGCTGTTTCCATGTTGTTTGTTTCAGTGTCTTGTGGGTCTATGGTTGTTAATGTCTGTCAATAGTATCTTTAATAATAAATTGTTAAACTGTTATATCTTGCATTGAGTGTTTTTATGTTGCTTACCCACTCCTTTAACGAGCACTTCAATAGTGGGGTTCGTAACAACATAATGTAAAGTCCAATGATCATTATCAGTATAAATATTATATGATGTGCAGGCTGTACCTTATGTCTTACATGTTTGACCTGTAAATATATAAATAATATGGAGTACATTTATATAAGAGTCCTGACCTTTCAGTGCCCTCTCTCTCTCTTTCCTCCTCAGGCTCCGCTGACCGTAAATGTAAAGTGACAACCCAAAGCCGCATAACCATGGCTGTTGCTGTGCGATTGCATCCAATGGAAGAGAAGCTGAGATGAAAACGAAGTCTTTGATTGGCTCCATTGGTAACATAACATTTTTCAATTGTAAGTAACCAAAATTTAAACCATCGTCAGGTATCAATCCATCAAGAAATGAACGACTCCCACATGCTAACGGACAACTCAATCATCCTAAAGCAATAAAACTCCAGGTACAAGCCAACAGTTACTTGCAGCAACCGTCAGGAAACTTATATAATGAACTATCAGATTTTGAGCGTAGATATTGTATTTTTGGCCCAATCAAACGGCCTTGACCCTTAAAGGTAACACATAATCTCTGAATTAACCCTATTTACTTTCTACACACACCACCGGGCAAAGTTTGGAATAATGTTTTTGAAAGAAGTATTTTATGCTCACTATTAAAATATTATTACAATTTAATAACTGTTTTCAAATGTAATATATTTTAAAATGCAGTGCATGTATGATATGAAGATTTGCTGCTCAAAAAACATTTATTTTTCTTATCAATGTTGAAAACAATTATGCTGCTTAATATTTTTGTGGAAACTATAATACACTACTACATTTGGGAAGGGAAGTTAAAAAAACTATTCAAGTTAAAAAACTTTTAGTCAGTAAGGACCCATTAAATTGATTTGAATAAATACATGATAATATTTTTTTATTGTTTTACTGTATTTTTGATCAAATAAATGCAGATTTGGTGAGCTAAAAGACTGAATGTTTCCAAAAACATTAGACTGGTAGTGTAAACGTCAAGATCCATCAGTGAGAAAATAAAGCAAAATTGAACTTTCTATGTCTTCCAGTTTTCTGCCCTCCTGAATAATTCCCAGGCACTTAAAGGACACTATGTGCTGAACCCTGTCAACATGTCAGAGAGAAGCAGACCCACCGAGATGGCAGCTGCCGCTGGAGGTCTCAGAGGAGCAGGGACAAGGCAGACAGGCGTCCGCGGACCCCTCGCCAGGACGCCGGTAAAAGTTCACCAGGCACTCCTCACAGTTGTGGCCCTGAGTGTTGTCCTGACAGTCCAAACAAACACCTGAAACACCAGGAGAATATACAGAACAATTGATCATTAGCAATAGTATAGACAGAATAGGACACTTCCTGGTAGTCTACTGTAAATCATTATATAAGGGGAGGAAAGTAAATCATTATCTAACTATAGCTTAGCACAGTGAGACTTCAAATAACAATAAGAGACTTCAAAAAGCAATAATTCTGCTGTTTAAGAGAGGAGCCCATTACTAAAGTTTAAAGTGCTCTGATTAATACATTAAATGTGTACTGGGTGATTTCTTTTTGATGATTAGGCTCCAGTCTGAGAAACATTGTATTAGTTCTCCAATTAGCACACACACACACATACACACAAATAAAAAAATATTGTTGGTTTAACTTAAAAATTAAGTAACCTGGTTGCCTTAAATTTTTAAGTTCATTGAAATGGAAAAATTGAGTAAATACAATGAAGGATATTGATTTAATCATCAGAAACTCAAAATATTATGTTGTATGAACTACATAAATTATTTAAGTTGATATGACAAAAGAAAAAATGTTGTGATTACAAATCATGTGTGTGTGTGTGTGTGTATATATATATATATATATATATATATATATACTGTATATATATATATATGATAGTGATTGGTTGCACTGTGTTTGAAGCCATTGTAAAATAGTACATACACCATAATATGAATTTAGAACAGCTAATGGGTTTTTTTATGAACTCCACTTTATGTTGTGTCTAACAACGGCCCTTAGCTGTCCTACATTCCCTGTAAACCGTTCCCTGTAAAATTTATGTAGTTCATAATTGCTTAAATATTGTATATAAACCAATGTTGCATGCAATTTCATGCTTAAGTAATTGAATGCAAATTAACAGATAATATTGAGCTTTAAGTGATTTAATCTGTTTATAAATATTAATGAAAACATCAAATTGTTACGCTTCTTTCAAGGGAATATGAATATCGATGTTTGATATGAATATGAAATCTTGTGTTATTATATATTTTCCATTACTTATGTTCACTTTGCATGTCGGAGTAAAATTTTTATTTTTCATTTTTTGTTTCATTTAGATGAAAAAAATGTCGCTTCAGCTTTATCACGTCAATCTGCACGTTACAGTTATCCAGTAAGTGTTTTGCGGGGAGAAAGAAAGAAAGACCAAAAGGCTTTGTGCAAATGCACACTATTCTTCTGGCTCTGTGAGTTACTGCTCGCCTCGTGTGTGTGTGTGTGGTATTATGCTGCGGGGCCGGTGTGAGTCTATGAACTGTAAGCAGTCTCAGGAGATGCTGATTGTGTTTTATGACTGAGGAGGGCTGTAAATCTGACTGTGGCTCTCCGCATCGGGGAAAAGGGTACCAGCTACCATCTGCACACACACCGCAGAGAGGGAGGGAGAGAGAGAGAGAGACAGGGACAGATGGGTTTCTAGACACATGCACTTGAACATGCAGTTGCCAAACATGTCTATGGCATCAGTAGACTGAGGTCCGGGTGAAATGATTTAAGACAAACACGCCTACACTTCTCAGATGTCAGCAGGTTTGCTTAACAAATTAACACACACACACTAAAGCATGAGCATTATGTTGATAAGGTTTTTTGGTTCGGAATTCAAAATTGAGGTTAATTAAGCCTTGGTTGCCTAGGATACAGGGAGGAAAAGAGAAAAGAGAGGGAAGTGTGGAGGATGTTGTGATGAATCGCTCTAGGTGAGTCAATCTCAAATCTGCAGATATTAGTTTAAAGAAATAGTTCACCCAAAAAGAAAACCAATGTTTTTTTATTCATCTTCATATCATTAATAAAAATAAAAAGAATCATCTTCTTGCACCAAATATATATGAATTAAAAAAAAAAATAATAATCACAAAATAAATATTTATAATTAATTATTAATTACTTTTAAAAATCTAAATCTAGATATCATCTGTTTTATTATGTGACTATATTAACATCCCAGTAGTTTATTTTGTATAAACAATGTTTTATATTATATTATATTATTATATTATAATATATTATGTTATGTTATAGATTCACTAAAATTGCATAATATTTCATTCTTGAGTATATGAATGCAAATTAACAGATCATATTGAGTATTATGTGATTAAATAATGTTTATCAAATCAAAGCTCCAAATGTATTTTTTACATTGAGAACTCCCTGGAAGGAAGTTTTTATCTGATTTTAAATTTGATTCATATTTTGTTTTATAATAAAAGGAAGTTTTGTGTTTTTATATCTATAGCCCTGTTTATACCTGGTATTAAGATGCAGTTTGTTGGAAGAGGGAGACACACGTGTGTTTACAACTGTTTGGGTCAGTAGGTGAAGAGAAGACGGTCTTTTGTGGCTGCCTGTTTCAATGCATTCGACCACATGAGCGTTTACACTACGAAAGCAGTCCGGTCTAATGCATTTTCGAATACTACTTTGAGTAATGATAAAGGACGGAGTAAGATTTGTTTTACAAACTTTAATGCCTATGTGCTATTATTGATACAGATCCCAAATTAGAAATATACACATTGGTTTGTTGATGAACATACACTTGTAAAAGGAGTAGTTCACTTTTCCAAAAATTTTGCTGATAATTTACTCACCCCCATGTCATCCAAGATATCCATGTCTTTCTTTCTTCAGTCGAAAAGAAATTAAGGTTTTTGATGAAAACGTTCCAGGATTTTTCTCCATATAATGGACTTCAGTGGGAACCAAACGGGTCAAGCTCCAAAAGAAACTTTAAGTACAAACTGCAAACTTGTTCAAAGGGCTTTAAAAGATTCCAGACGATAAATAAGGGTCTTATCAAGCGAAACGATCGCTCATTTAAAAAAAAAAAAAGTTTAAGTTTTATAAGATCAAACGCTCGCCTTGCTCTGTTCTGTGGTGCACGTTTGTGACTCTCCTGTTCGAACTCGTTCAACCTAATGAACAAATCTTTTTCCGAATCAATTCGTTTGTTTCTTTCGCCGAATGAACCAAATGACTCGGAAAAAGATTTGTTCATTTTGATGAACGAGTTCGAACAGGAGTGCGTTACAGAATAGAGCAAGGCGAGCGTTTGAGCTTATAAAACTTAAACTTTGTTATTTATTTATAAAACGAGGGATCGTTTCGCTTGATAAGACCCTTATTCATCGTCTGGAATCTTTTAAAGCCCTTTGAACAAGTTTGCAGTTTGTACTTAAAGTTTCTTTTGGACCTTGACCCGTTTGGTTCCCACTGAAGTCCATTATATGGAGAAAAATCCTGGAATGTTTTCATCAGAAAACTTAATTTCTTTTCAACTGAATAAAGAAAGACATGGACATCTTGGATGACATGGGGGTGAGTAAATTATCAGCAAAAGTTTTTTCAAAAGTGAACTACTCCTTTAATGCTGATGTTGAAGAGTTACCATCACAACATCTCATTATTTCATCAAACTGAGTAGCTGAAATAACAGAAAAATGTTAGATAACGGGTTAGATAGCTAGTTCTTCTAATGTTTCATCATCGGACTCGCGCTCGGATTGATATGGTAAAATCGACGTCACCGTTATGGTCTTTACAGTACAGTATGTACAATCGCTGAGCTTTAGGAAGCCTCCGGAGCTGAAGTTCAGTTATGGTAATGGGCCTTTAGTTACTGAAAAACACATGAAAGCGGTAGACCAATCGCAACAAATCTGACCAATCAAAGCAGAGTAGGCTCGCGAAAAGGAGGGACTGAATCCTCAGACAAGTCGTTTGAGAACCATTGAAAAATGTGGTGATGTGCAATGTATATTAAGAGAAAACAAGTGTTTTTTGACCTTTGATGCATGTAATTCTGTTGTAGGAAACCTCCAAAACAAAATTAGGAATTTTAAAATAGCATTATAGGGGCATTTTAATGAGATAGAGATGTTAATTGATGATGAAAGTGTGCTGACCTGACTGAGGGTGGCAGTAGGTGGAATGGTTGTTGCATCGGCAAGGTTGGCATCCTGTGTGGCTGAAGTGGAAGAATCCAGGGTGGCAGTCGTCACACTTGGGCCCGTAAACACCTATCTTACATGTACAGCTACCTGAACTGTAAGAGAAAAAAACACAGAAAACACAAGTGAATAAATCGAAATCTCTGCTTGACAACAATTATGACACTGGCAGTCTGGAAATGCTGCCGCCTTGTACAGACGACAATTGTTCCAGCTCCCAACGTACGCTTTGTGCATCCAGTTCCTGTGGTATCTTATCACACACACACAAGCCTTTGCCCTAGACAGCTAACAATCCTGGTCTAAATGCAGTCATGCACACTTTAAAGTAGTCTAGACCTTTCATTTTTAATTCCACCATTTCTACATGTGGGTACACATGAGAGACCTGTGGCCGAGACCACATTTGAAACCATCTGCTGCTTCAAACCTGATTCCAGGAATCCCCCTGTCTCTCTCTCTCTCTCTCTCTCTCTTTCAAACAAGCACACACAGATTGTGTTTAATCTGTACTGCCTGTAAAGTCGTCAACCCAAAATAACAGTAGTCTAATACTACTGAAGCTGGTGGAATTGTTACATATGAAGAAAATCACAGAATCATCCCGAGTAAATGAGATACTCAGAACAAAACCAAATCGGCAAAATAATCTCACAGGGAACGATCCACTTAAGCCGCTTTCTGACCGGAGGGACTTTTGCAGTTCCTAGAACCTAACGTTCCTATAACCCTTTTTTTCTCGTGTTCCAACCGGACTAAATTGGGGATTTTTTAGTTCCTCAGACTGTAGTTCCTATAACTCTTTCAGTACCTAGTCTAGAGTGAGGACTTTTTTAGTTCCCTTTCCCTAGGTCTACGTTGATTGGTTCAACTTATAAGTCATGCCCACTGTCAACACGGAACTTGTAGTGCGCTGTCTGCCATATACTGTGTGTTTGACATTACAAAACATTACAACGAGGATTAAGACAAACATAACGCATTCAACCAGCTAATTGCTAATGCTAGCTAAACTTACCCTTCGTTTTGTTTGCCATCTGCGCTCTGCTCTTTTATCTTCTTCCATTATATTACTTAATATCATATTACGCTGGAGCCTTCGTCTTCTGTGTTTCTCTTTAACTTACAGAACTCAAGCATAATCTTTAAACGCCGCCGTTCGTTCTCCGTTAATTAAGGTCCCGGCAAGGCAGAACAGGAACATTGCAATAATAATAGCCTCCTCCATGCTGGTTTGTTGTTGTTGTATGTGGCCGCGCTACGTCTAGTGATAACCGTCGCTGTGCTTGAGTTACCCCACCTACCAGTTCCTATGGCCACTTGGCCAGTGCGAACGCAAGCAGAAAAAACGATTTTGTGGGAGAGTAGTTCTTAGAACTGTTTAGAAGTGGACAGTTCCTATAACGAAGTTCCTGTAACTACTTGGTCGGAAAGCGGCTTTAGAGTTCAGTTATGTAGAACTAAAATCACACAACCACTAAAATCACTGCTATCATAATAACTTTTTTTTTTTTTTTTTACATTTTCTGAAGAAATTGTGAGTGGTGCTTGAAAAGCTAAGGTGATTAGTGTGATGTTATGCAGTTGCTAGGGTGTACTGTGTGGTTGCTAGTGCATTGTTAAAAAATGTCCATGTGGCTGCTAGTTGCTTTTAGCATGATTGCTATTTAGTTGCTAGGGCATTGATAGAGTGTTCTAGGTGGTTACTCGGTAGGTGCTATGATGGTATGTGTGGTTTTTAGGACATTGCTATTGTCAATTTTTGCTGTTTAGTTGGTAAGGTGCTTTGTGTGGTTGTTAGGGCATTTCTAGGGTGTTCTGGGTGGCTATTATTTAGTTGCTATGATGGTTTGGGTGGTTGTTAGGTGTTTGTCAAGTAGCTGTAAAGGTATTCTGATTGGCTTTTACCATGTTTTCCATGTAGTTGCCAATGAGTACTGTGTCGTTGCTAGGTTATTGTTAAGGTGTTTTGGGTGGTTGCTAGGTAGTTGCTATGATGCTCTTGGCATTTCTAGGAAATTGGCAAGTGGCTGCTAAGGTTTTCTTAGTGGCTTTTAGCATGTTTGCTATGTGGTTAATTTGGGTGTTCTGTGTGGTTGTTAGGTAGACTTGAGGATGTTCTGTGTAGTTGCTATAATGTTCTGGGTGTTGCTAAGGGCATTGCTAAGCGATTGCCAAGTTGCAACTAACATGTTCTTTTCAGATTGGCTTTTATCATGTTTGCTATGTATTTGCTAGGCTGTTGCAGAGTGTCTGCTAAGGTGTTCTGAGTGGCTTTTAGCATGTTTGCTATGTGGTTGCTAGGGTGTTGAATGTAGTTGCTAGGGTGTTGCTTTGTAATTGCCAAGTGGCTTCAAAGATTTTCTGAGTGGCTTTTAGCATGTTTTCTTTGTAGTTGTTAGGGTGTCCTGTGTGGTTGCTAGGGCATTGCTAGCTGATTCCCAACTGGTTGCTAATGTGTTGGAGTGGTTTTTTATATGTTGCAATGTATTTGCACAGGTATTTAAGGTGGTTGCAAGATGGTTGTCTTTATATTTTGCTCTTATGGTTGCTCCTATATATCCAGAGTAATTGGATTGACCAGAACTGAGCATCTTTTAGTAAAGACGGCAAATTTAAAATTGTACTTCCGGGGGATCCTGTGCCCACAAAGAATCTTCAATTGAGACGAATGGTAATGCTAACACATAGCTATATCCAGGTATAATAGACATACTTGGTTTAAATCCCATACCAAACGTATCAGCAATAGCAGTAGTGATGCTTGTCTTTGCAAGCCCACTAATGACCCCATGTACTTATCACTCTTTTATTTAGTAATTTTGCTGTAATGGATGCTTCAGCCCTTACTCTTTCAAAACATTCATTAGTAGACTCCCCATACACATAAACACTCCTCCATATCCTACAATCACACACATCCTCACACCCCAGGGCTGTTGCGTTAGGTCTGGGGTGAAGGTTGAGGCGAGGAGGGGCTTCCAGGGGCTGTGTGATTGGTTTCTGTGTATGAGTGGAGCAAGTGATAGATGAGAGAGGGGCGACGATGACACCCGTGGGACAAGCTTAAAGTGCTCAGCCATGCTGACAGGATCTCAACAATGGAAACCCGAGAAAAACAACAACAACGGTCGCGATAAAAGAGCTGACTTATTAAACCATACAATAAAAAAGAGATGTGAGAGAAAGTAAGGAGATTTTGAAAAAGAGGGTGTAATTGAGGGTGTATTTAATTATAAATATTCACTTTGATGATTTTAAAGGGAAAATGAGTAAGTGTCATTAAAATAGCATAAAAAAACATAAATTAATGGTTCTAAAAATAGGGGCAGGAACAACATCATCAGTGAGTGTCATCCCCATCCACCCACATTTACAGACTGATTGTCGATAACATATGGAAATTGTGACACTTCTGTTCCGCAGAGATGTTTCCTGTGGTGAATCAAAGAATCTCAAAGAATGCCCTGCACCTCCCTACATACAATCTCAATGCATAAATACAGACACACGTCCTGAATTATATATTACTGGTCTAGCAGAAACGGGAGAGAAGTAAAGCAGAAAGAGAGACAGAAGGAGAAATAGACAAAGAGCGCTACACCCTCCTTTGAAGACACCATTAGTAATTTGACTTGAGTGAAAATAAGGTAGTAAGGAAGAGACGTACAGCTCTTTTAGTAATATATATATATATATATATATATAAAGTACTGTATATATAGTTGTCATATATATATATATATATTAGGGCTGTGCAAAAATTAATTGCGATTAATCGCATCCAAAATAAAAGTCTGTGTTTACATAATATATTTGTGTGTGCTGTATATAATTATTTTGTATATATAAATACCTATGCATGCATGTATATATTTAAGAATTATTTGCTCTTAAATTCTGTGTATATAAATAAATACATAATCTATATTATATAAATATAAATATTTTATATATGACAACAGATTTTCTTAAATATATACATGCATGTGTGTGTATTTATATATACAAAATAATTATATACAGCACACACAAATATATTAGGTAAACACAGACTTTTATTTTGGATGCGATTAATCGCAATTAATTTTTGCACAGCCCTAATATATATATATATATATATATATATATATATATATATTTGTAATACAATATTAAGAATTTAATAGGAAATAGTACGTAATTATCTTCACAATTAATGTCCCAATGCAAATAGACAAATAAAATAAAATAAATAAGGGTCCTAATTAGACATTATTTTCTTTATTCATTATATCATATCTTAGTTGAATATGGTTCTCATTTCCCTTGTTGTCATTTGAGGAGAATACGGCCTACATCAAGTTGGTTGATGCAGTTTCCATTCACAAGAAATGGTGTAACATTTCCTAATATAACATTTTCCTAAAGTGTGTTGCCGCCACAATAGATTTGTTTAAAAAAAATCACCTCTGCATTGTTACCTAACACGCCTCCTTTTAACATATGTAGGGTGTTAGTAGATACACTTGCACTTGCTGTGGGAGAGCGAGTGGGTGGGTGTGTGCGTGTGCACGGGCCAGTAGACAGGTTACCATGGTGATGGCTCAGCACCCAGAGCATTCTGAGGCAATGAGAGTGAGGTGTGACATATATGACCTATCAATCACAATCTCCAGAGAAAGAGCGCGGGAGATCAAGAAAGAGAGAAAGACCGCCTGTTAACATTTTAATACAACCCGGAGAAAAGGGGGTTTTGTGGCGGATGCAAAATACAAACATCTGTCCTTCCTAAAAACACTACGGATTCATAAAACGAGTCAGTGAGAGCATATTAAGATGCCTGTTTCCCAAACACACCCACACTGTATCACACACAAACAGTGATTATCAAGGTCAGATAATGATCAATCACACGCCCTTCACTTGCATTCACTAGCATTCATTAGCAGACAGACCCCTCGTCTGTGTGTCTGTGGGACATAGACGGCTCTCTAAAGCCAGCTGTTGAACAGAACCATTCATTAGGTTGGCACATTTAGCATTTGTGTAAACACCAAACAGGGCGGCGTTTTGTAGCATCATGATGCTTTTTTTAAATCCAACCACCCCCGTTCTAGAGAACAAATTTAGCCTTATTGAAAAAGACATGCATATGGATATAAACACACCATTATGTATTAGGAAAAGCTGATAACAGCAACTTATAAATGGCTATATTCTACAAAGGCAGCTACTAAACAGATGTAGGCTATTTGTTATGATAATATCAGTAAAAATACTTGTAATACCAGAAATAAACCTGCACAGACTCTCAGGCACGTGGCATTTTGGTAGGACAGGTCATTTGTAATATGATCCACATGATCACATGATGTTTCACAATAAATATTTCAGCCAAGCATTAGGCTACACTGGCAGGTCAAGTAACCATTTCCAAGATGATTTAACTCAGATCTTTGATTAAAGTATCAATTGTTTCCACTTAATTATTTAAATTGATAAATCAGTTAAATAAAGCGCAATAAGTCGACCAAGGAATGACCTTGGACCTAAATACATTTATAATGTTACAAAAGATTTTAAATACATTTTATTTTCTATTCAGAAAATCCTGAAATAAATATTCATTTCAAAAAATATTCAAACATTGATAATAATAAGAAATGTATATTGAGCAACAAATCAGCATATAAGAATATTTTCTGAAAAAAAATCATGTGACAATGAAGACTGGAGCTGTGATGCGGAAAATTCAGAGATTTATTTAAAATATATTAATGTGGAAAACGGCTATTTTAAATTGTAATAATAATACAAACATTACAGTTTTACTGTGTTTTTGCTCAAATGAACACGGCCTTGGTGGACATGAGAGACTACTTTCAAAAACAAATCTTTAGTAACGTATTATGTATTAATGTCTAAAACAGTAATGCACATAAACACTAATATTTTTATATAAACATATTTTGAAAGCCAAATACGTTACTTATGAGTTCTAAAACCTAACATTCAAGTAATGTTTAATTAGGATCATACTGTCAATTAATGACTTAAATAATTCAATGGTTAATTAATCAAAACTATTTATTTACTTGTCAGTAGCTACTTTTACATGAACACATGGAATTGATTCCGATTGATGAATCCGCAAGACGCGTTTACATGATCACTAAATCCTGAATTTTTAGAATTAGACAACACTGATTTATGGCACTTAATCAAAGACTTTAGATATACAAATATGGTACATTCATTTTACTTAGAACGGGAGAACGTGAAACACGCAATATGGCGGAATAAGTTCCGCCTTCTATTTAAAAAACCAATCGCTGATTGGTAAAGACTTCTATGAGACAGTTGTTGTCAGATTTCATTGGCGATTTCAAATATGTAATTTAATTATAAGCTTGGTGAACAACTTTGAAGAATTTGATGTGCTTGCATGACTGAAAATACTAGACCACTCACTTACAATCCGAATAAAATTTTGTCAATTTATTCCAATTAGCGTGGTTACATGTCACTAGTGGCCGACTGTGCTACTAGTCTGAATAAAATATGATTATTAGAGTCCATGTAAATGCAGCTAGTCACTGTGCTTGTTTGAATACACCCCCTTATAATTTGACACACTAAAACTGATCGAATAAAAACAATTTGAAATCGACCAGCATCAGGCAGCACAGCCAGATTATAGCAAGCACACTAAAGAACTCAATGCAGCCGGCTTGACACATGTATATCATAATAGAATCACCAGGGGCTTCCTTAATCATCTGGATTGGTTGTTTATGTGTGTGTACGAGTGTGTTTTCAGAGAGAGAGACTGCGTTGAGCAGGCAGTAGTAGCAGAAAGCTCATTAATGTTTCAGAGACCCTGGGGCAGATCAGCTGCATATTAACTAGGTCAGTGTTACACAACGACTGGATCCCCTCTTCCCTCTCTCTGTCTCTCTGCTACCATGGAGATGCCAGCATCATTCTCCTTCCTGCATCCTTCACAACCATGTCAACCGTGGAACTGGGATGCTCTGAACCTCGCCTGGTGCTTTTAAAGTGAAAGGCTTAGATGTTTTCCTGAAGGGGTGTAGAATCCATGGAAGATTTGGTTTCTAAGCAACTGAAGTTGTGCGGATATTAAAACCTTTTACTTGTCTTGCATCATACTAAACACACTTACTTGAAACCACACAGCAATATATATATATATATATATATAGGATTAGCGACGCATGATATGTCGGCCACCTTATCGGTATCGACCGATGTTCATTTTTAATGTTATCGGCCTTATAAGAAAATCTGGCCAATATATTAAAGCCGATAAATAATGGATTATTTCCATCAGCTGAGACAATTCAGATGTGCACTGTTCGCCATGATGGTTTTGAATTGCTTGAAATATGATTAGAATCACTACAAAACTGGAAAATATTGTTAATATAGGCTACATAAAATATAATTGTGTGGTTGGGACATGGCTTTTAATGGTGAGACTTTTGTTTTTTAATCAGGCTGTCAAAAATTATATAGAAATGTGGATTTAGATTTATCGGCCTAATATATCGGTTATCGACTTTCAAATATAAAGAATTATTGGATATCGGTAAAAAAAAAAAAAAAAAAAACATTGATGTGCACGGATAAATAATTTTTAGTACTGCAATATTCCATAAATAAATAAGAATTGTTCATTCTGATTTCATGGTGACTTTAATCTGATTGGCTGAACGGCCCTACTTAAGTATTACAACCCAAAACAGAGACTTTTTACTGTGCACTTGCAGGTGCCAGATTTAAGTTTTTAACACACTTAAGTACACTTCATAATAATGTCAAATTATAAGTTTTATTTAAAGTATACATTAAATCATGGTGTTTTATTAATCTTTTGTTGTGCCTTAAAGGTGCAGCATGTAAGAATGACAACTAGTAGTCGAAATTGGTACTGCAGTCCAATTCAAAATATCGGAGATCAACGTTTCTCCCGGAAAAAAAAAATTAACCATTTTCATTTAATTGGAATTAAAATGTAAATAAGCATCCGAAAAAATTACATTCCGTTCACACTTGAGTATATTATATATATATATATATATATATATATATATATGCTTAAACGACAACTCCAGTGCAAAATGATCCTTAGTTTGGTCGAATAACACATTGGTACCTGGTCGACCGTTCTCTGAGATTTGTTTTCATGATAATAAAATGTAAAGAGTTTTATCTCTAAAGACTGTTTAGATTATAACACTAGTATATACAGTATAGGGCATAGAGTAATGAAAAATAAAAATAGCTAGTTAATACCACTAACAAGGCTCAAAGTAACCCCACACCAACACGGTAACATAATGAGGGTCCCTACATGCACCGCTGCATTGAGCATTACTCTATGCCCCCATATACTAGCGTTATACGCTAAACAGTTTTTAGAGATAAAACTCTTAACATTCGATTATCATGAAAATAAATCTCAGAGACGGTTACTTTTTCACAAGGGACGGTAAATGGAAATTATTAATTTAGAAATGTTAAAATGTAGAAGAAATAAACAAATATAATCCCAATCAAGAGCCAATATTGAATGCAGTACTATACTGATGGTGTACAACTGACAATTTACCTCCCACACTACTTGAATCTAACATCAACAAAGTCAGATGCACACAAGAACACACAGCTGGCCATGGATTTAAAGCATGGAAATGCATCTCTTCTGTTGCAGAACTGCAATATCATCCACTGTACGATTACAATAATCATACACATTCTCCCCTCTGGAAAATTAGCATTAATTTGTGTACATTTGTGTAGATGCATCTTAACATGGGCACTATACTGTTCATAGGGAAGCTAATCTCTTTTAAGAACAACAAAAAAAAAAGCCTTGGAATTTCATTAGGATATCCTAATATAAGAACTCATAATATTCAATGGACTCATGTTGACTATTATAATTTCCCCGAGGAGAAATTAGAACAGCCTTAACAGACCAATGGTTTCACAGACAAAACTGTAGCCAGCCAAGTACTGTATAAATGGAATTTTTATTTGAAGCTTAATTACAAAGATCATGCAATATCAAAGCTTTATTGCTAACTTAAAATATGGTGGTCTAATTGAACAATGGCCAGCTTATTACAGAAAGATATCAACTCTTTCTCCAGCGAATCAATGGGGTATTTGAGTAGGTATAACAGGTCATAACTTTTGACCTTCATAATTTGAGACTGAATAGGACTAGTACTATTATGCTGCAGTTCAAAACTGATCTTACTTGAGCAGTCAGCTGAAACCATTCTCAAATAGCCAACAAAACTGTACATTTGTCTTTAAAGAAATGTCCAAATTTAGACTTAATCCTGATTATGGAATCATGGTTACTGGCTCTAAAAGCTAATTACTTCACAGCCTCATCCCAAAACAAAGCCAGACCACAACAATCTGCTCCCTGCAGGGTATGTCATTTAATTAGGCTCAAACTGGCAATACTCAGTATGTTTCTCTGTAAACCTTCTAAACACTTAAAGCACAGACAGATATGCCAACAGGAAACTGATATGTCCTCAAGGTTTTGAGAAGGAGCAATACGGGATTGAGCTAATCTGCCTGATTATCTGTTTACTTAACTATACTTTAAGGAGAAAATAAGCTAAATCTTACAAGACCCTGCCTTTTGGGATATCTGGGAACATTCTCAAAGGATTCTATATTCTTAAATATAGTACATGTTTTCATTTTAATCTAAAAGAGTTAGAATGAGGAATAGAATTTTAGAATAAGTTCTGAAGACTGGAGTAATGGCTGCTAACAATTCAGCCATCAAAGGAATAACATATTCGAATAAAAAATAGTTATTTTGAATTGCACTAATATTTCACAGAATTACTGTACTTACTATATTTCTGATCAAATAAATGCAGCCTTGGTGAGCATAAGAGATTCTTTCAAAAATGTACAGACCCCACCTTTGAATGTTATTGTAAGTTTTGGATTTCTAATTCTATCATGCAACTAGCAAAAAAAAAAAAAAATAAATAAAAAAAATAAATTCAATAGCAAGACACATAAGAATGTAATTTTCCCACAATGCCTCTCACCTGTCACAGCTTGCGCTGTCTGCACCGAAGGAGTCACATGCACAGGGCAGGCATCCGATGGTGCCATTGGTGAAGTGATCTTCCTCGCACTCTTCACACCGCAGCCCCGTGTAACCCGGCATACAGTCACACTGACCCGTCTCACGGTCACACTCATCAGGGTCCGATACTCCTTCACCGCTGCAGTTACACACCAGCTCTTTAGAGGACACACAAACAAACGATTCCTTATGAATTTTTGACAACCAAAGAGGGGCAATGTTGAGATCATCAAATATTGATGTAAAGTACAGACACATTCACCCCGTACACACATTGATGGTTCCAAAAACCTTTAACATTCATTGAACCTTTTAATTACACAAAAGGTTCTTGATAGTGGAAAAGGGTTCTTAAAATGTTCTTTACACTATTAAAAAAAGGTTCTTTTAAGAGCTGTTTATTGAATGGTTCTTTAATGGCAACGTTGCAAAAACCCTTCACCCTTTTGAAACAATTATTTCTGTTGTGAATGTCTACTCTTTGTGGTGGTTTAAGACAGCGTTTCCTAGACTTTTTTTGTCTTACAAACCCTCAAATGTAACAGACGTAGACCAGTAAGATCTGTGTGTAAACCTCACTCCCCTGAACTCAAGAGGTGCGCTAGCAACTAACGCTAGTAGCTGCAGTCTTTAACGTCCTTGTTAGCGTGCCCGCCTCCCATGCCAGAGACCCCGGTTCGAATCCCGCTCGGAGCTGTTGGAGTTGGACTGGTTACATTTGGTGCCATGACCGGATGGGAATGAGGTTTAGGGGGGTGAGTGTAACAGACATAGGCCAGTAAGAGCTGTGTGTGTAAACCTCACTCCCCTGGCCTCTAGCGACTGACGCAAGATTCTGCGGTCTTTAGTGCCAGACACCCCAGTTTGAGGCCCTGTTTACACGAGAACGCTCGCGGGTGAAAACGTAAAAATATTTTATCGGATGTGCCTTTCGTTTACACGGCGACGGCGTTTTGGGACTTAAAAACGCAAAAAAGTGAAACCAACCTCCAGAGTGGAAATCTTAAAAACGCTCCACCGCCATGTTCCCGTGTAAAGGGTAAAAACGCAAAAGTCTGCTTGACAGTGAAGGTTGTATGCAGGTAAGCGGACTTGGTGTTGTTGTAGTATGCACTCCTAGCTGCCTGGAGTGCATACTACATTAATTTCACACACTTTTGCGTCATCATATGTCCGCGGATTTCCCACCCAAAACGCTCGTCTAAACGCAGAATAAAAAGTGATAACGCAATGTAACTTTTGTGTTTTCTCTTCAGAATCGTTTCTGTGTAAACATAGCCTGAATTCCGCTTAGATGAGTAGAAACAGTCACACAAAGATCCTTCAGTACGGGCATGTTAGGTTACACGTATTGGGTTCACTTTATTTTAAGGTGACGTAGGTACAATAACCTTACTCAAATAAGTACCGAGTAATATCAATTAACTACGTGTACTTACTATATAGACTAGAGTTAGGATTAGGTTTTGGTTTAGGGTTAAGTTAGTTGCAATAGAGGGCCGAAGTTATCAAGTCACTTTGTAAGCCAAAACGTGGAAGTGAGTTAGCATTTTAGCAATCCCGATCCCCTCGCTCTAAAATCTATTTTTTGAATGGGTTTTTTTCTAAATCGCCTGAAATAAGGTCTGTGGTGAACAAAGCCTCTAAATATTTTCACGTTTTGATATATGATATAAAACACATCAATTATAACCTGCTTGTATTTTTTTAAACTTTATTGTGTCTGCTTGTGTCTTTTTTTTACTTTATATAGGCTTCAAAATGTATAAATTTTGGATTAACTTGTAAAGATTATCTTGATAGACAAAACGTTTAAGTGTCCCAACTCTTTGTTGAACACAGATCTTATTTTTTGCGATTTTTTAAAAGTCTATGGGGAAAACGTATAGATTTTTTCGATCGAAGGAATGCGCCGCTAACTTCCGAGTTGTCCAACAAAGTGACGTCATAACTTTGGCACTCTATTATGCATAATTTTCAGTTATTACTATAGTAAGTGGGCCTACATTTAGTAACATGTAACTACGTCACATATAAAGACAAAAAAATAGACCAATCATCTGTCAACAAATCTATCATTGCACATCCCCCCCCCCCCCCCCCAAAAAAAAAGGAACCGATTTTTTTTTTTTTTAATAAATTATGTTTTTATTTTCATCATTATTTCTTCTGTTTACACACTCTCATGGGAATTTTAACTATTTTATATATTGGCGAATTGGTGGTGAATTCACACAATCTCATTCGTACATTTCGTACGATCTGCTTGTTCTCCAATTCATGCTTAGTATTTTTTTTTTTTTTTTTTTTTTTTATTAATCATATTATATTTTTGCAAGACTCAAATCTAACAAATGAATACAAATTTCTCATCAGTTCACCAAAATGTAAAATAGTCATATTTTCTCATGAGGTCGGGTTGGTTTTATACACTGGAATAAATGTAAGCCTAAAACCTGCATACATTTAATGTGGTGGTACCTTCTAACTTTAATAAGTCAAAAAATATATATATTTTTTAATTTCACTGAATGAACCTAAATATATCATGTTACAACAGCCAATGAATAGAGAAATACAAGGGTTAAATCAGGTGGAAGTTGCTCCATATGATAAAAACAGCAATTTACTATTTTTTTGCAGTGTAGGTTTAACAAAGCAAAATCTTTTCAAGTACCCCCTTAGGGTACACATAACCCTGGTTAAAAAAAAACTGCAACTCAAGAAGAAACCATGTTTAAGTGTCACCCGTAGAGTGTTTAAACATAAAGCCCTGTTAATGCAGCACTCCTGCTCGGTAGTGAATCTCTCCTTCAAGTTCAAGTCTGCTACGCATCACTCTACTCCATCTTGCCAATCCCTGACAGCTATAAAGAATGACTCCCTCCAGTCTGATTCTTTGACACTTCATTAATTTGATATTAGACTGAGAGATCTGCAGATATTTAGTATGCAGGAAAGGCTGTAGAACCACAAAAGAAGAACACAACCTCTAAAGGCAAATCGGACACATTAAATTTCAACATGGCAGCAAATTCCAGCTCAAGGGAACAAATGAAGCTTGTGTAATTACAAATCTATCCCAACTGCAATTAAATAGAAGACGATTTGCAAATGAAAGAGAAGTGTTTCATTTAAATATTGATCTACATTTAGGTTGGAAACTATTTGTCCCAGCATTTTTTAGTTAACCAGCAACACCTCGACGTCGAGGCCAACTTCGAATCGGTTGGATGTAAATTTTCTTTTTCTATTATTTATTTTCTTAACACAACAAGAGACAGGTAAGGCCTTGTCCACACGTACAAAGGTATTTTTATAACCGTGATTTTTTTTTTCACGTTACGCCCGTTCGTCCACACGAATCGTCCACCATTTTAAAAACGCAGGAGGAAAAACTAGTTATAAAAATACCTGTGTCCGTGTGGACAAGGCCTAAGAGGGCTTGGTTTGAAATTCATGAACACCACAGCTTTGTCTTGAGTATGTGCTAACTTGCTAGGACACAGATTCTGTTTGCTAATGATCAAATGTGTTTGATCTCAAAAACTAAAGTGGGCACATTTGAATCTGAAAGGGCACATTTGAATCCATCTTTCATGTAAAACATGTTTTTATTCATCAGCCTTTGTTCAACTGCGTGTACCCGAAGCAACCTCTTATCCCTTAGAGAGAACGACCTATTCCCTTTGGTGGTCATTTAGTTCAAGGGACAGAAATCAAAGCCAGGCGAGGGGTTAAAGGAACAGTTATTTTAACAAAAATTTTAATTCTGTCATCATTTATTCCCAGTCATGTTGTTCCAAACGCTGATTTTTTTCCATGGAACACAAAAAGCTTCAAGCTTCAAATATGAAGCAAAAACACCATAATAACACCTCAAAAGGTGTCCGTGCAACCCGTGCAGGATCTTCTGAAGCTATTCCAGAGCTTTGTGTGAGAAACAGGCTGAAATGTAAGGTCTTAAGTGTAGCGAAACATTAGCCCCTTTCACACAGTAAATTACCGTAAAATTACCAGAATTACTATATAAAGTTAAACGTTTTGAACAATATTAGAATCGTTTCTGAAGGATCCTGATGCTGAAAATTCAGTTTTGCCATCATTTAAAAATATTAAAATATAAAACTGTTATCTTAAATAGTAAAAATTTCAGAATATTAAATTTTTTTTTTACTTTATTTTTGATCCACTAAATGCATTGTTGAGTATACAAGACTTCCTTCAAAAGCATTTAAAAGAATCTTACTGTCCCCAGACTTTTGAACGGTTGTGTTGTAGACATACAGTACACAATAATCAATGCACTCAGACATCTACAGTATTTAACATAATCAATGTAATGTTACCAATAACATTACCGATGGCATGTTCATCGTGCAGTTTAATATCATATCAATGAACTCCATTAAGAGCCAGACGTCTTTCTGAGAATCTCTCATGCCTTCATCCCCAAGATCCCATTTTAGCAGATTTACTGCAGAGGGTCACCCAGAGGGGCACCTGCCGAAAGGGAAAAGCATCATTTGTATGCACTGACAGTCACACCTTCTAACACACGGAGCTGTGGAGTGTGTACGTAAACACCTTCTGCTCCTGAGGGGGGCTGTGGAGGGTGAGGATAAGAAGCTTACAGATCCCAGTCTGACAGATTATGCATACATCCATGTAAATGAGGCTGCCGACCAGACTCATCGCTTTATGACAAAATCATGAAATTATTAAATATGACAGAGCGATTACAACCGAACCATATAAGAGAGGATGAACCTTTGATGTGAGATAAATGCGATGTGGCTTCATTGACCTCAGACGTGGCACGATAATGAACCATCAAGTAAATAAGAACATGAACTAATCATTGTTTCCTGTGAAGATGTGCCATTAGGGGTCGTTCGATGGTATATGAAGCTAAAAGACAAGATGGGCACTGGGTGTTGGACAACAAAAGAAAGAACACAAAGGTGTCAGTGTGAAAGAGTCAGTCTTCTGTCCATTAGTTCCAGTGGAAATGGCACACAGACTCGATTCAAATGTAGGGGGCAGCGAGAGTTCACTGGGCCATCTAATGCACAGCTGCTAGCATGTAGGTCAAACCCGCACACCTCTAAAATCATACTTATCATAAAGGATTTATCTGTTTCCATTAGAATATTTCAGATGCCCCTCTAGCTAAAGTCCTATGCTTTAGAGGAAAGCTCTGACTACTGCAAATGCATCTGGATTAGTAAAATGAACAAATGTATTTTATAGAATTTTGTATTTTAAACAATTTAATTTACAGTCCACACAGTAAATGTGTTCTTATTGTTAACTAAAAATAAAACTATTTTAAACTCTTTTTTTCATTGGTTGAAATACAGCTGAAATAAAATGAAAAAAATTAATATTTAAATGAAAATTAGAAATGTTGCCCTGGCATTTCCAGGCAACTAACAAACTGAAATTAAATACTAAAATTATAAAATTACTAAAACTAAAGATAAATAGAAATATTGAGTAAATAAATTAAAATTACAAAAGTAAATAACACAATTACTCAAACTAAAATGAAAATAAAAACTAAAAATTCAAGTCAATTAAAAATATTAATAAATAGTATAAATTATAATAATACTAAAATAACACCACTGTTAGACTGACCTAATGAAATGGCGTCTGTATGACACGCTTATTCGTATTTCCATTTTTGGCATGCTATCAACACGCATAATCGATTTTCAGTGCGTTTATGAACGCTGTTGACTTAATGTTACATTACTGTATATGAAGAGTTCAGATGCAAAAGCCTCTAAATGCCATTTGAAATTTTCTTCTTTAATGATGATTTTTATCAAACTTGATAAAAGTTTAATACTTCAGTAATTTCAGTAAATACTTCAGTAATTTCACTTAAATGGCAATGATAATTACCTATTAATTCTTATTTAAGTGAAATTACTGAACTTAAATATACAAGTTTGATAAAAATCATCATTAAAGAAGAAAATTTCAAGTGGCATTTAGAAGCTTTTGCATCTGAACTCTTCATATATAAATATAGCCTACCCCAACCCCATCCCTAAACCTACCATTTTTTTTCTTCTGTCAAATCAACTTAGATAATTTATGTGGTTCAGATAACATAATATTTTGAGTTTCTGATTATTAAATCAAACTCCTTTATTGTATTAACTCAATTTTTCAATTTCAATGAACTTAAAGGGTTAGTTCACACAAAAATGAAAATTAAGTCATTAATTACTCACCCCCATGCTGTACCAACCCCGTAAGACCTTCGTTCGTCTTCGGAACACAAATAAAGATATTTTTGATTAAATTTGAGAGCTGTATAACTACCACATTGGCTCCTAAGGGACTGGCTCTTGACGGCCCAGAAAGTCAATGAAGAAAATGTTTAAATATCCCAAGTGACTACCGTGGCTCAACTATATGTTTATCAAGCGACGCGAATACTTTTTGTGCGAAAAAACAAACAAAAATAACGAGTTTATTCGACTATTTCTTTTCTTCCTTGTAGGCCAGAAACGAGATTTCCATTAGATTTCCACGACGCATGCGCGAGAATTGCCAACTGCTTACACTACTTCAGATCGCAATTCTCGCGCATGCGTCGTGTATATCTAAGGAAATCTCGTTTCTGGCCTACAAGGAAGAAAAGAAATAGTCGAATAAACTCGTTATTTTTGTTTGTTTTTTCGCACAAAAAGTATTCGCGTCGCTTGATAAACATATAGTTGAGCCACGGTAGTCACTTGGGATATTTAAACATTTTCTTCATTGACTTTATGGGCCGTCAAGAGGCAGTCCCTTAGGAGCCACTGTGGTAGTTATACAGCTCTCAAATTTAATCAAAAATATCTTCATTTGTGTTCCGAAGACGAACGAAGGTCTTACGGGGTTGGTACAGCATGGGGGTGAGTAATTAATGACTTAATTTTCATTTTTGGGTGAACTAACCCTTTAAAGTTTAAAGGCAACCAGGTAACTTAATTTTTTAAGTTAAACCAACAATAATTGTTTAGTGTGGGGTTAATAGCATTTATGAGTCTTCCCTTACCATTCTAGGAAAAAAAAAAATATCACTCCCCAGATGTAGGTCTACATTTTGCTTTGTTTCGCTCAGACATTTAACGGCGTCTATATACACGCGGAATCACTCGAACATTTAACGGCGTAGACATACACGCATACACCCGGATACACGCGGATACCTCAAAATGCGTATAGATAACGCGCCACTTGACTTGAAAGTGGCGTGTATGTTTACGCAAAAGTCATGATGTCATGTTGCCACTGTAAAAAAAATTTGTTATCACAACTCAAAATGTAGTGTTTTTTTTTTGTTGTGATTAAGGTAAGTTAATCTAATGTTGAATTTTAAGTTGTGAAAACTAATTGCAGCAGCATTTTTTACACATTATACACAATAAAACATATGGAGTATTTCATAACATATGGAGTATTATACACACAAAACATATGGAGGATTTCCAAAAACAGATGATATGATGTATAAAACATGTTTCTGGAAATACCATATGTTTTGTGTATGATAACATGGGTAGTTCATGCAGAAAAATTAAAAAAATTATGCTGTATGATTTAAATTTCTTATAACGTTAATTTAAAAACATTACTTTTTTTCAGTATACATCACTGGATTGTATCTGTTCTTGACCATCTTGTTGTTTTGGACTAATAAAATATTTGCATGTGAATTCAATAAATTATAAAATAAAAAAAAGATAGAGTTCAAAGTTCAATTTGCGTGGCCAATTCCGTTCATTTATATGTTTTTAAGACAATTTGCCCAACCTCAATCCTAAATGCTTCCTGAACATTTGTAGTACCTTACAAGATGCCTGTTGTATATCAATCTAAATGGAAGTATTTATAGTGTCCACTCTCAATTTCTAGCCACTTTCTCCGGCCCTGCAGAGGTTCTGTTATGTGTGGGCTTCCCTAGCACTTCCTGTGTCCTAATAACGGCAGGCTTAGACAGTCTATGCTTTTGTGGACATTGTCTCCCGATTATAACCTCACCATAAGGAACAATAGCTGTGGAATGTCTAATCACAATGACAGGCCGGAGAAGGGTTAAACGTCTGTGGTACATGTTGCCTGCTTTTACTCATCTGGAAATATATATGTGTTTTTATTTTCCTTTTTCTTTGTTTTGGTATCATTTCTTGCATTTTGTTTGGGAATGTGGTTGAAGATTAGGGCAAGAAAGCAATTTTAGCCAAAATATCCTTATGGAGAAACACCCCTCTGTGATCCAGCTTTCTTTGTCCCCCCTGTTGTTCTTTTGAAAGTGAGCAAAGGTTTCTAAATGTCTACAAACCTCTAAGCCAATGCAATGTACGATCACAGGGGTCAATGACCCTTTTATCAGTGCGCTGGTGGTAACTGTCAGTTTTGTTGTCTTGGGGATTTAGCATTATTATGGAAAAGTAGGCCAAGTCTATATTTCCATATGGACAATTGGTGCACCCAAACGACTATGTAAACGCAAGATTTATGTAGACTCAGTCTCATTAACAGTGTGACCTGGTTATTTTACACACACATATTAGATAATCTGCAGTCATTCTTTCTTAACAGCTACTACCATTCGAATACAAATGTTAACAATCCCAGCTGGAAATACTGGATGATATACTGGAAATACCAGCTGATGTACTTTTACTGATAAAGCCTGGCTCCTGAATCGCTTACTGAAGGGTTAAAGTCAGGTCTAGCTAGTTAGGACAAATACTCGCACTTCAATCACTAAAGAGCCATATAGGCACGTTTGTCTCATCAGTCGCTTTGGTACATTTCTCGAATCATCAACATTTTGTAAAACAGTACATTTCTCAAAACAATTCGTACAAATAGCAAAACACCATGGATTTCCTGCAAAAGCCAGTCTCTTGCTCAAAATCCTTAGTTCATCTCTCAAAAGTATACAGTATATCTGTCAATGAGCATGTCAGTGCCATCAGAATGACAAGTCCTTGTGTCATTGTGTACGGGTAAAACAGTCAAATTGCTTAGTCATGTAGTCAAAATAACAGTGAACTGTGAGAGAGGGATGTTCAGATGTAAACTATGGCTATAGTTTTGATGGCAATTATTGTAAATTGTAGGTTACACACCTTAGCGGGAGTTTGATTGCAAGAGACTGGACAAAATTCACATTTACGCTTTTACTGTTTGTGCTGTCATTTGTTGACAGACCATGTCATTGCAATACACAAAGGAAAAGACAGCACTGCATAGCACAAAGAAGAAAACAAAGCAATGTGAACACGACAGATTTAGAAAAAAAAAGGCTGGACATGTATAGAAATGTGAAATATTTGATTATGACAACTTGTTCAACCATTTTTTTATGTAAAGGCTTATGCCATGAACTAATGCCTAAATGTTGGGGGGTTGAGACAATTCAACAGAGACCCATTATAATGCGTTTTGATCAACATGACTTAAGCAATTGATAATCAGAGAATAATCATTTGCATGGATGCACAAAACCATTTCCAAAGAAATGATAAATTTATTTATGTGGACAATTCACATAATGATGTGAAGATTGAACATGTTTTAATTTCAATTCTGATTTGAGAAATGTACCAAAGCGACTGAGAAAAATGAATATGATTTCCCATTTCATATCAATGGCCAGTTAGTTAGACATCATAAGAGCCTTTTACATAATAATGATAATGTAAACAAAATAAAGGTCAAAATCAATGCATCAGACAGACAGACAGACAGACAGACAGATAGATAGATAGATAGATAGATAGATAGATAGATAGATAGATAGATAGATAGATAGATAGATAGATAGATAGATAGATAGATAGATAGATAGTCTGGAGTGAGGTGAGCGTGCAATCGATACCTCATCAATATATCATGTTGCATGGCTATGACTGCTAATGAAGTGATTTCTGAGAGGCGGACTGCAGGAATGATGATGTTAGCTAGGATTATCAAGCAGGAAAGGCCTGATGTTCGCACTGATTAGATATAGGCCCAGCTAATGGCTTATGTTTAAGAATATCATCATCTTAATAGCATTTCTGTTGTCATAAAGGTATTATTAAGTTCTTTCGCTATCCACTTGAACTCACCTTGAGAATAGTCAGAGGTTGTGCTAAAATCGGGCACGATGCCTGATCTGTCTGCTTTATCAGAGGTCTGCTTTTCTTTCATCTGCGTTTCAACAGAGCTGAGCTTCCTCCGAACAAACGCGGCCATGTAGCTGGGATTAGACAGGGATGGGGTGGTGGTGGTGGGGTCCGTTGTTGGTGGTTTAATGGTGGCTGCTGGTGCGGCGACATTTATCGGTTTTCTGGCGGACGCGACCGTGGGCGCTGGTGTCAATGCGACAATACCGAGCCGGTATCCTGGGAACTCGTTCGCGCTCGTATCTGGATGCTCTTCTGCGATTGCACGAGATTTCCTTAGTACTAACGGCAGCGCATCGTAGGAATGAACCGCCTCGGATAACCCCATGCACATAAACACGATGAATGGGAAAGCCGGAGATGTAAACATCATTAAGGCAAGCCACCACATAATCTCAACGCTCCATGAAAACCTCCTCGAGACGGACTTCGCAATGCCCCCGTCCTCCAATTTCCATCGGGTTATTCCAAACCAGGTGGTTTCCAAGCCGCCCCGATGTAGCTTACTCCACCATATCCGAGAGAGACCCCCTTTTTTGTCAATGGCTCTGAACCGACTGCAAGGTGTTTGATCCGCACCGACCTGTAGTAGGAGCGAAACGCAATAGAGTGGCACACGCACTGACCAATCAGAACGCAGGATGAGATAATCGCTGAAGTGTGATGTGTAGTTTTTCTCACCGCCTGATAGACGGTGATGCGTCTGATTGGTTCATATTAGGCGCATCGAAACATCTCTGGCTGGTTCATGCAGTCAGGCGATCATTATAATATTTTCATTTTACAGCCTATTGTTGAATCAGCCAAGGAGAAAAAAAAAGGAAAACACGATCCAAAATATTTAAGCACTTTCAAAACAACATTTTAAGCAATTCTACTTCATTCTGCAGTCGCATGAGCAATTGTGGTCTAAACTCTGGGATTATTATAGACAGCACTCTGACCCTAGTTTAGTAGCCTAATTTAATTATTTTCTATTTTATTATAATTTTATTTAGCCTATTTATGTGGTGGTATTTGGAGCTCTGGGTTGATTTCAGTTGCCAAGCCCTGTCAGGTTATTATCAGCAGCAGCACCATCTTCTGGTTGTGCAAAAGAATGAGGAAAAACTGTGGTGCATGTGACACTATTCTGAGCCATCCATACCAGTAAGATGAAGAAGTGGAATTGTTCTACTTGATTGTAATGTCAGCGTTTTAAACAGTTTTAAAACAGAGCTTCCTTTACGGCTCACCCTCATCCCTGCTGTTTTGAGAACTCTTCAAGGTGAAGGCCATCATCCATATGGACATCTCACGCATGTGTGGATGAACACCTGGGGCTCTGGCAGTGAGCTGTGGCATTTGTGCAGGTGGAGACAGAATAGAATAGAATAGAATAGAATAGAATAGAATAGAATAGAATAGAATAGAATAGAATAGAATAGAATAGAATCTTTATTGTTGTTGCCATTAAAACAACAAGACTGTTTAGCAGCTCATATTGGCAAAAATATAAAAAGCATAAATATAAGACAATGAGATATCCTTTGTGCAAAAAAAACATTGAAGTGCTGTAACAAAGATATACATGTATGCTATGTACTATAAACATGACAATATATAATATATATGACAATATATACACACAATATAGTGTGTGTGTGTGTGTGTGTGTGTGTGTGTGTGTGTGTGTGTGTGTGTGTGTGTGTGTGTGTGTGTGTGTGTGTGTGTGTGTGTGTGTGTGTGTGTGTGTGTGTGTGTGATACCGGGTTGCAACACAACATGTCAATATACTGTAGTGCAAATATGGAATGTGTTGGCTGGGGAAGGTGGGGGTATTGTACCAGTTTGAGAGGCAGGTTTATTGCACCATAATATTTGGAAGTGAAAGGAGGGACATTTGCATTTGACTGCCTGTGGGACAAACCTTTTTAATCTGCTAGTTTTTGTTTTGATTAGTCTGTATCTCTTCCCAGAGGGCAGGGCGGAGATCAGGTAATGTCCAGGGTGGGTGGGATCTTTTATAATACAACTGTATTTCTTTTAGAGTGTAAATGAAGAGTTCAGATGCAAAAGCCTCTAAATGCCATTTGAAATTTTCTTCTAGAATGATCAGTTTTATCAAGCTTGTATATTTAAGTTCAGTGATTTCACTTAAATGGCAATGATAATTACCTATTAATTGTTATTTAAGTGAAATTACTGAACTTAAATATACAAGTTTGACAAAAATCATCATTAAAGAAGAAAATTTCAAATGGCATTTAGAGGCTTTTGCATCTGAACTCTTCAAATGTTTCTGAGGTAACCACAGATTGCTTTTGACATGAATCTGACTACAAAACAAAAATGCAGGTGAAGGGGTACTAGGGTGGGAGGTTGGTAGATATGCAAACATTGTTGTTAGGCCACTTCTTTACATTTTTAAATATTGGTTCACATTGATACTTATTTTTTTTACCTTTAGATTATTTATAAAACAAGGATATCCTATTGAAATTCAATAGCATTGAGAATTGACTGGGACACAATAATAGGCCTACGGTTTTCGAAATAGTGATTCTCCAAACAAATGGCGATTTATAAACATCTCTGTCCTTAATTGAAACAACTTAGATTGTGATTACTATAATTAAACAATTAAGAGTTCCAAATGCCATTGTAAATTATGCACAACGTTAAATGCAGAAACACTTGCTGAAGGACAGTGCTATTTCTCAGAATACTCATGTGTAACAGGCATAGGCCAACAAGAGATATACATGAGGGCCAAAACAGTGCACATGATTACACAACTCACATGAGAATCATTTTAAAGGACATGGTGTGGAGTATGCAGATATCCAACTGTCAAAAAACCCTCATTTAGAGATCTTGGATGTCTTATTTATAAATAAATAAATAAATTCTTTCTTGTTTTATTATATTTCCTTATTTTGTTTTGCTGTCATTTTGTTTGAAATGCTGTTATTTTTAGATGCAAAGTCACCTGTAAATTCATATGGTCTTTCCAAACATTTTATATTAAAAGTGAGTTTTTGACAATTCCCCATACATTCATACATATTTAATAGGAGTGTAATTGCTTATTTAGATTTATATGCATACATTCATAAAAAGGTGATTAACAGCAGGGGTCCTCTTTATTTGGGGCTTTTTTTAAATTAAAGTATGCATTTAACACAAATATAATGTGTAAAAAATATGTCATCTGTCATTGTTGCGGAACATCAGATTGTGATATTTAGTTAAAATCGTTCAATCAGTAATTATTATTTTAACATTTTATGTAATCATCTAAACAAAGTTTAAATACATTAGTGTGTCATAATATTTTTTTAACAATATTATGCGTCAAACTTAGCAATGCAATGCTACATCTGACAGCTTTCACATTTGACATAAAATCACGCGAACATGTAGCCACGCCCTTCTCCTGTGGTCGTCCAATCAGCGCGGGATACAATCGCCAAGTTGTTCCTGGAACGTCATCACAATTCTGGTGACTGGAGATTACGTGGTGAAGTTAGTTAGCCAGTTGCTAGCCCGACAAAAACAGCACACACAGATGTAATGACTGAAAAAATATATTTGCGTTAAACGTGCATTTCCATAACAATAAACACCAGTTCTTTCTGGGTTTATGGAGGTGTTACGGTAGGTTCACGCTTGTGTGTTTTGTTGGTTTAGTAAGGAATATGCACGAGAGCTAACATCAGCTAGCTCTGCTTACTAATTTATTTCTTATTTCTCCGCTTTACGTTTTTTATTTGACAGTTTTAATTAGATGTTGTCATGCACTGTCAGCATGTGATGGATGAATGGTTTTGACATCAAGCTTACGTGTCATTATTAAACCTGAGTCCTGACACTGGTTACTAGCTTACTACAATGTAGCATGTCAAGCAAAGTCAACATTAAGTCTTTTTTGCTGATGTAACGTACTTAGTCTATTCTAAAACATTGAGCCGCAGCACAATTTGGTTTTATGAGTTGATATTTGTATTTAACTCTACAGTATTGCCTATGTCTTGCTTGAAAACAATGCATCTGCTTTAAATAATTCTTAAGTCGAGTATCAATAGAGGTGTAAGTTAGTACTATTTTGATATGCCATATGGGAATACACAAGCACTAATGTACACTAGACAGTGTTGAATACTAAACCATTCACGTTTAGAAGGCAGGTTTCAAGCACATGAGAATCATTTTATTCAGAAAAGTATCTGCTGTTTAAAAGCCTTGTTTGATTGTATTGGTATAGTGAATTTCTTCTGCTAATGTAATTCTGGTGTTGTGATTGTCTCCACAGAGTCAAGGCAGCAGAGAGAAACCCCAGAATGAGTTCTGCGTATGCCGTGGATATAACCCGTTGTGCATTACGAACACCCTAAAGCATCTCGAGAGAGCCATTCAAAACATTGCTTCACACACACACGGCTATAGGCTACATCTACACTACTGAGATGTTTGCAAAGTTGAAGAAGAAGCTGGCAGAGGAAGGCGCCGCTGCCCCTCGTTCAGGCCGCATCCCTCGCTCCATGAGCAAAGAGTCCATCACTTCTGTGGGCGCAGATTCAGGGGATGACTTTGTGAGTTGATCTTTCTCTCTTTTGCCATCTCATATCTTCGTCATACAATTATAAACCTTTGTGGTGTTTAGACCAATAGATGCATAGATTATTATTATTTTCTGTTATGCTCACCAAAGCTACATTTATTCGTTAATACATACAGTAAACGTAGTTATATTGTGAAATATTATTACAATTTAAAATAGCAATTTTCTATTTGAATATATTTTTAAATATGATTTGTTCCTGTGATAGCAAAGCTGAATTTTCAGCACCATTACTCCAGTCTTCAGTGTCACATGATCCTTCAGAAATCATTCTAATATGTTGATTTCTTATTATAAATGTTTAAAACAGTTTTGCTGCTTATTTTTATTGTGAAGACTTTGAAATTTTCTTTAGGTTACTCTTATGAATGGCAAGTTCAAAACAACAGCATTTATTTGAAATATAAATCTTTTGTAACATTGTCTTTATTGTCATTTTTGATCAATTGAATGCATCCTTATTGAATGAGCGTATTTATTTATAAAAAAAAAACAGCGTCCTTGTTACATGTACCATAGTAATAACAGTAAATTGTGCATAATTACATGAAACTAATCCTAATCCTAACCTATCCCCATAGTAAGTACATGTTGTGAATAAATATTGCTCAATACTTAATTGTAATATTTAAATATTCTAAATATTATATAAATACGATATATAATTACAGAGTAACAATGACACTTTACAATAAAGTGTAACCAAAAAAATATTGCTGACCCAAAACTTATGAAGGGTATATTCTTGGCTTATTCTTATTTTAGATCAAATATGAATAATTATGAATTAAACTAATGCTATAGTATGTTTCTTGTCTGAATGGTGTTAAATCATTTTTTAAACCTATTATCGTGAAAATTGGTTTTTAATTCTTAACCAAAACCAAAGTGTACTTCCAAGTCTAGTAAAGTATCAGCCAACACATTATGATTAGACAGTAAATATTTAATTTTTCCTAATGCAAAAGAAGAATGGCCCTAGTAAAACCGCATGATAGTTATTCCTGTTTCAAATAACTGGCTTATCCACAGTATGCATTGTAGAGAAAGTCACATGACTGTGTTCTGGCTGTGTTTGCACACTGCTTTACTTGAGGAACCTGCTAGTGTGTCTAAGGTTAGTACTAAAGGACTGTGCTATGCTGCTTGGGAAACCAGTGATGTGATAGAAAGTGCTAAATAATATCACATGCTTTGACTACCCTCTGTAACCTGACACTGTTGTCCTCTAGCAATTAATGGCAGCACACTCAGGGTTAGGAGGATCAGGTTGTCTTTTGCCCTAAATAATTAAAGCTGCAGCCTTCAGGCTTGATGGAGAATGAGTCTAAATCAAAGCCACCCTTATATGTGTTTTATTGAGAGGAACTGATGGGTTTTTGGACCCCAGGGACAATGCAAATGTTTTCATTATTATAGGAAACACCTAAATGATTCTGCATGTGTGCTCAGTTTAAGGGTTTTCTTATATAGTTCTTGAAGGATGTGCAATTATATTGTTTTTTTCTCAGGTAAGTGTTTTGTATTTTTTTAATTCATTTTTTAATTTGTATATTTAATACGTGTCGTGGATATATACAATTAGAATTATATATATATGCACTGTTTTTTAAACATTGATAAAGGTATATAATTTAAACTTTTTTTAATTCTATATATATATATATATATATTTTTTTTTTTGCTGCTATATTCATACACGTTTACAAGTGTTGATAATATTTTTAGTGTGTTATCAAAAATGTGCACACAATACTATATAATTTTAATATTAGACATTTATCAGTTATTGCTCATAACATTTGACATAATACTAAATCATACTATACAAAATATATAATCAGTATTAAATGGTAAAATCGTAAAGAATACTAATCATTATTAGTAAATGGGATAGCGTTATTATTCACTTGTATATAAGTTCCTTAAAGGGGAGAGATTATAAATTATTTAGTTTTTTTTTTATTTTATTTTAGTTTTTTACTATGCTACATATAATATGAAATGATATACAGTAGTGAAAGGCTGATGCAAATTCAATTAAACCAATATGTAAAATTATTTGGCAAAAAAGGCAAGCTAACTACAGTAACAGGTTTTATTTTCACAATATTACTACTTTAATATTGATGCATTCCTAGTCTATTTCTATGGTGCTATTAGGATGATAAATGTCTCTTCATCTATATCTTTGGCTTTCAGGCGTCTGATGGCAGCAGCTCCAGAGATGACGCCTCTTCTCAGATTCAGCGCAGAAACGATCAGATACGAAAGCTGGAGGCCAAACTCTCAGGTATCGTCAGCACAATACAGTGAAACTCATGTGAACACAACAGGAGAAAGACACTGAAAGAGGGAAACAAATACGAAAGGGCATCCTGACAAAATCTAAGATGCAGGCTTTTATTTTTACCCTCATCTCACCTGCAACTCTTATCTATTTCACTCTGTATTTGGAAACCTTTTATACCTTTTGCCACGACCTGTTTAAAGCACATAGCGTTCATCGCAGAGCAAACCAGTCAATGAATGCAAATGACTGGAAAAATCTGCATGAATAATAGATACCTGGCTCTCACTATCGGCCTGCCATGGTGTGCAGTTACACACAGCCTGATCTAGAAACTCTTTTAACCCTAAATGAGCTGTGCTAGATAAGATGATTGCATTATTGACCTGATCAGGGATGATGTATTAGTTTAAAGGTCAAAGGTCAGCAGTGAAAGGTAGCTATCACTGCACAGCCTCACAGTCAGTTTGGTTTTCTCATCTCAGAAAATCATTCTGTTTTTCCCTCCATTTGTTTATCTTCTCAATCATGTTTATCCCTTTGTTTTCTCGTCCCTGTTTTTGTCCCTCCTCCTCCCCTCATCCTCCCTCCGGCCGTGTGTTTGTGTGTGTCGGTATCCCATTCCCCGACCCTAGACTACGCTGAGCAGCTTCGGCTAATGCAGAAGACCAAGGAGAAGCTTGAGATTGCATTAGAGAAGTATCAGGATTGTACGTACCGTTCTTTTCCTCCCATTTTCACCTCTTCCTTCTTTTGGCTTTCTCTCCTCTACTCCTTTCCCATTTGTTTGTCCGATGCTTTTACACGAACATGCATTCTGGTTATACATGGTCAACTTGTAGACCAGTAAAGTTGGTTCTCGATCAAGAACCCCCACCAAAAAAAAATGAAAAAGATTGGTGCAACTTTATATTAAGTGGCTTTTAGTACTATGTACTTGCATTGAAATGAATAATTTGATACAATGGACTTATTGTGTACATACATGTTTTTACATTGTACTTATGTTTTAAAATTCCAGCATGTAATTCTAGCTATAATTAATTTATGTAATTATATTTGTAATTACACAGTTGACCCTCCCCTCACACATTAACCTACCCTTAAACCGACCCAACCACCACACCTGTCCCTAACCTTACCCGTATCACACCTCAATAGCAGCAAAAGTGTTTTACAATACACCAGGAACACAATAATACATTGTACTTATTGTTCAATGCAAGTACATAGTACTTAAAGCCACTTAATATAAAGTGGGACCAAATGGTTTATTCACTTGTTTTATATCATTTGGTTAGTCACAAACCTCTTCATCTTGGTTCTATTAAGTTATGCTCTATCAACAGCATTTGCAATCATGAACATTACCACAGAAATTGTTTCTACCCTAAGCTTTTTAACCCTTTAAAGCTATTCAGGTAGCCTGGGAAAACCCAGACAACTTTTGGGAAATTTAGATTTGCTCTGAAAGTCATTCAAGCCCATTTCCAATCCGTCGAAATCGAGGCACCAATCAGAAACGTTGGGGCGGGCGTAACACCATGACGACAGCGCTGGGATTTTGAAGAAGATTTTGTAGCCTACATTACAAAGATGGATGCCGCCGTCAAACATCACTCGTTCGAATCAGCTATCGCGTCTGTTTTAAGCTATTTGAATGGTTCCTTTTTGTTAAAAACCTAGCAAAGAACAACACTCCGCCGCTCTGCAAACGTCATCTCCTTCATCGCTCTGATTGGTTTTAGGTCTATCCGCGACGTCCGTTGGTGACGCCCCTCTGGAAATGATTTGTCTATGACGCTTTGCCAGACAGTTACAACTGAGAATGGTCTGGTTTTAACCAGGCTACTATTCAGGGTCTTTTTGACCCCAAATGACATTTGCTGAAATAAAAAAATCTAAATGGCATGATTGGAATAATATTAGGTTGTATGTTAGTGTGAAAAAAAAAAAAAAAAAAACTCCAGACAATAAAATGTTAAAATGTGTTTTCTATAACATAATAATGTAATTTATTAAAAAAAGACAAATTTAATATCACTCACTTATTTAATGTTTTACTCTATATTTGTGCAGTGTTGGGGGGATTTAAGGATTTTTTTGAAAAATGTATATAAATAAATTAAAAAATATTTTATTTTCATAGACATCAATGGGAGACTATAAAAATACAATTTTGTTACATAATTTGTCACAAAAATTCTGTTACAATGCAGGAAAATGAAGGGGTAATACTACCACACATCCTTGGAGTAACTGCATTCAACAGTGAGTGTACATTAAAAACGAATAGCTTAGGAGGGTTACTGTAATTAAGCTGACATGTGACTAGTGAGGGCCAGTTCACAACAGCAAAATAAGCGTTTTTTTTTTTTTTTTTTTTAAGTTGCACTTTTAACTTTTTTAGACTGCTTTTTTTAGAATGCTGTGTCATGCTTTAGACGCTTCAAAAGATGCGAGATGTGAACGCGGTCAAATACATCCATCTAGTGCAAGTTTACATCATCCCAAAAATTATTCTAAAAAAAAAACAACAACAATTTGCGAGGTTAAGTGAATACTTATTTGGGTAGATAAACATTCTATCATGCTAGCTATTAATAATAAAAACAAATTAATAAACTATAAAACTATAACAACAATATATTAATATAATATTCCCTCAGTGTTTTTTTTTTAAAGCTGAGGGATTAGTCAATGATAATTTTTGGTAAATTCATCAATAATATTCCACAAATGCTGTTGGTGGCCACTTTTAATGACATGATTGTAGATTGTGCCTATAACAAGGTAATATAAGATGCTGATTTGCTCCAAAACATCATGATCTGAAAGTACAGACCCCATTTATAGACCCAAATTAAGAGGATAAATGCACTAAATTGAATGAAACAATTGAATAAAAATAAATGCATGTACTAACAATGTGTTTTACAGCTTTACTACCAAGGACGTCTGGAAATTAAGCAATCTTGTTTTTTTGTTTTTTTTCATTTAATGAAAGTGTGCGTTTTTGTCTCTAATAACACTTAATGCAATACTAACAAAGGTAACAAAAATAATACATGATGTATTGATGTGTAACATATTAACTTTACATATGTCTAACATTACCATCTGTGATAACACTTAACCACTGAGTTATAATGTTATGTCTGTTTAAAGCTGTGTTTAGAATCGCAGGAATATTCCTGAGTTACTTTCAAACATTTTGATTGCTGAATAATTAATTTATGTGCTTTATCAAAAAGACGAGCAGCAAATTTCTGCTTTTAAAACCTACAGACCTCGTTTCTGCTAAGCTTCCATTATAAGTGTATTAACGGCCCATAGGCATTATGTATGACAAGGATCTGGATTATTTCTTAAAGAAGGATTTCGGAAAAATGTAAGCTTTTGACTTTTTTTTTTGTTTTCATCCAGCATCCATGCGCAAACTTCAGGACCAGAACGAAGCTTTTCAGTCTAACAGAGCCAAGATGGCAGAAGGAATGGCCTTAGCGTTAGAGAAGAAGGACCAGGAGTGGATGGAAAAGCTGGCTTCGCTGGAACAGGTTAAGATGCTTTGTGACATTGCACAAAGACATCCTTGTTTACATCCTTGTAATATCCTAATAAATCATAATTGCTTTGTCCTCTTTTTCTCAAACAGGAGAAGTTGTCACTGACCGCTCGGTTAGACGAGATGACAGAGCAGAGTTTAACACTGTTCCAGAAGAGAGATGATCTGGATGAGCTGGAGGGCTTTCAGCAGCAGGAACTGGCTAAAGTCAAACACATGGTCAGCACAGTCATCCTTGTGTATTCTTTTATTAGTTGTAGTTGGAAAAATGATACACAAACCTACATTTCTGCATTCAACAATCATTTTTACACTGATGCATATTATCCAAGTGAAAAGAATATTTAATCTAACAACACGCCGTGTCTGAAAACTCAAGACTAGAGTAGCTCATATTCATTGCAATAGACAACAAGAACAAATTTGTGGGCACTTGTTCTGCAGCTGCTGAAGCGAGAGGAACAGCTGAGTCATCGGGAGAAAGAGCTCCGAATGAGAGGAGAGGAGCTGAACAAAGCGAGACTGACCCTGAGCCAAACCGAAGACAAGCTGTACGAGGTGGGAGAGGAACACGAGGAGATGTGCAGGATCAACTCACAGCTACAGGCTCAAAGGTGTGTGTGGAGAACTTGCACCGGAGAACTTGACTTCCAAATTGACCTATGGCTAAGCCACGCCCTCAAACGTGATGAGCCAATCACAGTGCGCAGCTAACCCAATACACTCGGACATTCTCTGCTTCCACGTCCATTGAAATGCATTGCAGTTAGTCAGTTTCATTCGTTTTTTCTTGTCATTTTAAGTTTAAAATACTCATGGGGTACATGCAACTCCGACACTAGGTTCCCGAGAGGCTGCGCGATGGTGTGTATTTTTTTTTTACCCTTTCCCAAGCCACATCTCAACCGAGATAAGTGTCTGCTCTGAATTAAGTTATGCGGTAGACCACAACACCAACTAAACGTGGATAAATTAAACAAGGATGTCTACATCTGATCTAAGTTAAGTCAACAACGTATTTGTAGGCTATCTTTAATATCTCTTCTAGCTGCGTTGTACTTCATGTCACTTAGCTTCAATAACGTATCTGTAAATAACTGAGATAACAAATGTTAACAATGTTGTGCTGAATGATTCGTGTAAATACTGTAGCCCCAAACGGTGATGGCAACGATATGCGGGTTGTCACGTTTACACTGTGACCTGTACATTTTTGTCTGGAGCTGAACCTTATCGTCAACCTTCTCAACAATAAAATTATTAATATAACTCTCCAATGTATAGTTAAGGCCGTTTAGGTGACTTCGAGATGATATATTATCTTTCTGTCTCCAAAAATCACCAATTGCCTCCTGTGAAATGTCTCTACTGTGACAGCTGCCATAGCGCCTGTCCCCGAATGTTGACTGTTTGTCCGAGTGAGTGGAGGGGCTTAGTGGCTTAGCCATAGGTGGTTTATTCCTTTTCTAATCCGATCGAGAGGACATGTAAACACTTGATCGGATTGAAAACCGAAACTTAAAGTCCCCGTGAACCGCAAGTTGCAAACGATTTTTCTCCAGTGCTGTGACGTATTTCCAAGTGAAACGGAATATTGAACAGAGGGCAGGGTTTTACTCTAGCGCTCCTCCTCTCCATCTCTCGCTCATAGCAAACTAACGGTTTGAGGGGAGTGGTTACGCGTTTCCCCACCCAAGCTGTGAAACCTACGTCATCAGAAAAAGAAACCGTTCCAGACCGGAAGTAACTTTTCAGATCTTGATTAAAGATTACCAAGGTAAAACATTTTATAAATATACATTTACTTGCACGGATTAATTGTTCACCACAAGACTAGTAATATGCGCTAACAAAGTAAATAGGTTCAATTTTGATTTCACGGGGACTTTAAAGGAATGCGCATGTGCAATGAGGTAGAAAGAGAGCAATGACGTGGTATGACGCGGACTGAGCTGTTGTTCCTGTTGAATAAAGTGTCATATAAATGAGTGTCCCGTTATTCTAAAATTCTCCTTTCACTGAGTGTCTGTGAAGTGGAGCAGGACAACATGATCCCACCATCCACAGGCGACTGGTTTAGGGCACGGGGAGGGGCATGCAGCACGGCACAACGGTTCATATGTCATTGTCTCCACGTTACGACCAGAAATGGATATAAAATCTGCTGTTTAAAACAAATAAAAAAAACGATGCTACACAAATTCGTGTTCACACGAATGGTTATTATGCACAAACAGCGTCTCAACAAAAATATAATTTTAAAGATTTGAAATCTAGGTCATCTAGTAAATCACCCTGATTTAGTCCTACTTCAGAATATTTGAAACAGGATGAAATGTTTCAAAGAGTGTTGAAATATTCATCAGTTCCACTTTATTTTAATGTGTCCCTGTTACAGTGTAATTATAGACTTAAGTACTGAGTAATAATAATTAACTACATGTACTTACTATAGGATAAGGGTAGGAACAGGATTTGGTTGAGTGTTAATTGCATGTAATTATGCCTGATTTGTAGTTATTACTATAGTAAATACATGGAACATGTGTAACAAGGACACGACACGTTCAAATAAAGTGTTACTTATTAATTAAACAAATAACCATTTTTAAGACTTCTGTGGAGTTTGCTTATTTATTTCAGTTTCTATAATTGTGTCCGGCTGTCTCTCTCAGGGATGAGTTGTTGAGTGAGAGAGCGGAGGCTGAGAGGAGGGTTGTAGATCTGGAGAGAAGAGAGCAGGAGTTACAGGAGCTCATTCAGCAGGTCTCACAGGATTTCCAGAAGGTGGGCACTTGACAACATTCAGCTCTTCATCAGCACAGATGACACTCAGAAGCCAAGAAGGTTACTTTTGGGAGCATATAGTCACCACTCCCATATAAGTGTTTTCATTTCTTTCACGTTTATTTATAAACTATTTTTATGCATATAACATTGTCATGACATTGCTTATGGTGTACTTTAAGGTTTAGTTCACCCAAAATTGAAAATGACCCCATGATTTACTCACCCTCGAGCCATCCTAGGTGTACATGAATTTTTTCTTTCAGCCAAATACAATTTGGTTATATTAAAAAGTTTTTGAACTCCAAAAAGTGCATCCATCATAAAAGTAATCAAGCAAAGCGATGCGTTAAGAGGAATATTCATATTTATTACTCTATTCAACTACAATCACTGGCTTACGGTAACCTTTGACCTGACAGAATTCTGATTCTTTTCACTCCCATTATAAAGATTGGATATTTTTTAATAAAACTCGGGTTGTGTTTTGCTGATAGACGTAAGTCATACACACCTAGGATGGGTTGTGGGTGAGTAAATTATGGGATCATTTTAATTTTTGGATGTGCTACCCTTTTAAAGAAGATTTTTTTTATTTTATTTTTTATTTTTTTTTATTAAAACCAATTACTGAATTATTTCCAATATTCTCATGTTTTATTATCTTTATTTCTTGTTTTGCTTGTGATTGGTCTTTATTTTATTGCTGACAGTTTACATCTCGTGTATAACTATTTTGTAGAATCTTTGACTAATATAAAAATAGAGGAGAATCTATTACATTTATAAAAAAAATAAAGATAATAAAAAATAAAAATGAAATAATCTGTTGTATAAATATTTAAACCCATGCTTTCACTTGCATAAATTGTTCCTGAAGTAACCATACACTCCTGAGGAAAGTCTGTTTAAAGAAACTGGAATATGTTTACATTTTCTTTGAATGGTATGATGAAAAATAATTTGCAAATTCTATTGTTTCTTTTGCTTTCCAGGCACAAAGCAATGCAAATGCACTAGAGAAGGCAATGGAGCATCTCCAGTCTGAACACAATAAGCTAAAGCTACAGCATGAGCAGCACAAGAACAAGGTCTGATTGACTCAACAAAGAATTCCTTGATACTAATAATGTAATGTATTCACTCACATTTGCATGTGAAAATTACTGTCAGAGAATTTGATTAATTATTCAGGCTCACATCCAATCAAAACCTCTAGGTTATAAAATTACATCAGAATAAACTATATGCAAAATACATTTGTATTCTTTACATCTTGTATTCTTTTGTATTCATTTGCAAAATGTATTTGTATACATTTGTATATGCTTTCCATCCCGATCCATTTTATATCCAATTTGTCTTTTAGACAGAGTGTCAAGGAAAAGACAGTTTAAATAATTCATCTTAACACCCTTGTGCTTCATTCCCTTTCATTGCATGCATATAGCTGTTTTTGGACCCAAAAATATGTCCTGTTCCTAAACTCTGATGCTTAGTTATTTATATAGTGTGTGTGAATGGCTTGGCCTATTTGTAACTCTCTATTTCTTTGTCACTTTGGTAAAACTCTTCATACCATACTGTGATTGGTCAGGTTGCAGTGACAGAAGAGGAGCGAGAGCGTCTATTGGCTGATCTGCAGGAGAAGGCCGCCTCCCTAGAGAGGAGACTAGAAGCAAACTACTCTCAGGATGAACACCTACAGGAACTACTGAAAGAGGTCAGAGGACACGTGTTTATACATGCCTTTCATTTTACTGCAGTTTCAGTCATCTAATATCTGCATGTTTTGTTCGTGTGCGTTTAGAAGTCTGCATTAGAGCAGAGGTTAGAGGAGGCCAGAGGTCAGTTACTGGAGACCAGAACAAATCACACCACAGCAGTCAGTTCACTGGAAGCCCAGGTAACCCAGCGTCTAACCTCATTCGCTGCTCTACATTATTACATGTCGTTTTTAAAATGATGATCTTCAGGCCAGAAAGAGTCATGTAAATGAGTACAATCTTTAAAAGGGTTGTATAATGCATTTTTTCTTACAAGTTAATGATTCTTTAGGGTCTAAGACCCCGTTTACACCTGGTATTAAAATGCGATCTGTATCCAGATAAGTTATCCGGATAATAAGTACTGATTCCATTTACACCTGGCCACATAAATGTGTTTTTGCAAAACGGATATAAATCCGATCTTCACCTCCTGCGTTATATGCAGATTTATTGGATTGCACGCCACCAAAAGCAACAGATCTGAGCGGCATTTTATTGATCATCAGCTAATTTCCAAATCAGAGACATCAATAAGAGAGAGTGGCAACAGGCCTGGTAAGATAATTTCGTTTCTTTACTTGAAGATGTGTTAACTGCGTCTGTGACTTACTTTCACTTTTATTTGCGATGTTTGCACGTTGAATAGACGCTCAGCTGCTCATCTGCGGTGATGCGTGTCGCGTGTCGCATCTGACTAGGCTATAACATGACATATAGCCTATATAACACGCTCTCACTCGTTTATTTTTTAGCATTTTTGGGAGGAGTAAAATATACATATGTGGTTTCAACAACCAGATTGCGTTTACACCTAGTAAAGATCCGGACACAATGCGAGCCAGACTACCTCCAGATGTGGTCAGGCAGATCCGATCACGATCCGATCACAACGCGTTTACACCTTGCATTAACATGCGTTTTTTATTATCCGGATAACTTATCTGGATACAGATCGCATTTTAATACCAGGTGTAAACGGGGTCTAAATGAAAAGTGTGTAATATACTTTAATTAAAAATTCTCATTTGTATTTTTTAGAAAACACTCATTTTACCTGGTCAAAAACAGCTCTGTTTTCAGCACACCGTTTCAGTGCATATTACTTTAAATGATAATGAGCTTAGCTCACTCCGCCCCTCTGTTCTGCTGGTGTTTTGACACAACGCACATGGAGTTAAAATAATTGAAAGTGTGTGTGAGTGTTGCCTTGACCTTGGTATATTTTGGAGAAAGAATGGCAATCGTATCAGTTTGAACCGGAGTCGGACCCGGAAAAAGATGCCGGCCGCAAAGAAGTTTGACAATTAAGGCTCGAACTGGACGTCTCTGAATGGTTGGGTAATCTAATGTCACTTTGTATGTACTGGCAGGGTAACTTTAGATTAATTTAGCAGGTTAGATTAGCAGTTTGTAATAACACAATAATTATATTGAGAACGTTGTACATAGAAAATATGGCCTAATGTACCCTAAGTGTAAACCTTAGCCGAATTCATTGTGAAGCGTGCAAGCGATTTGCAAAGATTAATATAAAATATACAATTTTACACTCACTTCTTCTGGAGGTGCAGCAGGGACATGAACAGTTGGTACCGATTCTTTTTTTCAGGAGCAGCTTCTTAGCAAAACCAGCTTTATACTTTACTGACCCTCGTTTATAAAGCAGCCTGGTGAGAAATGATTCGCAAATCGTGCAAACATGAAAGCATTGAGGTTGATTGTGATGAATATTCCCTTCGAAAACAAAACTCAGCCACTGCGTCTTCAGCGGTTCAAATTTAGGGACATCAAATTGACTGCTGTGTTCGTTATTACACCGAAGAACAGAACGCCACAATTGCTTAGACGTCATTCTGCTCCAGTTTATCAACAATGGCGGACTATGATGACAGCTCGCTCAGGGCGGGGATGTGTTGAACGCTGCTGTCAATCAACAATCGTGGGAGGGGCGTCAAACGGCTCGATTTGAGGCTGGTAAAAACATATAAGGAGATTAAAACAAAAACACTGGATGGATTTTTATCATTATATAATGGTTGTGTACACTGTAAAAAAATATTTTCATGATTTGTAATCACAACATTATTTCTTTTGTCAAATTAACTTAAATAATTTATGTTGTTCAGAAAGTTTCTGATGATTAAATCAATCACCTTCATTGTATTAACTCAATTTTTCAATTTCAATGAACTTAAATTTTTAAGGCAGCCAGGTTACTTCATTTTTTAAGTTAAACCAACAATCTTTTTTACAGTGTACAGGCACTGCCAACAGGCATTCCAGTACAATCAACTTGTAAAAGTGCATGTACCATTATATGACCCTTTAAAAAAAAGTAATGTTTTCTTTTCATGTTACTTTTAGTTCAGTAAACATATTTAATTTGTTTTTGGTATTTTATTATTTTAATAACATATTATACACTACCATTTAAATGTTTTTGATAGAAGCATTCATTTGATCAAAAAGTAAAAAGAGTAATATTTGAAATATTATTGCAATTTATTGGATCTGTTTTCTATTTGAATATATTTTAAAATATAATTTTATTCCTGGGATTTCACAGCTGAATTTTCAGCATCATTATTCCAGCCTTCAGTGTCTCCCGATCCTTCAGAAATCATTCTAATGTGGTGCTCAAGAAACATTTTTGCTTATTATCACTGTTGAAAACAGCTGTGCTGCTAAATATATTTGTGGAAACCGGGAAACATTTTTTTTTTTTTTCTTAGATCAATCGAAATCTTTATAATAACTTTACTTTCACTTTGGATCAATTTAATGTTTTTTATTAAAGGGATGGTTCACCCCAAAATTAAAATTCTGTCAGTATTTATTCACCCTCATGTTGTTCCAACGCCGTAAGACTTTCGTTCATCTTCGGAACACAAACTAAGATATTATTGATTTAAATCATAGAGCTGGATCACTCCTCCATAGGCTTTTAAAGGATTTGAGGCTTGCCGGCCCTGAAAAGTTAAAAACATTGTTAAAGTAGGCCAAGTGACTACAGTGGCTCAGTCTTATGTTTATCAAGCGACGAAAATATTTTTTGTGCGCAAAAATAACCACTTTATTCAACTACTCATTTTCTTCTCTGTGGGCCGTGACATTTCATGTAGTGAAACTGTGTAACGCTTCTGTGTTGCACATCACAACCTAGCCGTGCGTCGGTTGTATGTTGACGTACAACCTAGAAGCGCTGCGCAGTTTCACTACGTGAAAACTTGTAATAACATTATACGATTTTTAATATAAGTATTAATGTTGTTTAAAAGTCTTACTAACCCCAAAACTTTTAAAAGGTAACATAGAATGTATTTAAAGTATCCAAATACAGAATTTAATTATTATTCAAATAATATTGTATTGTTGATTTGAATCAAATTGAATTTGCAAAAACCCTTTGGAATTGAGTCAAATTCCAAAAACTGTATTGTTTCCTACTGCTAGTAGTAAGAGAATTCCTATTTCTCATTTGTTTCCAGATCTCTCGTCAGAAAGCCAGCATCACAGATCTGCAGACTCTGGTCAAGCACAAAGACGATTCGTCCAGGGCTTACAAAGAGAGGACAGACGCACAGGTGAGAGCACTGCGATTCTCCAGTTAACCCACACATCACATGACCGTGGCTGATTGATCTGAATGATGTGAATGTGTTCTGTCAGATCTCAGAACTGGAGCAGAGACTGGCTGACTGCGCTGAGAAGATGAAGAGTCTGCAACAGCAACTCGAAGACAGTGAAACGCACACAGAAAAACTGGTACATTATGACAGTCAATGTCTCACCAAACGTCTCAGTAGCCTGCTCAGTTCCGTCCATCGGTTTGTTACTACTACTAACTGTTTTTGCTGAAATGTCGCCCTCTTCTGTCAGATATCTGTCATACTCACTGGGATGGCAGCATTAGATGAAGAAAATATGTCATGATGTCTAGGGTTATTAAAAAATGGGCTTGTCATTGTCTTGGTGTCTGTCTTACAGATCAGCTTTATTGTTAATTTGCCTTAGAGTTTTGACTTTTGGCCTTTGGTCCCATAGCAGGTGGAGTGGTCGGAGGAGAGAGAGCGACTACAACAGCAGGTCTCGACACAGAGACAGAGAGGCTTGGAGAAAACAGCCAGGCTGGAGGAGGAACTTCTTGCTCTACAGAGAGAGAGAGAAACCGAGGTCAACAAGCATCAGGACAACGTGGTGTGTAACACATCACTCGTGTGTTTCTTTGACTATCATGAACTGAACATGGGAACGTTATTAAAAGTTTTTCTGATGTTTGTGTCTTTCTCTCAAGCGGTTGCTGGAGGAGGAGAAGGCCTCACTTTTGAAGAGCAAAGCTGAGATTGACAGCACTGTAGAGAGACTGACGGCAGAACTCGACCAGTCTAGAGTGAGAATCATCTGCATCTGCACAAACAGATTCACTATGTAACGCTACCATTCAAATGTTTGGGTTGATACGATTTTGGAAGAAGTCTTTTTATTTGATCAAAAATGCAAAAACTTAATATTGTGAAATATTATTACCATTTAAAATAACTGTTTTCTACTTTAATTCCTTTGTTGTCAAAGCTGAAATTTCAGCATCATTACTCCAGTCTTCAGTGTCACATAAATCTTCAAAAATCTTTCTAATATGCGTATTTTTTTTCCCCCCCAACAGCTTTTATTTGAAATAGTAATTAGAAATTTGTAAATACTGTCAATTTTGATGAATTTAATGCATCTTTGCTAATATAAAAGTATTAATTTCTTTTAAAAAAAAAATGCCCCCATACACAGTAGTGTAAGTTTAAAGTGCAGCTAATATTATAAAGCGGTCCATCATAATCCCTCCTGGTTGACCAACCAGTCAGTCATACTGCCCAGTCCTACTGTGGACATTTCGAGAGGTATTTTGTGAGCTTGAGTCGTTTTGTTGACCACTATAGCATTTGTGTGACATATATCTGTTTGTGTCACAGGCGGATTTGAGTAGCAGACAGACGGTCAGCGTTGAAATCGCCAAAGCTCTGGAGGAAACCAGAAAACAGAGGGAAGAACTCCAACTGCAGGTTAATTCACTGGCATATTTTTTCAAATATTAAGTCATGCACCTGTTTTACTTAATTTCTTGTATTTTATAGGTCAGCAAAATGACAGAGTCTCTTGAGAAGGCGGAACAGGAAGTGAGTCGTCTTTCTCAGGATTTAGGGGCAAAGGAGGAAGAACTAAACTCGTTGAAGGAAGGTGAGTGACCAGATGTGGCAGCAGGAAAGAAACTGGTTCAACCCCTCCATAATTAGCGGTTTAGTTTTTAATTACTAAATTTGCAAAAATGTAACCTTTCATTGAAGTAAATCACATTATGAAATGCATGTTTTTCTCAAACACTTTTTTGAAAAATTTTTGGCCCCTTTTGTTAAATATTTTTTGCTGCTCTGAGTCCTCTCCTATAATGCCTGATGAGTGTGCCACTTCTCTTCAGTTCAGCACACTCATTTTCTATAGTGATTTCCCCACCCCCCCACCCCCGAAACACACACACACACACTTTAAATTATTTTACTTCAATGAAAGGTTAGTTTGCAATTTCGTTTAATAAAATATCAAAAGGATAAACAATGATGAAATTTAGACGTGACCAAAAGAGTCAGATGTTAATTTAGTAACTGCTTTTACTTGTTTAATGGGTCGGTTTGTTTAAATTGTTTAAACTGGTAATTAGTTTGAGCAATGTATTCAAATAACCATCTTCAGATTCAAGCTTCTGTTTCTTATTATGTGTGTTTGTGTGTCAGAGCTGAAGGCAGCCCGTAGCAGTCTGTCATCTCTGCAGGCTGAGTGCGAGTCTCGTCGTTTGGAGGCTGAGGAGAGAGAGCGAGAACACACCTCTCAGCTGACATCACTGCAGCAGGAAGTACTCACGCAAACACAGCAACTCTCTTCTTACCAGTCCCAGGTCAGTATGTGCTTTTACCCACCTGAGCTGCTTGCTGTTAAGATACATTACCCTACCAATTTGATGTTTTTGGATTGACATATCTCTTTGTGTGTGGCAGGTGTCTGATCTGGAGGGTGAGGTGTTGAGATTAACAGCACAGTCACATGCAGACGAGTGTGATGGTGAGCAGAACGGGACAGTTACTGCAAGTGATCTTGACCAGTTACAAAAGGTCAATAAAGACCTCGAGCAGCAACTGGCTGAAAAAAACAAGGTGAGAGCAAAGAAAAGCACTTAAATGAATCAAAGTTCTAAGAAGAGCAGAGATTTTAAAGTGCCCCTATTATGCTTTTTAGGTATTAGCATTTAAGTTGTGCGCAATCTAACTGTTTGTTAAGGTAAAAGGTCGGCATAGCAAACTTGCAAATCTACCTTGACCCTTAAACATTGTAGTTGTAGCTGAGGCCTGAAAGAGTTTTTTGTTTGTGTTATCGACATGTCAAAAATGTCTGTTTAATGCGCTACAAAAGCAAATGAACTTTGCATGCATTTCCAAAGAATGAAGACTCGGTTTTGAATTGATATGGTAAAACCTACACTATTGTTACTGTTCATATCAATGTGTATTCAAGTGCTGAGGAAGCCTTCGGAGCTAAAATTCAGATGTCCCAACAGACTGGGCCATCTGACCAATCAGAGCAGAGTAGGCTCGCACGGAGAGGAGTTTAAAGAGAGTGAATTCTTTATCAAACCATTTCTGACACTGAGAAAATGGATGATGCTGAATAAATTATCATAATTTTTATTTGTTTCCTTGCATGTAAATCTTTTATTGAAGACCTCCAAAACATAATTAAGAGCTTTGAAATGGGCATAAAAGGGGCACTTTAATATATATTTTTTTTATTATGAACTTGTAATTTTATGTAAGAGCGTAATTTATACAGAGAACATATATATATATATATATATATGAAGAGTTCAGATGCAAAAGCCTCTAAATGCCATTTGAAATTTTCTTCTTTAATGATGATTTTTATCAAACTTGTATATTTAAGTTCAGTAATTTCACTTAAATAACAATTAATAGGTAATTATCATTGCCATTTAAGTGAAATCACTAAACTTAAATATACAAGCTTGATAAAAATGATCATTCTAGAAGAAAATTTCAAATGGCACTTAGAGGCTTTTGCATCTGAACTCTTCATATATATATATATATGTGTGTGTGTATAAACACTTGTAATCAAATTTTCATTACTAATGTAATGCGTTTCTCCACATTTGAACTAACTTTGCTGACATAGCCAAGCTTGCACTGGAGGCGAAAAATTAAATGCACCAATAATATTGCCCTTTTTTTTTTTAATTATAGTGTGGGTTAATAGGTAAGGGAAGGGTCAAAGTTATAATTAAATATGCAGTTAGAGAAAGAAATTACAGCTGTACTTACATGATGCAGGTGTTTTTTTTTTTATTTAAGGACGATGTAGAAACATGAATGCATACATTGTATCAAATGATTAATTTAAATGTAAGTACATTGTAGTTAAAGACACTTAATATAAAGTAGGACCAAACAATCTACTACATGTGTGTGTATATAAAATGTTTTTTTATGTATAAAATGTTTGTGTTTTTTTTGTTTTGTTTTTCAGACAATAAAGCAGTTACAGCAGAGGCTTGCAGAACTGAAGAGGACACTACAGAAAGAGCTGGTAAGTGTGTTTATTCAGATTCATTTGTCAGTGTACTATATGAAACACAGTCCATGTCAGCTGTCAGCAAACATTTCCTCACGTGTTTATGCAACAGAAACTGAAACCAGATCCGGACTCTGAGATGAGGGAGAGATCGGCCGATAAGATGCTCTCAGAGACACAGATGCCCACTACAGCTCCAACCCCAGCTCAAGGACTCCCTCAAACCCCAGGCCCGCAGCCCATCACCTCCAACACCACAGTCACCAACAGTTCAGACCTCACCGACACAAGAGAGATCAACTTTGAGTACCTCAAACACGTGGTGCTGAAGTTCATGTCATCCAGAGAGGCAGAGGTGAGGGCTTGATTGGTTTCTGATCTGTTCAGATTACCAAAAAAAAAAAAAACCTTGCTAATGTCTGTGGTCAGTATATAAATAAATAAGTACTTATATTTAAAAGTGACAGTAAAGACATATAATGTTACAAAAGATTCTATTTCACTTAGATGCTGAAATTATAAATATAGCTGCGAGCAGCGATGGCGGGCCCAAGCCGGTGGCACCGCCACCCCGGTTCCTTTAGTTACCTAAATGCACCCGGGTGGCGGTGCCGAATGCTTTGGCCCTTTTATGATTAAATGTTAAAACGGCTTGCCATACTCTGTCATTTCGACTAGTCACAATTATGTTACAGATATGTTAAATGATAATACAAACTATCCAAAATGTAATTACGAATAGACAGAAAGACGTTGTTGATATCTACAATGTTAATTCCGGACAGGCAAACTTAGCTTTTAAATGTTAAAAGGGCTTGCCATACAGGGACGTAGGCTCAGAGAGAGGCTCACCATATTCAAACCAAAATATCTGACTTCCTCTTGGTCCGAGCTAATGACTATGTATTAGAAAGTTGTCCGGCTTGAGGAGTACAATGTATATAGCGATTTTTGTAACTGTAGATAAAACTAACAACCCCACTTTTGTCAAAAGGTGGCGCTATTTAGTCCTTGCACTATGCCCGTTTCTGAAACTTTGCACATGTCTACTGGCTAATAAATGTGATGTATCTGTTGAGTTTCAAGCAATTTCAATTTCAATTTGACTGTTGAAAATAAGTGCGCCGATTAGATACTCAGGATCGGTATCGGCTCTGACACTGCCATCTTTGACGAGGCTGATTTAAATTCTATATTGTGCATATATACTATTCTATGTTAGGCACAAAGGCACAAAAACTTTCTAAAGTACCATAAAGTTTTTGTGTACTGTATTATTAGTGTTCTGAAGCTATTATGTGATATAGAAATTAATATTTAAGTCATTAAATTCAAGAACACGTAAACTTTTCCCTCTCTGCGCCTGTCAGTCATTCTCCATTCAGCATTCAAACAGCACGTCACATTCGGTTACAGTCAATGATGAAACGATCTTCAAGATGATTGAATGTTAATCCTATTATACTGGATCTTTAAGATAAAGGTCTAAAGGTCTATATTTTCGAATGAAGAAACTTTTTCTTGCTGGACTTTATTGCTGTAACTTAACCGTGTTACTTTCTACCGGGTGTCGGACGCTGTCGGTTAGATCACAACACTAGAGTCAGAGCACTATAATTGTTCTTCACGCACACAGTAACTGAAATTTAAAACCTTTAAAAGAAAAGGCTCAATAAACTATTGCATAGATAGATAATGTATAATACACTGTTCATAAATATGTATTTCCTTTGTGCTTTGAACTTTTCAATACGGACTCACTGCGCTGTAACTTCATGTGGCTTCAAGCACATCATTCTCCGCTCGGGATGCACATAAGTGCTTTGTGCTGCACCGTATTGGAGCCGTAATATCATAATGCAGTGACGTAATGACAGATTATTAATTGCCTTTCAATTATATGTTGCTGCGTCATTAAACATCTGTCCTATGCATTTCAAACATTTATAGCAGCCATGGCTATATTTTTTTATGATTTTTGTTATCTTGTTTTTCATGAATGTATTTTTCAAAAATAAGAGCAATGTGTATTATCTATTATTAATATGGTTTATAATAACATTTTTGTCATAGATTATGACAAAGTAATCATATGATCCACCAGCGAGGAACCAGCAGAACAGAGTGAACATTCTTTCTGTTTAGTTCAATCCTACTTAATAGGAATTTATTTAAAATGCTCGCTCTACTCCACACCATTAATGTCTTGTGCGGACATCCGTATTTCGACTTTCGGTTTTAAGTAAGCGATTTAAAAGCTCCCAAGTCCCAGCGGAGTCACACGTTGATTAACCGGTGGGAATATACACAATAGGCCTACCTGATATTGAACACAAGAGGGCAGTATAGCACTACGTATGACTCAGATTATTATTTTTTTATGAATTTTACAACAATTCTGGCTGTTTTTGAACGTAAACATAATTCTTAAATGAAAAAAAGGAAAAATTGGGGAAGTTATAATATTTGTATAATTTAATTTAGAAACAAATGATGTATAATTAAATTTTTAGAAGATATGAGGCTTTTAGTGTTTACTTTTTTGACATTACTTTAATCTTTTGCCATAGTTGCACATGTCTACTGGCTAATAAATGTGATGTATCTGTTGAGTTTCAAGCAATTTCAAGCATGCTAAGAGTCCCAAAAGCATCAAAAAAGAATGTTAAAGTTTGATTCGTTGCCACGGCAACAGTATCAAAGATATCAAAAATTCATTCACAGGTCTACATCTGCCGTGTATTTACATTATACAGATGAAGTTTGAAGCAAATCGGTTAAAAATAAGAGATTGGTTTCAAAGCATTTTGAAAGTGACACACTTCCTGCTGCCAGTTGGTGGCGCTATAATTTTGACTCACAATAGTCACATCCATGTGATCGGTCTCTTACAGCGAACACACTGCTGAAGTTTCATCAAGATCAGTTAATGTATGCTGAAGTTATAACACACATCCTGTTTCATGTTTCTCGCCATAATTTCGTTTCCTCGCCACGGCCAAACCGTTCGAGATATCAAAAATCCCTTGGCATCTTTTCATCCTTAATGTCTTGACTTCACGCTGATCGAGTTTTGTCGAATTTGGTTCAGTGCTCTAGGAGCAATACTTTAAATTCCATTGCATGTGTTTTAAACACAACCCTAAATAGCCGTCTTCCTGTTGGGCTGGGGTAAAAAGTAAGAGTGTGAAGTAGGCTATATATGAAACGATGAGATCTATATGTGTACCAAGTTTCATATTATTACATGCAAGTGTGTTTGATTTATGGACCAAATTTTCAGACCAAGTTTATTGACCAAGTTAATCTGATTAATAAACTAATTATATAAAACTATTGTCAATGCACTACAATTAAACTAGTTATATGTCTTTACTTATAAAAAATAAAAATAAAAACTTATTTAAAAAATACCAGGCTTGAGAAATGTATTTTCTTTATGCAGGTCAAACACACAGCAGTGAAATGGTTAAGCCCCCTCCCCCTGCACACTCACACACACAGACAGGCAAAGACAGAGAGACACAGAGACATATAGGCTCAGAGTGACCATATTCAAACAAAAATATCTGAGTTTCTGTGGGTCCTAGCTAATAAGTGTAAATTAGAAAGTTGTCCGGCTCGAGGAGTACAATATACATACCAATTTTTGTAACTCTAGTTAAAACTAACAACCCCACTTTTGTCAAAAGGTGGCGCTACTGAGCCCTCACCACGCCCGTTTCTGAAACTTTGCACATGTCTACTGGCTAATAAATGTGATGTGTCTGTCGAGTTTCATGCATTTTGAAGCATGCTAAGGGTCTCAAAAGCATCCTAAAAGCATCCTAAAAGAAGGGTAAAGTTTGATGCGTCGCCACGGCAACAGTTTCAAAGATATCAAGAATCCATTCACAGGTCTACATCTGCCGTATGTTTACATTATACATATGAAGTTTGAAGCAAATCGGGTAAAAATAAAAGGGTGATATCAAAGCATTTTGAAAGTGACACACTTCCTGCTGCCAGTTGGTGGCGCTATAACTTTGACTCACAATAGTCACATCCATGTGATCGTCCTCTTACAGCGAACATACTGCTGAAGTTTCATCAAGATCAGTTAATGTATGCTGAAGTTATAACAAACTTCCTGTTTCACGTTTCTCGCCATGATTTCGTTTCCTCGCCACGGCCAAACCGTTCGAGATATCAAAAATCCCCACACAAGCTTTCATCCTCAATGTCTTGACTTCATGCTGACCGAGTATCGTCGAATTTGGATCAAAGCTCTAGGAGGAGTATTTCAAATAACATTGCGAGCGTTTTACAAACAAACCTCAATAGCCGACTTCCTGTTGGGCTGGGGTAAAAAGTAAAAGCGCGAGGTATAGATGAAACGATGAGATCAACATGCGTACCGAGTTTCATATTATTACATGCAAGCGTGTTTGAGTTATGGACCAAGTGTTCGGACCCCGTTCCAGGGGGCGCTGACGAGCCCCCCTGCCACGCCCGGGTACCATCTTCAGCCCGGCTCTGATGGCCGCGGGTTCTGACCCGTGTGCAAAGTTTCAAGAGTTTTCGAGCATGTTAAGGGCCCCAAAAGTGCCCGAATAGTCGTAAGAAAAATAATAATAATAATAAATATAGCTGCGAGCAGCGATGGCGGGCCCAAGCCGGAGGCACCGCAACCCCGGTTCCTTTAGTTACCTAAAGGCACCCGGGTGGCGGTGCCGAAGGCTTTGGCCCTTTCATGATTAAATGTTAAAACGGCTTGCCATACTCTGTCATTTCGACTAGTCACAATTATGTTACAGATATCTTAAATGATAATACAAACTATCCAAAGTGTAACGACTAGACAGAAAGACGTTGTTGATATCTACAATGTTAATTCCGGACAGGCAAACTTAGCTTTTAAATGTTAAAAGGGCTTGCCATACAGGGACGTAGGCTCAGAGAGAGGCTCACCATATTCAGACCAAAATATCTGACTTCCTCTTGGTCCGAGCTAATGACTATGTATTAGAAAGTTGTACGGCTTGAGGAGTACAATGTATATACCGATTTTTGTAACTGTAGATAAAACTAACAACCAATGTAGTAGCACTTCTCTTTTTTTGATTGGCTGATGCGTAGCAGGGTCGACTGCTGAACTCCAGGCGAGACGCGCTTGATTCTCACGTGAGAGCGGCGCGGCCAGAGAAATTGCGTATATTAAATATATTATTAATAGTTTTTCCGCATGAGAAATACAATGTGTGACGGGAGTGTGAGACAAAAGACTGAAACGAGTGACTGTCATGCTCAATGCGTGACACACTATAAAAAAAATATTTCACACTGACTCCACATTTAGGGGGCCACAAGGGGGTCCAAGCTTGTTGTCGCAGGGGCACTGGCCCCCCCAGGCCCCCGCCTAGAACCGCCACTGCTCACACACACACACACACACACACACACTTTCTCTCTCTCTCAAGAAGCAAAAACATGACTGCTAAAGGTTGTATCAGCGATGGCGGGGTAACATCACTTAACATCACGAGTGATATTCCCTTAGGCCACGCCCCCTTGTCTCCCCAAAGTATTATAAGCAATCATGCGCATCCCGTGTGCAGAATGATGCACTTGAAGCAACACCAAGTCACAGCACGCAACGCTTCACATTGAAAAGAACATAGCGAAGGGATGGTATCTATAATCTATGCTTAGTAGGGCTGCACGATTTGGGAAAATGTCATATTGCCATTATTGAGCCAATATTGCAATTGCGATTTGCGACTCCGATATAATAAAATGGTTTCATGAGTCCAACTTGCTTGGTTCTAAAGTAAAATGCACACACAGATTAATGTTTATTTCTCAACTCAAACTAAAAACAACAACAACAATAAATGATTGATAACACCTATAATGATCAATAAACCATGCATCAACCAAACCAACATTACAGTGATTCCATCAATTGAAAGCCATCAACTTTTTAAAAAATTATTAGGCTTAAAAAAAATATATAACAGCTTTTAAATTAAGTGAACTTCAAACAATCCCCACATAAACCCATAATAAAAAACATATTTACCTGTGCCCTTCCTGTCTTAACAGGTACAGAAATTGAATAAAGTTATCAAACAGTCTGCGCTGCCTGAATCATAAATTATATATATATAATAATCCTTATTAAAGCTACAAAAGTTCTTTACTCAAGATCAGTGAGTAATTTTCTAATTTCCCTTTGTTCTTTTAACTTTACTGAAAGAACGCTTTATTCGCTGCTGGCCCTTTAAGAGCACCCGTTGCCGAGACGCGGATCTCACACGCGCCTCATAGCACAACTCACAACTCTCACATTTTGGCATAATTGTGTGTGCTATTGTTCGTTCAAGCTCGAAAGAGAACTGTTTATTCTGGGCTGGCACACGGTCAGTGCATGCGCATTATGCGAGTCTCATCTATTCTAATCTAGGGCACTCACAGGCAGCTTTTCACTTCTTGTCGTGCAAAATGCGAAAAGGCATTTGAACCAATAAGAGGGGGATCTTGTAACACTAGTCAAAGGATGACAAAAAAGAAGAGATGCTGCGCTAATAGCCCTACTTTGTTTATTTCATATAAAATCGCGGCATTTTGCGTTATATAATTGCATAGGTTTGAGATCGCTATTACGACTGCGATATAATTAATCGTGCAGCACTAATGCTTAGTGTATTCTAAAGGGCAATAAACTCCACTCCAGCAAGATAGTCATTTTATGCAAATCATAGACCTTTATGCCTTATCTACAAATAAAGTATAATATTGGGAACATTGATCTTGAAGAGAGTGTCGTCGTGTTACTGTCGCAACCGAACGCGACGCGCTAATGCTGATGCATGGAGAATGACTGAGGCGAGATGACTTTCCGTTAACTTTAACTTAGAGACTAAAATATTAATTTTACCACACATTAAGCTATTGAATGACTTTAGAAGTCTTGGAATATAGTGTGAAAACTTGATTGTGCTTTACAGTTTTTTATGCCTTTAGTGGGGCTTAACAAAATAACACAATATGCAGAATGTCGGACGTCACTTATAGGCTAAACTGTTTTTATAGATAAAACTATTTACATTCGGCAGTCATGAAAACAAATCTCAGATAACGGTTGACTAGGTAACAATGTGTAATTTTGCGCCGGAGTTCTCCTTTAACTTACATTAGCTAGCTAACTACGAACGAGCTAACCAGATAACATTAACAAATTGACAAGCACTTACTGGGCACAGTGGGCAGAATGGCTCTTCAAATGACGGACGAAATTGGAGGTTGTCATCTGACTGTCCGCGATCTTAACGTTGCATGTCTTGCAAAGCGCTGTTCTTTTGCCATCTTGTTGTAAGAAATTCTTGAATCCAAAAGCGACGACGACCCTCGTTATCCCTCCGGCTGACATGTTGATGTGATCTGATGTAAGTGGGCGTGGTGTGCGCGTAAGGTATGAGAGGGCATGACTGATGATCTCGTGATCCAGTCATGACAGCGCTATTCTCAGCCTGCGCTCCAGCTGGATCAACTTTATTTTTTTTACATAATTTATATATTTTATATTCAAACTGAAAACATGATGTGATTAACACTCAAGTCATATTATTACATGCAAGTGTGTTTGATTTATGGACCAAATTTTCAGATCAAGTTTATGGACCAAGTTAATTTAATTAATAAACTAATTATATAAAACTATTAATGCACTACAATTAAACTGGTTATATGCCTTTACTTATAAAAAATAAAAAACTTATTTAAAAAAATACCAGGCTTAAGGCATTTATTTTTTATGCAGGCCATACACACAGGAGTGAAATGGTTAAGACCCCTCCCCCTACAAACACACACACATACACAGACAGGCAAAGACAGAGATGTAGGCTCAGATTAAGCAAGACCACATTCAAACAAACATATCTGACTTTCTGTGGGTCCTAGCTAATGAGTGTCAATTAGAAAGTTGTCCGGCTCGAGGAGTACAATATACATACCGATTTTTGTAACTGTAGATAAAACTAACAACCCTACTTTTGTCAAAAGGTGGCGCTACTGAGCCCTCACCACGCCCGTTTCTGAAACATTGCACGTGTCTACTGGCTAATAAATGTGATGTGTCTGTCGAGTTTCATGCATTTTGAAGCATGCTAAGGGTCTCAAAAGCATCCTAAAAGCATCCTAAAAGAAGGGTAAAGTTTGATGCGTCGCCACGGCAACAGTTTCAAAGATATCAAGAATCCATTCACAGGTCTACATCTGCCGTATGTTTACATTATACATATGAAGTTTGAAGCAAATCGGGTAAAAATAAAAGGGTGATATCAAAGCATTTTGAAAGTGACACACTTCCTGCTGCCAGTTGGTGGCGCTATAACTTTGACTCACAATAGTCACATCCATGTGATCGTCCTCTTACAGCGAACATACTGCTGAAGTTTCATCAAGATCAGTTAATGTATGCTGAAGTTATAACAAACTTCCTGTTTCACGTTTCTCGCCATGATTTCGTTTCCTCGCCACGGCCAAACCGTTCGAGATATCAAAAATCCCCACACAAGCTTTCATCCTCAATGTCTTCACTTTACGCTGACCGAGTATCGTCGAATTTGGATCAAAGCTCTAGGAGGAGTATTTCAAATAACATTGCGAGCGTTTTACAAACAAACCTCAATAGCCGACTTCCTGTTGGGCTGGGGTAAAAAGTAAAAGCGCGAGGTATAGATGAAACGATGAGATCAACATGCGTACCGAGTTTCATATTATTACATGCAAGCGTGTTTGAGTTATGGACCAAGTGTTCGGACCCCATTCCAGGGGGCGCTGACGAGCCCCCCTGCCACGCCCGGGTACCATCTTCAGCCCGGCTCTGATGGCCGCGGGTTCTGACCCGTGTGCAAAGTTTCAAGAGTTTTCGAGCACGTTAAGGGCCCCAAAAGTGCCCGAATAGTCGTAAGAAAAATAATAATAATAATAATAGAAAAGAATAATCCTAAGGAAAACAATAGGGCCTTCGCCCTTTCAGGGCTTGGGCCCTAATAATAATAATAATAATAATAATAGAAAAGAATAATCCTAAGGAAAACAATAGGGCCTTCGCCCTTTCAGGGCTTGGGCCCTAATTACAGTGATAATAATAAGAAATGTTTCACGCAGAATGTGTTTTTCTATGTAAACATGCTAGATTAGACATTTAACCGTTGTGATCTTGTGGATGACACGACATTCTAAAAATACAGCAATCAACTTAAAAGAAGTTCAACTTTAAAAAAGCCTGTTTCTTACCATCAAATAAATAACTATATTAAAAACATTTCAATTGTAATAGTATTTCACTATATTACTGTTTTTACTGTATTTTTTTTTTATCAAATGAATGCAGCCTTGGTGAGCAAAAGAGCCATCTTATAAAACATTAACAATACTTACTGACCCAAACTTTTGTTGTGTTCATCCAATCATCTTTTGTTGTCCTATAAATGTTTTTTATTATTATTTTGGCACATTATTTACCCTAATAATCCTCTTAATAAAATCCTGTTAGTATAGGCATCAGTGATTTTTAAACTCTGGACTAGTATACCTGCAAGTTATGCTTGAATGAATGAAATATTACCCCACTCTCTCACTCTCTCTGTTCAGGCTTTCCAGCTCATCAAAGCTGTTTCAGTACTTCTACACTTCACAAAAGATGAAGAGGACATGCTCAAACAGACACTGGAGTACAAGGTGTGTAAAATAAACAAATTGAAGTATGATGGAGGACAACCTGTAGAAAGTCAGCTTGCTTTCTTTTCAACCCTCATCATACCCGGTACCGTTCTCCCACGGACCCTTGAGCTAACTAGGCCACTCTGCTAAGGCAGATAACAATGTGGGTCAGGATATCTGGCTCACCGCACCAAATCAAACCATTAGCTCTCAGTGACACATGTCAGGAATAGCAGCTGGGAGGTATTTATAGCTCAGCCCAGCTAGAAATCACTGTGCCACATTACACACGCTGCCCCTTTGAACACTGTGGTACACTGGTACTCTGGTGTGAGTGGAGGATTTTTGAAGAAAAAAAAAAATATATATATATTTATTTAAAGCTGCAGACTACATTTTTTCCTCTTTGTCGCCATCTCTGTTCAAAATCTATGGTGACAAATCAATGCCAATAATAACTGAGCAAACTGCCGCGGAAAATGACTTTCGCGAGAGGATAACAAATCTACACGTGAGGAAACGGGAACTCGTGAGCTCGTTCAAAAACCGCGCGCCCGCATGACATCATGATCACATGACCATTCCACACGCCCTCGCGCTTGATCTGCTCCCGCCTGCAGCTTTTGCTTGCTTGAACGGGTTTATTTTTGGCAGTCGAGGGGCGGGACTTACTGTTTTAATAACCTCAAATGTCATTGGTTACTTCCCTCTTCCGGAAGTCAGTTGTGATTGGACACCTGTCCAATAACCCATGATTCACTTGACTTGAGACATGAGACATCACTTAATTTGTTTTTATGTATTGTGGTTTATAATATAAAATATATTCTTCCCCGATACTTTATTTATAAGAAGTCTTACTAGTGATTGCATTGTGTTGTTAAGAGATATTTACAGACTGTAATTATTACCAACATTGTTATAATGTACCGTTTTGAATCGAGCTAAGGCAAACAGATAGCGTTGAACACTGGCTGGTTAATGTATTTTTCTCAATTATGTAATTTGGATCATTTTAACCCAAAAAAAGCTACGGAGTGCATTTTTAAAAAAGATTTTTACATACGTTTGACTTTTCCTTCGAATAAAAGTCCAATATTGGATGGATGGATATTAAAAATTAAAAGGAAAAATGTTTATAAATGTATAAAATTCTGTAGTAGTGCATTCCTAATCACGTTCTGAAATATCCTGTTCTCTGACAAAATGAGGTGGCCAGATTTCTGAATAGTGTGTGTTTGAAGGATAGAAGCTCTATTTTTGTCTGTTTTGTGTGTGTGTTTCAGATGTCGTGGTTTGGTTCCAAGCCCACACCCAAAGGAATCATACGGCGTTCCATCTCAGGAGCCTCAAGTTTGAGCTGAGAGACAAAAACATCTCTGAGACAAAGTGAAAGAGGGAACGGTGAAAGATCTCGGTAGGAAACTACTGACGTCTGAAGGGAACAATTGCAGACTCTGCAGTTTCAATCTCTGCCTCAGCAGTTCCTATGTAGCTCATGCCCTTTAAAGAATGGGACACAAAAACAACTGTCCATTTTACACTCAAATATTGCAGGGACTAAAAACAAATGCTTTATGAACATCATCTTTCTGTGACCTGGGGAGTTTCATCTTTTAAGTAATGGTTAAATGACATCATCCGTCTCAACCCATGTACTCCGTAGTTTCATCCGCTTTCAAAAAACTACCACTGCTGTTTTTAACAGGAAGATCTTTCAACACAAAAAGGAGTATTTCTTTTTTTTTTTTTTTGAAACGCCAGTCTGCGCTTTAACTGGTGTCCAATCAAATCCTCTACTCCATTTCACTGGTACTCATGAAGACAATAATCATATGGCCTTTAAATACTGGACGTCAGTGAAAATCAGGAATGGGATGTTATAAGATATAATGTTGTGATTTTTGAATATGTGGAAGCATCGTACTTTAATCTGCCTTGTTTATGTGTAAATTACAATTACGTACATTCCATACAAGTATTTATATATGAATACCTGTATATAAGTGATAAGAGGATTTATAAATTAGTGGATAGTTAAGTTATGTTTTTTTGTACATCATATACATGCATTAGTTGCAATACTGTTCATGAGTGTGTATGAGATTCTTCACTGTGGGCTTGAAACTGTAATATAGAGGCATATATGCACTGAGGAAACAAGCATGCATGCCTTATACAACTGAATGCTTTGATTGTACTTTGGTTTTGAGTGTATATTGAAGCATTTGAGTATATCAAGGCTAAAATACTGTCAACTGCATTTATATTTCTCTGAGAACAAGTCAACAGAAACATCTTTTTCATTTTACCTGTGAAAACCAAGTCGTTTTTCGGGCCGAGCCAGTGTTTTGCTGTCAGAACGATGTAATTTTGTGTGTTTTAACACTGAGGAGCATCAGCAGTAAGGTTAACCACTCTAAATGACAGACTCTTCTGGTAATAATAGTTGAATTCATCCTTGAATATACCTGTGGGATGCTCAACATGTGTTTGCTGTTTTTAGAAAAAGAAACCCAAAGAATTTCTGTTTTATGTAAAGCTTGAATCAGCCGATTCGGAAAAAAAAAATGGCTGTGCTGTAAATGAAGGTTCTCTGAAATCCCATTGGAAAATGCAGATAAAATGCCCTGTGTGTGAACAGTTAGGGATGACTTTGGAAGATCCATAATGCACTTTTCTACAACTGTATTCATGTTTGTTTTGATGTTATGATACTGTAGCTATCACGACAGTATCCATTGCCTCTGCTTTTAGCAAAATACCACTACATCCTTAATTTGGTTTCACTTCATGGTCTGTCAGGAATATATCAAAACTTGATAAAAATTGAAATGTTTCTCATTGACTCGACTAATTTGTACTTCTATGTGGTTACCAGTGCTGACTTTTGTGTTTTTGTTGTAATAGTGGATCTGAAAGTGATGAGACAACGCCTTTCTGAATCATTTTAGAGCAAAACTGACAGATCAATAATTAACGATGAACATTAGCATTCAGTTTCACTTACGAGATTATAGATTAGTTACTATATAACTAACACAAAAAAGAGGTATGAGCCTTTACTTAGGGTCTGTTTACACATCAGTGATGTATTTAAAACAAAATTTGGCATACAGGTGACAAAAGTTGTGATCACAATCCCCATTCCCGTTCACAGGTCAGTGAAAATAATAAAAAATGCTGTATTCTGCTGCCAGGCCAGTAGTTGGCGATGTCGCTTTGTAAAGGAACTACGCGCCTACAGATTAAACATAATGCGCATGCGCATTTTTGTTGTCAACACAGACTGTGTTATCGCTATCGCTTGCAAAATCGTGCACTAATTAAGTTTACACGAGACCGGTTTCAACGGAACGGATAACTTTTTATGCGTTATGGCCGTTCAGTTACACGACAATGGCGTATTGGGGGCCTGAAAATGTAAACTTTTGAAAAAGGGTTTCAAAGTACAAGCAATAGCAGTATCATTGTTAAAAGTTTTCATGCTCCCAAAACACAGCTGTAAAGTCAAGTCATCTTTATTTATATAGCGCATTTTACAAAATGTAAATGTAAACTGTTGTGTAAATGAACGGCCAAAACGCATAAATATTTTTTTCAGATTTTAATTGAAAACGGTCTTGCAAGACCCCCCAAAATAAACTCTCCAAGTGTTTTTATATTGAAAATAAGACCAAAATATTGCAACCCCCACTTTCCCATTGGCTTTATGAGCCAGGCCCAAACAACAAGCTTCTTATAATAATATGGACATGGAAATACTGCAAGAGCCTTTCAAAAACACAACACTTTTGTTGATGGTGGTTTTGTCAAAATTGCAGAAAATAATGGCCTGGTTTCACAGACATGCTTAGATTAAGCCAGGATTAGGTCTTAGTACAATGACGGCATTTAAGTGGCTTTTGTAAACATGTGTTAGGAAAAAAAACATTAGTGTCCATCTTGAGACAGACAATAGCAGTGACATGTTTTAAGATATGTCAGTGCAAGTTGCTTTCAGTTAAAACAGCTCAAACGTGCATTTTAGAATGGGGATAGAATTAAGCCTCGTCTGTGAAATAACCTAGGAACACTGTCCCAGACTCTGTGATGAGAGGGGTCCACAAATGTTGTCTCGATCCCTCTTAATTTTAGAAGGAGCCATGAGTTAGTATAAGTATTAGTCGTATTAGGATTCAGGATTTATACAACCTCCAACCCCATGGTTTAAGATGTGAAACTATCTACATTCTGTGACATTTAAATGATGCATCAAATCACATTTGTTTTTTGTTTTTTTAAGGAGAGATATACTATTACTCTTCAAATTGGATATACCAAATTGGCAAAAAAATCATACCTAGGGGAACAATTCCAGAGAACAATTTCCTTGTGTAGGAAAACCATTTATTTTCCTCAAAAAACTGTAAAGTGAAAAGACTGGAGCGCTTTATGAACAGATTCAATTTATGCTTTTATTTACGTATAAACTTTTATCAATGCACACATCAGTTGTGATAAACATAATTTAAGCATGTTTGCTTGTGTTACTCAGCACTCAGCAGCACGAGCTTCAACAAGGACAGGACCAATGACGTTCATTCTTGGTTACGTTACGCAGCACGTTTGAGCTTCAGCAAGAACCAATGAGGTTCATTCTTCTGTTGAGCAGCACGTTTGAGCTTCAGCAAGAACCAATGGGGTTCATTCTTTTGTTACGCAGCACGTTTGAGCTTCAGCAAGAACCAATGAGGTTCATTCTCGTGTTATGCAGCACGAGGTGCGAGGTCTCGTATCTCTCCCGGAGGAGCTGTGCTCTCTCACGGGCCTCTTCCTCGTCCTGCTCACCACAGTGAATGAAAGCCTAAATTTAGTCTGTTCATAATATAAAGCGATTGAGTCTCAATTCATATGGATTAGTTTTACGATGTTTTTGAAGATTCAAAGATTCAGTTGCATAGCTGCAAAATGGAGGGATTAAAATCTCTTAGATTTCATCAAAAAGTTTTTAATTTGTGTTCCAAAGATGAACAGTCTTATGCCTGGTTCAGATTACACGATTTTTTTTGTCTGCTACGACAGTCACTGTGTCAGATACGTGATTTTGGCTCCTAAAATCTTGTTGTGTCGTGGACAAGACACGTCAGACTACATGTTACTTCCTGACCAGTCATCGCATGCCGCGCTTAACGGCACGCGTGACGTCATCGAGAAGGCGAAACTTGTAGCGAGTGACTTCCTGGATTGCTCGGCATTGCCTTTTCAGCGTGAGAATTACATGGTGTGGCGTGTGAGTGCGTGAACTGGTTGAATTGCGTGTGTCTCCAGACGCCCGTTGTCGTTTACAAATCCCCACGACACCCTACGTCAAACGGATCGTGCCAAAATCGGGCTAATGCCTGGTTCAGATTACACATTTTTAGCCCGATTTTGGCAACAATCCGTTTGACGTAGGGTGTCGTGGGGATTCGTAAACGACAACAGGCCTCGGGACGCAAGATTCGATCGGATCATCTCGTATAGTGTGTTATAGTGAGTGACAACCTACGTCGCGTCTGCGATGTTTCACGACATCACGACAAAAAGACTAGCATGTTTACTTTTTTAATTGTCGTCCACGACGGTTCCGTCACATGTATGAGGTTGACCAATAGGAGCACAAGCTTTTCCGTATACAACTTTCAAAAAAGACAAAACGAAAGAGAGACGATGGTGCTAACGTTAAAACTAGAAGTAAAAATATATAAAAAAAAAACAATATTTTACCTCAAGTTCTCTTTGGAGGATTGACAGCCCATACTGTCCTCTTCGAGGAGGGTTCTCAAGTCTCACGCAATGGCCGTGAGACACACGCAATTCAACCAGTTCACACACTCACACGCCACACCGTGTATTTTTCACGCTGAAAAGGCAATGCCGAGCAATCCAGGAAGTCACTCGCTACGAGTTTCATCTTCTCGATGACATCACGCGCACCGTTAAAGACGGCATGCGATGACTGGTCAGGAAGTAACATGTAGTCTGAATTTCTAAAAAATGAAGTCCCCGAGAAGTATATCAGATGTGCAATGACCAAATATTCAGATAAAAAGAGAATAAATACACTCTTAATGTTCTTTATTGCACCAGGCACTTCACAATAACCCTCCCGACCCGACGCCACACTACAATTGAATTGACCCATAAATCCACCACCTAAATATACTATATATTAAACATCATCCTCTTTCTGTACAATAAGAAAAACTGAGAATTGGAACTAAAGAAATGAGAACTACACATCCGAGAATGAGTGTAAACTAAGTAAAACAAGCAAATAAAACTTTCATATTCGTCACAGTATTTAATGCCCTGGAACTGCTGCTGCTCAAGTCTTCATGAGACTCTTAGTCCTTCTGTCTCAATTCACAGACTGTCACACAACCACTCACCTTCATTAGTCGAGAATCGTGTCTTCCGTATATTGAAGAATCATTCATTTACATTAAATATCATACAATATCTCTGTTTTGAGTGAAACAATCACTTGGGCTTGAGTGGTTTTCCCCCAGATAAAGTCAAATGAGAGAGGAAATTGTCCACGTCTTTAAAACAAATCCCATGGCTGGTTATCTCTTATTTCTTTCGGCTTCTCAGACAGATTTTCTCGCAGTCAGCACCCGTACGATGGACCCCAGACCCCCCACAGCGAAGGCCTGAGTGAGAATATGAAGACAAAAATAGAAATAGACATGTGAGATGGGAAAAAAAAGGCTTAAAAGAAACCGAATCTCTTTATTCCCAGACCGACCTTTTCGTGCCACTGGAGCAGGATGGCGCTGCTGTTGTCCGAGGGCTTCTCGAAGCCTCTGTAGATGTACTTCATCAGCAGGTCCACTCCGTTCTTGTCCAGGGACTTCACTGCCGGCTCAATATCGCTGCTCTTGAATGCAGTCAGCACTCGTAACACCACCGCCTGGGCCCGCTCCTAAGAGAGGACGACGACGGAGCGAAAGAAACAAGTTGAGGTGGTGTAAAAGAGAAACAGCTTGGACCGTTTAAACACATGTGCTAGTGATGCACCAAAATGAATTTAAAACGTGAGCGCAGGTATGACATCAGAACCCAGAAGACTAATTTGCCGCTGGTTCCTTTGGGTTTTTAATTTGGGTTTTACAATGGGGTTTTTCAATTTATGAGTAAAATAAAGCCTGTGGTAAACATAATTTGACTATACTTATTTTTTTCTACAATGTAAATGACACTGACAAAATATTTGGTGCATCATCACTAGTAATAATGATGCTTAATATTATTAAAGGAATATTTAATGTATACGTTAGGCTCAATAGACAGCATTTGTGGCATAATTTTTGTTACGGCAAAAGAATATATTACTCATCCGTTGTTTTCTAATATATATATATATATATATATATATATATATATAAAAGCTCAAATCAAAGCTACGGTGAGGTGCTTACTATGGTAGTGAATGGGGCCAATTTTGGAGGATTTAAAAGCAGGAATGTAAAGCTTATAATTTAGAAAAAGCACTTACATTAATCCTGTTAAAACCTGTGTACCATCTGAGCTGTAAAACTGTTGTTTTTTATCGTAGTGTTAGGCATTACGCTGTAAAATTGAATATAACTTTAAACAGAAAAGGTTAGCGAGATAATTTTTTCACACCAAAAACATCAACAGATACTGTTTACATCTTGTAGCTATACTATTAAAATACTATTTTATTGTTTCCAATCGACTCATTTCCATTGCAAATGCCAAAGTATGGCTCAGATTTAACAATTTTTGAAGAAAAAAAAAACAGACAAGAAATGAATTTTAGTGGAATCAACATTTTGCAAATGCTTTCTAATGAGCTTTAGTAGTACTGAGCCTAGAATATTCCTTTAAACCATCCAGAGGGCTGAATTTCACACCCCTCGAGCTAAAACAACAGCACATTTAAGGCACACAATGAAATCATTGTTGTCACAACCTGTTGAGCACAAATAGGGCCCCTAATAGAACAGCGAGTCCAAAATCACATACTGTCTGAGTAGGTGCTACTACATTTCAATTTACTTCACGACCATTAAAATGTACATTGGGTATATTATGAATATAGGTAGTATGAATGAAATTCAGATGTATTGCATCCGCCGTGTTGTTACTGTCAAGTCATAAATCATCATAGCCATTCATATATCAACTCCCATGGCCTCTAGGATAGTACTATCCATCGAATAGTAATCGTTTTTCGCATTCTATAAAGACTAGTAGAAAAGTATTCGATTTCGAACACTTACGGTCTTCTTGAACATCTGAAATTGATAAATCAAACCGTCTGACGAACAGAATTGGCTCTTACTTTCACTGCTGGATTCTTGGAGTTGATTGGTGGATTCCTCAAGGCGATGTGAAATGCTGACATCATGTCCCCTGTGCATCACACTTAGTTAAGGAAAGCTGATCAACCAGTCAGTCGGTCACTCTCAAAGAACCCTGAAGAGCATTCCTTGAAGAGAGTAGGGCCTAAATCTTATTTTTGCATGGTTTTCTTCTTGTTTTTTTCAAGAAGCTGGCATTCAGAAGTTTGGTTTGAACATTTCTGGAGTTGATTTCACTGGCTAATCATGACTTTATGTTAAAATATGTTGATTTTAAAACACTTCTTATATCCCAGCTTAATATAGAGAGACCAGTTACTAATACTATAAATAAATCATTTGTGGGTTGATTACTCAGAAAAATTTTAACTCTCTCGGATTCTCTGTGGTATATCAAAACATCATTCTGTTTATAAAAATATAATTCTGACCATCCCGACACTTACTCATATGATTTTGGGGTGGGACTATCTAAAATAATCAACTGAAAAAACACATAACCTGCTGCTAAGGCAAACCTTTAAACACTAGAATAGTCCATATGCTTATGACATGAATGTGAAAATCATGTCTTTATTTCATAAGGAGGCATCTGCCTCGAACCTCTTTAATGCTCCAACCTACAGTATAAAAATGTAGGGCTCTGAGCACCAAAAATGGATCATCCAGGTCACAAACGGTGATGACCTGATTAAATAAATGACATCACATACAGTTGGAGGGAAACTAAATAACGTTAATAAACTGATTTGGCAATTATAGTGTGTCATTTAAAAACACATCCGAAGACTAATGCTTATCAATCACAGGTTAAAAATATACAACCTTGTCATTTTCAAGATCATTCAAGGTTTTAAAAAAATAACATAATTAGAAAAACTGAAACTACTTTTTTGGTTGCACTTTATTTTAATATGTCCCTGTTACAGTGTAATAATACATTTTATTACTGAATAATAGTAATTAACTACTACATGTACTTACTTACTATAGGGTTAGGGTAGGATTAGTTGCATGTAATTATGCATATTTTAAAGTTATTACTACAATCAATACATGTAACGTGTTAAACAAAGACAAAATAATGCGTTACCTAAAATTTGCATTGAACCAAATGTAATGGCACTGTAAAAAATAATGTGCATTTAAATATTTAAATAGTCTCAATAAATGTGTTAATGAAGCAGCCCTTAAGGATATTAAACCTAAATATTTTAAATAATATTAAAAATAGTTTATATGATATCACTAACTAAACTAAAGTGAAGATAACTAAACTGAAGTTAGAAAGAAATGATTCCCCCAATCAGTACCAAAATACCAAAAAAATGCAAATAAAATAGAAGTAAAAGCTGAATAAATCTACCTAAAAAAACAAAGCTATTATGAATGAATAACTTAGACCAGAAAGAAAATCAGCATTCAGCACCAGCAATCGATCCACAAAATAACCTGCTAACTTACTTCATACAACAAAACATCTCTAATTTTGAATAAAACTTAAAAACACATCACTATCCTAAACTATTCAACATCTTCGCTATTCGTTATTAACATTCGTGTCAAACACACAGGGAGCTGCCTACCTGGACACTAAGGACAGCATTTCTGGACAGACACTGATGCCTAGATAGACAGCTGACTGTGTATAAATAATGTACGAGGGACATTTAAACTAGGACAAGGTTGTTTTTTGGGTGCCTTTAAAAGAGATGACCTTTTCCCTGCCATGTTTCCTAGAGATAATAAACAATATCCGTTAGCATACGGTAGGATAATAATATACAGTTTATTGGATGATGGCAGTGAAGGCAGCTGAAGGATATTGTCCGATGAGCTGGTCCACCTCACAGGCGTCCGGTTCCTGCTGCTGCTCGGCCGCCTCGTCCTGCTCGTCCACGAATTTATTCTCGTCGTATTCGTCGATGTCGACTCCCCGGAATCGTGAGGACAGGGTGTTTTTCGCCATGAGGAGGAGCCCGGGAATGTGCGATAACGGACAGGTCTGCAGCTTCCCTCAGTGACAGTGCGGAGAGCCGTTAATGTGTTCATCTGTCAGAGGGAAGGTGCGGCTGTTATACCTCCTCCTCCTCTTCTTCCTCCTCCTCTTCCTCTCTCCCAGCTCGAGCATCTCCACACATTCCTGCAGAGCGGACACAAATCCCGACTGGAGCGGAAACGGAATTGTTACGCTGTAAACTCTGTCCTTCCGTTTCCTGAGAAGGCAACGATTAATGCGGCTTGACTCAAATGAAGTTGCCTACAAAATGCTAGATTGATGTAACGTTATCATTTTTATGTAGCCTACCTTTGTATTTATTTTGTAATTAGAGATAGGTGTCATTTTTTCAAATAAATGCAGCCTTAGTGAGCAATGAGCATTAGGGAAAAACGTAATTATAACAAACTTTTGATCAGTATTTTTTATAGCATATTTTCAAATAAATAAATAAAAATCGTTTTGAAATGTTTTTTTATGAAATGTATTATTTCATATCTGCTTATTGTCTTCCAAGGTGTTTGGAAATATGAACAGTTATAACATTTGGAGAGTTTGACTAATACTAAACGACATTTACGATTTAACATTTTACATATAAAAGTGCACTAGACAGATTTGGGGTTGACAATAAGGTTTCATTAGCCTAGTTAACATTAGTTATTCTTAGTTAACACGAACTAATAAACTTTACAGACTTTATTATTTGTTCATTTCAACATTTAGTCCTATTAATATTAAAATCAAAAGTTGTATTTGTCAACATTAGTTAATGCACTGTGAACTAACATGAACAAACAATGAATGAACTGAACAGCTGTATTTGTGCTAACATTAACAAAGATGAATTCATAGCCTACGTATTGCTCATTGTCAGTTTGTGTTTGTTAATACATTTGCAAATGTTAATGAATGAGACCTTGTTGTAAAGTGTTACAGATGTAACTTAGGGAAAAGAAAGGTCAAAATTAGAATATAGTCTGTACCGTTAGTGTATCTGTTTTCCAGAGGTCACATCAAAACTTCTTGGCAACAGCAGACCACTAGAGGACAGCAAATGTTTTCAAGTAAATCGAAAGTCTATTCAATCTCACAGATGGATCTAACCACCCCACCATCTTGAACACATTTGTTTTATTTGGAACAAAAATAGCTTTGTTGTATTATATACTGTTTGACAATGAGAGGCATCTTGAATAGCTTGATGATGCGATTACATTGTCTTATAGAATTGGATTTATTAAACTTTAAACAAGTAAATTAAATTGCCAGGTTCATGTAAATAGAAAATACTCAACTCAAATTTGACTTCACTGAAATAGCATGCAGATCACTGAGAGTGTCTGAACCAGTCTGTTCCCATACCATCATGATTTTCATGAATTACTTTTAGTGTTTTTCTGCTTCAAAAATAGCAGTTGTTGTTGCCTTGCAGCTAATGTGTATGTTCAGGCTTTATCAATACCCGGCTTACATCCTCTCTCTTTCATTTTCTGAGGGCAATACAAATATTTACTCTGAGTCTGAACTGGAAGGGAATGCTGGGAGACAGTGACCTCTGGGTATTCCACACAACCCTGCTGCTGTTTTATGAATGTATAGTGTTTCATTTAATCAGAAAATCTATGGCATTGATGGGAGTCTTGGGTTACACCCTTTGAAAATGTTTAGAATCTGAATAATTCATTCAACGTATAACAGTACAGCATAAAGACACAAAATGAAAGTGTATAAAGAATGACTGATTTCGAGAAATGTGAGCAAGTCATTGTGTTCTTCAGTGCCTTAAAAATGAACTGATTCTTTATATATATATATATATATATATATATATATATATGAAGAGTTTAGATGCAAAAGCCTCTAAATGCCATTTGAAATTTTCTTCTAAAATGATCATTTTTATCAAGCTTATATATTCAAGTTCAGTAATTTCACTTAAATGACAATTAATAGGTAATCCTCATTGAAATTTAACTGAAATTACTGAACTTAAATATACAAGCTTGATAAAAATGATCATTCTAGAAGAAAATTTCAAATGGCACTTAGAGGCTTTTGCATCTGAACTCTTCATATACACTCACCTAAAGAATTATTAAGAACACCATACTACAGTAATACAGTGTTTGTCCCCCTTTTGCCTTCAGAATTGCCTTAATTCTGCGTGGCATTTGCCAAGAAAACATCCCCCACACCACACCACCACCACCAGCCTGCACAGTGGTAACAAGGCATGATGGATCCATGTTCTCATTCTGTTTATGCCATATTCTGACTCTAGCATCTGAATGTCTCGACAGAAATCAGACCAGGCGACATTTTTCCAGTCTTCAACTGTCCAATTTTGGTGAGCTCTTGCAAATTGTTGCCTCTTTTTCCTATTTATAGTGGAGATGAGTGGTACCCGATGGGGTCTTCTGCTGTTGTAGCCCATCCGCCTCAAGGTTGTGTGTGTTGTGGCTTCACAAATGCTTTGCTACATACCACGTTTGTAACGAGTGGTTATTTCAGTCAAAGTTGCTCCTCTATCAGCTTGAATCAGTCGGCCCATTCTCCTCTGACCTCTAGCATCAACAAGGCATTTGCGCCCACAGGACTGCCGCATACTGGATGTTTTTCCCTTTTCACACCATTCTTTGTAAACCCTAGAAATGGTTGTGTGTGAAAATCCCAGTAACTGAGCAGATTGTGAAATACTCAGACTGGCGCGTCTGGCACCAACAACCATCCCGCGCTCAAATTTGCTTAAATCACCTTTCTTTCCCATTCTGACATTCAGTTTGGAGTTCAGATTGTCTTGACCAGGACCACACCCCTAAATTTTTTACTTTTGAGTGAACTATTCCTTTAAGCAGCACAACTGTCTTCTCCATTGATGATAAGAAATATTTCTTGAGCATCAAATGAATATATTAGAATGATTTCCATATAGCATATTCGAATGAAGGATCATGTGACACTGAAGACTGGAAGACACTGAAGGTTTGCATCACAGGAAAAAAAAAACATTTTAATATATACTAAGAAAAAGAGACTTCTTTCAAAAACATTACAAAATCGTACCGACCCTAACCTTTTGAATAGTAACGTATATGGATATTATGTTCACAAAACAACTCATGGATCTGATTTCAAAGTAGCAATTGACCTTTCAGTGTGCACTACACTTAAATGTGCCTTCAGTTTCAAAATTAACAGCTGTTTTTTGTTTATTTTTCTTTTTGTTGCATTGAGATACTTTTCTCTTTGCCTTCAAAAGTCTTATGTAATGCCACTCCCCATTGCTAAAAGACAGTCACCAGACATCATTTTTGGATGAAAAAGCTTTTTTATTTTTATATCAAGTCAGAAAGAAATAAAAAGCACCAAAGCCCTCAGGAATTCAATGTTCAATGAATCATAATAGTCGCCATCAATACCATTCACTGAGAAAGACCAGATGGGTGTCAGAAATCCTAAAAAGTCTATCATTCTTCTTTGCTGGACTATATTGAAAGAAGAACAGTGCAGCCCTTCTTCTCAAAATGTCATAAGACATTTGAGTTTATTAACCCTAAAGTGGTTTAACGTCCCACTCTGAACTACTTTGATTCAGTCACAGTTTTTTTGCAAAGCAGATTTTCTCTATTGGAAAGGCATGAAGGGCCACACACAACTTTCACTCTCAGACTTAATCCAGGCTTCTCCACCTGTTCACAATACTTTCTAGCTCACACACTGTCTTAGTCTCTTGGGGCCCCTCCGGTCCCCACAAAAACGTCTTGGTAGTTTTCATTTTATTAGGCTGGGACCCCCTGTCGGTGCTCATTATTTTGGGGTGGGGACTTTCTGACGCTCCAGTTCTTGTTTTTAATAAGCAGGGATTTCCTTTTATTTCTATGGTATGTCGCATGTCATTCATCTGCCGGGTAAATCTGCTGTCATCACAGGCTGTTCTGGTCCTTGTTTTGGATCTGCAGGGTTCAGACGTCAAGCGATAGCCAAATGAAGTTCTGTAAAACGACGGCAGGACGCTAACAGAGGGAAATGGATTTCTGTTCGTCTGGGTGGACGGGAACGTTAGAGGTGTGGCTGTGGCCGAAAAACGTGTTTTGGCATTGTACGCTTTGTAGGAACTACTAACCGATATACTCCTCCTATATATGCCTTCAGTCTTCTCTGTGACGGATGCTTCTGGCTTGTCTTCAAGGATATTATAAGATCTGCCAATGTCAAATTGACTTTCTGTGTTTTCTCGTTGTCTATTTTCGTCTTGTTGGCGCCTCTCCTCCATCATGTCACTCTCAAAGGTTTCCTCTGGAGTATCGTTCTGTGTGTCATTCCGACAGGTCTCTGTAATATCATATCGTGTGATATCTGTGAAATCATTTTGTTCTTCATCTTCTGTTTTGTTGATGGCGATGTCTTGTTTTTGGCTCTCCATGGTGATGTCATGCTCTCCGAGTTCCTCCGTGACGTGTTGGTTCTCGTGCACCTCTGAGCTGCTTTTAAAGAAAACAAATTGTCAACACTTGAAGGAAACTAAGGTACGGTACATTCATTGTAAAAAAAATGTTGCTGCAATTAGTTATAACAACAAATATCCAACTTAACTAGACTAAACTAAAGTTAACTAAATGTAATATTTTTAAGGAGTAGTTCACTTTAAAAAAATTTTTACTGATAATTTACTCACCCCCATGTCATCCAAGATGTCCATGTCTTTCTTTCTTCAGTTGAAAAGAAATTAAGGTTTTTGGTGACATTCCGGGATTTTTCTCCATATAATGCACTTCAATGGGAACCAAACAGTTCAAGGTCCAAAAGACAGTTTCAGTGCAAACTACAAACTTTTCAAAGGGCTTTAAACAATTCCAGACGATGAATAAGGGTCTCATCAAGCGAAACGACCGTTCATTTAAGAAATAAATAACAAAGTTTAAGTTTTATAAGCTCAAATGCTCACCTTGCTCTGTTCTGTGATGCGCGTTTGTGACTCTCCTGTCCGAACTCTTTCATCAAAATGAACGAATATTTTTCCGAGTCAATTCGCTCATTTTGTTTGTTGAAAACTTAAACTTTGTTATTTTTTTAAATGAGCGATCGTTTCGCTTGATAAGACCCTTATTCATTGTTCTTATTCATTTAAAGCCCTTTGAACAGTTTGCAGTTTGCACTGAAACGGTCTTTTGGACCTTGAACCGTTTGGTTCCCACTGAAGTCCATTATATAGAGAAAAATCCTAGAATGTTTTCATCAAAAACCTTAATTTCTTTTCGACTAAAGAAAGAATGACATGGACATCTTGGATGACATGGGGGTGAGAAAATTATCAGCAAAAGTTTTTTTTTAAAGTGAACTACTCCTTTAAGTCAAGCACAAACACATACTTTTTTAAGTTGAAACAACACATTATTTCTTATTCTAATGTTGAATGTTTCAATTTTATCACAGCAAACCTTTTACAGTAAGAGAAGACATCACATCTTGTTTGGAAAATCCTGCGCACTTGGACTATAAAGTTTACATATTTGTTCGTAGATTAAAAGACTGCAGGGCAAAATCATTTTACAACATATTACTTTTAAAACTATTTTGTTTTAGATGTCCAAAAGCCATAAAGAGTGATTACATCCTGAGGCGAAGTAAAACAGAAATCCCTTCTCGATTACAGCACCCCGGAGATCTATGTTCAGAGAAAGGAGTTTTGCTAGCCTGGAACATGCGCAAAAGCTTAATGTGAAATTATATTTGCAGCCTGGCCTACAGCTGTATTTCAGCTGCTGTGATACTGAAACATGAAGTGAACTATGTAGTCATGGGAAACTGAAAATATGTACAAGACAAAAGCGTACCGATTTCCATTGTTATTGGAGATTAGCTCTATTGGGACTCTGCAAATGCTTCAACTGTACAGGTGGCATCAATACTTCATTAGGTTAATAATGACCTAATGAAGTGTTCATGTGTTTTGGTGGAGGCGTACTGTAGCTTTAGAGACACTCTGAAGGGAGGGTGGGATCTTATGCTTTCAAAGATAGCTTGCCAAAATTGCCTTCCCTAACTTTAATTTATTTAAAAATACAATAAATGCAATTCATACATAACTTACTTGAAGCACTTTTTCCATTATGAGCATGTTTTAGTTTCTGTACTAGAATAAAATTTGTCATATTTTTGAGGAATAAAGTTAAAAATGTCTGTCCTAAAGAAAAAAAAAGCCTCAAAAGAAAGAAATTCCTGAAAGAAGGAAAAACCAGCCCGTTCTCCTCCCAAGACGTCATCTAATTGACGCTTTTGACCATACGTCAACATCTGACGTTTTAGGGTACCCTTTAACGTCGGTTAGATGACGCTATCTAATACTAACCCTACCCTAGACCTAAACCTACCTGCGTCATCTAACTGACGCTAAAGGTAAAGCGTCAGTTGGATGACACCCTAGGATCATCAACTAACTGATGTTAATGGGATACTCCACTTTTTTTGGAAATAGGCTCATTTTACCACTCCCCCAGAGTTAAACAGTGGAGTTTTACCGTTTTTGAATCCATCCAGCCGATTTTTTGATATTTAGAAGAGTATCAGTAACCAGACAGTTTCTGGTCTCATTGACTTCCATAGTAGGAAAAAAAAATATACTATGGAAGTCAATGAGACCAGAAACTGTCTGGTTACTGATATTCTTCTAATCTCAACTGTTTAACTCTGAGAGAGTTATAAAATGAGCCTATTTCCAAAAAAAGTGGAGTATCCCTTTAAAGGGCACCCTAAAACATTGGATGTTGATGTATGGTCTAAAGCGTCAGTTAGATGACGTCTTGGGATGAGAATGTGTTGGGAAAAACCTGAAGATTCTTGGCATGATCTTCTATTATTATCTCTCAATATCAGTATATATCAAATGTAAGTGTGTAATATTACCGGCTGTTCTGGGGGGTACAAATCACATTGTGCTCCGAAGGTTGTCGAAGGGTTGCATTACAAAATGTTTCATTTTTTGGAGGGTAAATTATTCTTTATCATGGACACTTATTTGTCATTGACTCATTTACTGACTGTATATCAACTGAAATTTACTTGCACTGGGTTGTATTATGAATGGGCCCCTTCCACCCTGACCAAATGAATAGGCAATATCACAGAAGACCTTAGTGGGACCCCTTCACCACAGGAGCTGAGACAATGTTCCTACCCTGGCGACGGTTTACTTCATCTGTGAGCGTCAGGTTAATGCCATTCCTAGCATGAGTTCCTTTAGTATGTTGTGAGTTTCCATGGAAGTGAGAACATCATACTGTCACCAGCTGAATGGCAGACACTAACCACTCGGCTTACAATGTCACTTAATACTGCCTCTGTAGCACAGAGGACTCATGATATCACTCAAGTATCCTTGGTAACCGCTCAAGGGGATGGATGAATGAGTCCAATATTTTTGGCATTCGAATATGCTAGCCATCTATTTCGTTTCATGTAGTTTTCATTGTTGAAATACTTTGCACTTAATCTTACATCCAAGGTGTCCGATACTGCCACATGTTGAACAGACAAGGTTGGCAAACCCATTGCTGTCAATGATAAACCTTTGGCTTCAATAGAGTGCTGCAGGGTTCACTTATTTTTGTAGGCCAATTTGAAGTTAGCATCACCCTGTTTCCCTTGGCAAAAACATTGTGGTGTCTGTCAGGAGTTAGTAAGCGGAGAAACACACCAGACAGGAGTAGGGAAATTCATCCATCTTGTTTACTCTTCTCGTTCTCCACACATATTCCATCATTACACAACACTTCATAATAATAGGGACAACATAATTCACTCATGAACACAACAAACCAAATTTGTCCCATAGGCGTTTGAATAACTGCATAAGTTAAGCTTGATGACCAACAAATGTTTAAGTTTCTTACACATTTGGTAGATAATCTTCATAAATAAACATACATTTTATGAAATTTAAAGATAATCTTCACAAATGAACACCACTTTTATGAATTTTGAGGCCTAAATACAATTTTAGGCATTTTTTTGTTTGTTTTGCCCTAAAAAAGTATGTAATTCCTGCAGAACGCTATAGATTTATAAAGCGTAATTTTATCGTTATGAAATTATAAGTTGGGAAATTATATGGTCACCATGATATATGATTTTCACTTTGAACATCCACAATAATTTGAATAGCCTATAGGCCTGTTCACACCAGGTGGAATTTGACGATATTCGCCGACGTTTAACGGCCCGTGACTAAACAAAGGGTGCCAATGTGAGTGTGCACACCGACGCGTAAAACGTCACGTGTGAAAGCGTCATTTATAAAAAAACAATAAAAAAACGCCTCAGGTTCGTTTTTTAGCTTGACGTGCTGCGTCAAAAACTATCCGACCAATGAGATTGGCGCTTTTGCTCACGTGTTTGCAGCTTCTGAAGTTACTGTAAAACACAACTTGGGGGCGCTCAAACACAAAACGGTCACACATACATAACGGCAAAGAAGATATATACACAGTTCCGTCTACACAGCCAGGAAGAAATAAGATGATGAAGATGCAAGGAAAGGTGAATGTAGAGCTGCTGGTCTCGTTGGTGTTAGAACATAAAGAACGATATGACAAACGCGACAGTGACTACAAAAATCTTGATAAAGAGAACTGATATGGAGTGCAGAGCAAATGGGCGCCATCTAATGTCAGGGAATGAATTTGCATGTTCACTCGGTTCATCGTCACCGAAAACACAAAAAAACGCATTGAAAAACGCTGGCGAACAACGTGTGGCGATATTCGTCCCGGTGTGTACGGCCCTTAAAATGTCCCTATTAGCCTAACCAAACAACTTTTCAATAAAACAACATTATATAAAACACGTAATTGGCTTTACAGATAAAAGTACAATAATGTCTTCCGTAAAATTAGAAATATCCCAAGTATTTTGAATCTATCACATTGTGTGAGTAACAGACACAATTAATTGATTAGCCTATCGCATCCTTCAGCCCGATTCCTTCCTAACCCTGAAACTGCTGTCTGAATTAGTGTTACAATATGAAATGTCATTGCCTCTAAATTGCCTCTAAAGTGTTTCATAATCTTTAGTGAAATGCTAAAGTTTCTATTTTTCTTTGGACAAAATGTGACCAGAGGATTATGTTTGTTCGAAGCATTTGACTGCAGATAGTAATTGTAAGTGAGGTACAGTGTAATGAAAGATGTTGAACGATGAAGAAGACAACTGCAACGTTTTCAAAACACTATGCAATAGTGAGTGGGCGTTGATACTGTTTCCTATGCAAAGACAGCGCAGTCTCATCCCAAGACGTCATATAACTGACGTTTTGGGACGTCTTTTGACCATACGTCAACAGCCGCCGTTTTAGGGTACCCTTTAACATCGGTTAGATGACGTTATCGGATCCTAACCCTACCCCAGACCTAAACCTAACCCTTAACCTACCCCGTCACCTAACTGACATTAAAGGTAAAGCGTCAGTTGTATGACGTCCCAGGATCGTCATGTAACTGACGTTAAAGGGTACCCTAAAACGGCAGATGTTGACGTATGGTCAAAAGACGTCCCAAGACGTCAGTTATATGACGTCTTGGGATGAGACTGTGTTAGCAAAGACGTTAGCCAATCAGTTAGTCTATCAGTTCAGGTTTAGTTTTACCTATTATCCTGTCCCGCCGTTGTGTCTTCTCCCTGGTCCTGCGGATGGTACGATGAAGGCAGGAAGAGATGTAGTGATGTGGTAAGATTGCCCTCAGCATGTGTATCTTGAAGGACATTTTGGTCATCTTTTTTTCTCCAGACAATTTTACACATGGGAGTTTCTCCATAAAGAATGAAACGATTGGGAATTAGTGTGTGAGAAATGGACAAAGAATGATTTTGTAAATTTGCCGCTCATGACTGTCTTGTAAGCATTTGACACTATTTACTTTGACAAGGAGAACAACAACGTTCTTCTGCTAGTTTACAACTTTGAGCATGAGACCTTTGAGATGACGTAAACAATTTATGCAAACTCATGTTCACAGGTCAATGATTACACTTGTCTCAGATGCCACACAGCACTCTCAGTCAGTGTGCCTTTGCTAAGCAAATAACTGTTGCACGAGTTTTCGAACATTATCTTTCATTTTGTTATTAAATATTTAATGGCGTGTCATTGCAAAAAGTGCATGTCATGCAATCAAGGGGGTCAAATCGATAACTTTTTGCAAACTTTTATGAATTTTGAAGCCTAAATACAATTTTCGTAAATTTTTTATGGTTTTTGACTACAAAAATAAGCATCACTGCAGCACTGCATAAACTTATGCAAAGGGGAAATAACATCACATGTTGGGGGAATAATTTTGGCATTTGGTCTTATACAGAAAGTCTTATACCTGGTGTGCTTAGTGCCCGGCGTCTCATCTGATTCTCCAGTGGGACAGTGGAAGGCCGGTGGGTTGAATCCAGCGGGACTCTCTGTCTGTGTATACCGCTCCTCGCCCTCTCTCTGTCCTCTGTTCTTTTTATCGCAGTGTATGATTCCCATACCCTCAGTTCACTCTCTTTTTCAAAACAGTCTCTACTGCATTTCTGTCTCCTTGCAGAAGAGGAATGAGGTCTGTCTTTCTCGTCTTTATGAGGTGATGATGTGGAGCAGTTGGAGGGTCGTGGTGACAGGACACATCGCACACCACATGCTGCGAGAACATAAACAGAGATCTTGATTAATAGGGTTTAAACGTCTTTAACTGCAGCTGCCGCCAGCATCAGCTAAATCTTGGTCAAGTATTACGTATATTTATTTAACGTTAAGTAGACGAATAATAGGCAGGAGAGTGTATATTATTATCACATGCTGACTGTATATTTTCCCTCGCATATTATACAGTAAATATGGTATAATTGATAACAGCAGTTGAATTTTTTAAAAATACTGCACAACAATTAGATAATAAAATGTCATTTAAATGTTATTTGTCATTTTTAATTACTTGGTCTTTATATGTTTGGGCTTTGGTTAATTTGCTGTTTTTTGGGACTTTTGAAATAGCTAAAATATTTTGGCAAAGTGATATGGAGCAAACTAGAATGTAAAAAAAAATGTATGTGATCAATAAATTATGACAACATGTTTCTACATTAAAATGTGTATATTTTTTAAGATTTAACTTAAAACTTCAACTAATTTTGTTTTAAGTCGGTTTAATGTAATTTAATTTTAAATGACTTAAACATCCAAGGTGATTGTACTTAAAAATGTAAGGCAAGATTTAATTTTTTTTATTTTTTTTTATTTTACAGTGTACAGTATGATGCATTTGTGTCATTGGTTCCTTGTTTTGTTTGTGTTCCCGTGTTTTGTTTTGTGACTTTTAGTTTGACTTTTGGTTTCCTGAGCACTGTTTTTGTAGTCCCTTTGTAGTTTTCTTGTTAATTAGTTCCCTGATTGTGTCCAGGTGTGTCTTGTTAGTTGATTACCCTGTGGGTATATAAACCCCAGTGTTTCGTCAGGTCTTTTCTTTCCATAGCTGTTTTGTTGGTGTTCTTAATGTTTCCTTAGTTTTTAGATGTTCTTCTCCTTGTTTTTTGGTTGTTTTTTTCAATAAATGATTAATGGAATTGGAAACTGTCCTGCATCTTTAAAGTTCAGCTTTACATAGAAAATTATTGTCTTAGAACATTTATCAACAAATCAGAAGCAAGCATCCAACTGCCCAGTGCATGATATATGATATGATATGATATCATCATATCATATCACATCATATCATATATCATTATCAAGCAATACAATACAATACAATTACAATACAATAAATACTTTTTGGGGGGTCTAATTCTCACTAACTTGCTTATTAGCATGCAAATAGGATATTGGCTGTTCATTAGTACTCATAAAGCACATATTAATGCATCTACTTCACTTACTATTAATAGGCCATAATTTGGAGTTTATTGAGCCAAAAGTTATAGTTAATAGTAGACCCTAAACTGAAGTGTGATAAAATATAATATAATATAATAATATAAATACACATCTGTTTAATTGGTGTACAAAATCCCATTAAGCATGTGTGATGCAGTGTTTAAGTACATATTTAATACTCACATTTTAGAAAAGCACTTAGATATAGTTACCTATGAGCAGAGCTTTTCTGCCTGTGAATGATTTCTTGGAGGTTTTCTCTGAGAGGTTTCTTGAACCTTTAAAGGACCTCCCCTGAAGCATGCCGTTGCTATAGGCATCAGTGTTTGGAGAAGATGATCCATGTTGATGTATTGGAAATGTTTCAAGAGGTGAGACCCCTCTCTGGTTTGTGACTTGGAGCTGCAGTCTTTGTTTCAATATAGAGTTCCATGCCATTGAGCCTGCTGTTCTGATGGATCCTGTGTGGTCTCTGAAACGTCTCACGGGACAGAAACGCATCGCATGGCTGTGCCCATTTCTGTTCTTGGGTCAACAAGGGGAACCTTAACTGAATCTAAAGTGATTGCTTACAAGTTACACCTACAGAATGTAAGAAGAAAGAAAGAGAGAGAACACATCATAACAAATCTTACTTTCTGTCATTTCTCTTATGTATTACCTTTTGAACTATACGCTGTACTTTAACAAAATAACGATGTGTTTAAGAACATATTTCTATAAAAGGGTATATCAGTCTTCCAGAAATATGTTATGGTCAAACTCAACTTTATTAATGATGACTTTGATTATTTACACAATAGAAAGAATATGAACATTTCATCCAACATGATGAAAATAAAGAGCTTTATTTACCCATTGCTTAGTGAGAGATTAAGAGTGAATTTACATGAGAACATCAACTTGAAATGAGTTTTGATTTTTCTTAGGAAATTTTACAGTTACTATTATCGTAATTTCTATAACAGAATGGAATGTATGGAGCTACTAGGGAGGGATAATGGGTTTGTGTTTATTGCCAAACTTGTGCATTCTCTCAAAGCATTTGCATTATCTCACAAAACTTTTGCAAGCAAAGTGAACAGAAAACTAGAAATGTGAATAACATGTAATGAGAGGACTCTGTCTGTGTCCAAAATTGTACAATAGGTACTTCTTTTGAATAAGTAATTACTTTGCGACTGCTAACAAGTATGTTCTGTATAGTATGAATGTGTAATCTGGACAAATGCTGCCATTGTCATGTGACCTACCAGTGTCAGTTGCATCATTTCATTGCCATTCACATCTCCTCACCCATGGCCTCATAGGATAGGAAACATTGTATGGTTGCTTACTGCCAGATTTTTTACTATTTGCGTTCTGTCACAAAACATTTGCAAGCAATACTAAGACTGAGATGAGTGGAAAAACTACATTTCAATTCTTTTGTGAGTAAACATTTGTTTTTGTGAGGAACGTAGACCTTTTGCAAAATAACAGCCCATTCTCACCCCCAAGGCGTCACTTAACTGACGCCTTGGGAAGCATTTGGACATGCTTCAATATCTGACGCTTTAGGCGCCCTTTAGCGTCAGTTAGATGACGCCCTAGGATCGCGTGTACCCTACCCCCACCCCAGACCTAAACCTAACCGCGTCCTCTAACTGACGCTTTCCTTTAGCGTCAGTTAGATGACGCCGTAGGATCGTCAAATATTGAAGCATGGTCAAAGGTGACGCCTTGGGGTGAGAATGCATTGAAAATAATGCAAAGTTTATTGGGGGAACGCAAGATTGAAAGTGAAAAACTAAAAGAAAATTTATCCTGAAAGGGTTTGTTCACCCAAAAATCAAGATCTTTTAATGATATCTGAGAGCTTTCTGTCCCTCATTGATAGTCTATGCAACTACCTATTTCAAGACCCAGAAAGGTAGTAAAGACATTGTTAAAGTAATCCATGTGACTCCATAAGAATATATATATATATATATATATATATATAACTTTATAAGAGATTTATGGAAAAAGAATGTTCTTTTCAAGATGTTTCCAACTCTATGAATCAATTCTATAGAATGGCCTATATAACCTTGAACAGGATTTGTTACAAAATAGGTTATATTGTGTGTATATGTATCTATATATATATACACACACACAATGATTAGGCAGAATGATTTTCAGATCATTTTGAAGCAAAAACTTTAGGCGACAACATCCATAGTCAAAAGCCTTGTGGACGCATATTTAGTATGCGTTTTGTGGCCTTATTTCAGAAATTTAATTTGACTTTTTTCAATAACCATGCATAAACAATATTCATTCAAAAATACAAACAAGTACATACATGTTGCTCACATATTTTGGTAGCCCTTTTTGTGCTAAATAGAGTGTAATTTCACCTGTGCCATTAATATGTTTATAAGCAACAGAAAAAAGCACAAATGTCAGTGCATGTCAAAACTTAGACCTCAGGGGTTAATATTTTGTCATAAAATGTATATTTTGACAAAATAAATTATATAATATAATTGAGGTTAAACCACTGGAGTCACATTGATAACTTTAATTATGTCTTTACTACCTTTCTTGGCCTTGAAAGTGGATACCAATCTCATGACCAATTCATATGAATTCATACGAGTGAGTAAAATGTGGCTGATTCGTATGAATTATCACGAGTGAGATTCATACAATTTGTCTAAACCCTAGTGAAGGTTAGGTTTAGGGGCGGGGTAGGTCATTGGTATAAAGTTGTACAAATTAGCCACCTCATAAAATCTGTACGAATTGCTGTGAGATCGGGTTTGTAGTTACGTAGTTTGTCAATGGAGGGACAGAACACTTGTTTCATTAAAAAGATCTTCATTTGTGTTCAGAAGATGAACGAGAAATCAGATTTGGAACAACATGAGGGTGCAGTAATTAATGAATTTTCATTGTTGGGTGAACTAACCCTTTTTAATCCAATGTATAAAGTATATCCAATTTAGTATAAAATATACTAAAATGAGGACTGACCCTGCTAAACCTGGATTATCTGTCAGTTGGTGCTGTCAGTTTGACTCATTTAAGGAATGTAAGTCCCAGCTGCATCTGCTGCCTGCACGGAACCCATGTGCTCTCTGCGTACAACCCTCGTTCTCAGCGTTTTGATGTTTTATGATTTTGGACAGTCAGTTAAGCTCTAATCCCATGATGAAAAGGCTTCAGGATGGCATATGGAATGTGAAGTCAACTGTAACACCAATAAGGGCTTCATCATTAGTCTTTAATTAGCTCAAGTTGTGCGGGTTTGATTTTCTGTCTGTGCCACATATTGTTGCAAGACGTTCAGACAAACTTTAGGCAATTTGACTCGATAAACAATTGCTTTCCCATACAAACTTTTTTAGCTGCTTTTAATGTTTTGCATGCATCCATATACTCATCGTATACATTATAAAGGTTTACCTTCTATTGATTTTTCTTTAAAATCGTGCTATAAAATAATATAAGTCCGAATTGAATGTGATATTTTCAGAGACTTAAATGCATGTTATTTGTGACTAAATTAAACTTTTAAACTGATACTAAATGAATAGTGTTATTTTTAAACCAAATTGTGACTTCAGTACATCTTTATATGTAATTTTTCAAAATTACTATTGTCATTAAAATATGAAAGTGCACTGTCGAATGTACTGACAAGCATTTATGGCAACTAAAATATACTTTCATTTAATTTTTCTTGAAACTTGTATATCATGTGTAAAATTTAGTGCAAATTTGGTGCAATTAAGATGTAAAACTACAGTTACAATTATAATCAAGTACAATACGGAGGCGTATTGCATTCACTTGAAGAAAAAAAATGTACTCTGTTTTTCTGAATTAACGAGTTAATTTTTCATGAGAAAAAAAAATTGCTCTGTTTTTCTGAATTAATGAGTTCATTTTTCATGAGAAAAAAAATGTTGCTCTGTTTTTCTGAATTAACGAGTTAATTTTTCATGAGAAAAATTTTTTTTGCTCTGTTTTTCTGAATTAATGAGTTAATTTTTCATGAGAAAAAAAATGTTGCTCTGTTTTTCTGAATTAACGAGTTAATTTTTCATGAGAAAATTTTTTTTGCTCTGTTTTTCTGAATTAATGAGTTAATTTAGAAAAACAGCAAAAATAAATTTTCTCATGAAAAATTAACTCATTAATTCAGAAAAACAGAGCAAAAACTTTTTTCTCATGAAAAAATAACTCATTAATTGAGAAAAACAGAGCAAAATTTTTTTCTTATGAAAAATTAACTCATTAATTGAGAAAAACAGAGCAAAAAATTTTGTTCTCATGAAAAATTAACTCGTTAATTCAGAAAAACAGAGCAAAAAAAAATTTTCTCATGAAAAATTAACTCATTAATTCAGAAAAACAGAGCAATTTTTTTTCTCATGAAAAATTAACTCGTTAATTCAGAAAAAACAGAGTACATTTTTTTTCTTCAAGTGAATGCAATACGCCTCTGTAAGTACATGTCCTTTAGTCAACACCTCAAAATAAGTGTTCTTAAAAGCATGCCAAAAAAATTAAAACATAATGATTTTACTTTAAGGTGAAACTTTTAATTTAACATTATTGCAAAGGGCTTAAGTGTGATAAAAACAGTATTGCACTCTCTTTTATTTAAGTAATATTATATTGTCTTTAAAATATATTGACATTCAACACAATTAACTGCACTCCTTTTTCACAAGATTTGCTTTGAAATCGTCTCCTGCAATACATTGTTGTTCTAGCTTTTACAATGAATCTGTGGAATAGATGGAAATACACACTCTGAAAAATGCTGGGTTGTTTCAACCCAAATTTGGGTCAAATATGGACAAACCCAAATGTTGGGTTAAAAATGTCATTTAAAATTTAAACTTTAACTTTCAACGATACATTTTTGTATTACATTTTTAACCCAACATTTGGGTTTGTCCATATTTGACCCAAATTTGGGTTGAAACAACCCAGAATTTTTAGAGGTCATGGAGGGCCTTCAATACAGCATTCTCATGCAATACAGAACATCTGTATGTCTTTAAATTATCCAAGAGATACGTATACGTTCTCTTTCATGCGGCCCAACCCTGAAAAGGGATTGTTCATGAAAACCCCAATGGTTCCTTTGAGAAACAGGAAGATTTCCATACGGGCTTCAATCGGTTTGTTTAAGAAGGTTGCAGTTGCACTCTTACCTGCCAGTAAAGTTAAGGTCCGAAAACGGTTCCTCTGCTTTTGTACAGTGTTTTAAACTCCAGTTCAAAAGTATAGATGTCTCTTTGTTGAAGGTTTGACCATCTTTTGGAGTTTCCTAGGGAACTTGCAGCTTTGATTTGTGTTTTGGTTCAGTGTCTGGTGGCAAAGGTGAATGAGCATGACCCATTATGTCGTCAATGGATACAACAACAAAACCTTGCATGAGCTCTATGTAATTATGTGTTTCAGTGATAAACCAGGGCGCAGTTTCAAATTCGAATGCTCAGCGTTTCCATGATTTCAGAACCTATTCCAGGCAGGCAAATGTGTTCTGAATATCAATGCATCTGCAATCCACATTCTGTGCAATTTATTCAAAAGCTTCAGCAAACTACAACAACACTATCTAAAGGTTGTGAAACATATGGATTAACATTCTGCCTGTTCGTTCCCCCCTTCCCCACCCATTGTTAAACTGTCAGGGCATGATGATGGCTGCTAGCTAAGAAAAGCATGTTTTCGATTTATAAGCATGTGTATTCGTTCCAATAGCATGTACCTTTGATTCCAATAAAAATAATGATTTGTCCATCTATTACAATTATGTGGCCTGATAGCCTAAAGTCTGAATTTTGATTTGAATGTTAAGTGTTTTGTCTCATTCTTGAGTCCCATTTACTCGACCAATCTGTCTGTCAGTACATTGGCCAACGCAATTCCCCATGATCCTTTAAGGGACTGCTGACTTATGTCAATTCTACAAACGTACATTACCTTGCAGTACAAGTGATGTCATCTCCTTTGAGAGTACGCTTACAAAACATGTTTGAATAGATATGCTGGAATGTGATTTTTAAATGTTGGCATTTCAACTAGCAAGCATAATAAAATCACTCTGTCTGATGTGTTTTTACAATGAGGGAAATGTGTTTTTTATCATTTTAAGGTCTGGTTTTATTCTTTCAATGCCCTAGGTCAAATATAAACTGAGAATTAAAAAAATAAAACGTGTTTATAATATAAATAACATATTTGAAAAATAAATCAATTATATATATATTAAATCAACAATAAATGAAAAAAAAATCGAATGAATTTTATATTTTTCTTTCAATCTCTCTCTAAACTCTTTGTTTAATGGCAACATTGGCCAACACTAACATTAGCATTATGAAAGTGAATGTCTCAACATATTATGGATGGATTTACAGTGCACTTTACCCAGTGGGTCAAGTTTTTGCTTTTTCATCCATATGCTCTTTCTTTTCTTCACACTTTTGTTGATTTTGACACATGGAGCCAAGCCTGCTGCTATATAAATATGATATCATGTGTAGGCTATTATCAGTACCATGTTGCATTGAAACTGCCCACTGGCGGTGAAAACAGTTCTTCAGTGATCTTCTCTATTATTTTAGCAGTAAAGCATGACACGCATTCTTTGTTTTAATGTAATTTGCTTGGTGCTGTGCTTGAGATGGATAATATCAACGAAAACCCTATTGCAGTTTATGCACACAGTGTCAGTGGCTCGCTCGTACTTCCTCTACATTTCAGATGGATCAAAGAAGACAGTTGGCGATGGATTCAGTGAGGGAAGTCTCGGGGTGAAGAATGCGACGAACACTCACTGTATCGACTTCAATATCAGCTCAAACAAACAGTTCGGTGCTGTAGAAATTCAAGCAGCACATATTACAGCCGGAGGCTTAAGATATAGATCTCTGATGAATGTCCATTTCATTTTTCAACACTTAGTTTGAGGTCTGAAATACATCAGGCTCCCTCAACTGACCTCCTTGGATAGATTCAAAATCCAATATGTTCAGGCTCAGAAAGGAGTTCACAATCTATAACAGTGTTTCCTATTCCTGCCCTGTAGGTTCTCAAACTCCTCAGGAGCCTCAATGGACACGAATGGGAAATGCTGCCCGATACGATTTAAAACATGCTTTATTAAAGGTTTTAAAGGCATTTTGATTTTGCTGAGTCAAACGCATTCCTGGGTCAACATTCCTGTCTGAAAATGTAGTCCTAACCAGGGGTGCATTTCCCGTACAACGTCGTAGTTCGTTGCTTCACTACCATAGTATGATGCATCGTTGGAGAAATCAACTAGCTAGTCACGACTGAAACTCATTGTCGCAAAGTATCGTTCAACCATGTTGGTTTCGCGCGTGGTGGAATAATAACTGCTTTTAATGAAACTGATGCAATTGACGCTAGATTTTTAAATATAAATTACAAATATGTAATCTGAGGACTATTTCTAATTGTTCTCAGTTGTTTTGCTTCATTACCAGACTCAATATTTGTCTCGTTCTTACATAGTAGAGCACGTTCGCACATGCGCACTCTTCAAACACGTTACTTTAAATCTTTTGACAAACTAAAAGATGTAAATTATATTTGTATTTATTCTAAATAAAAGGCACCGGTTGTACTGAATGTCAGCTTGCTTATTTTGCTCAAGATAAGGATTTATTACGTCCAAATGTCATGCAATATAGAAACGATGCCTCTAACTACAGGTCGAGAGCTGTCGTTCAAACCACACAACTTTGCAATACTGTTTGCGAATGTTCGTTGGAACGATGGTTTCGGGAAACACGACTCGTTGAACTATGCTGATAACGACGGAACTTGCGACCAACTTTGGCTAACAATGTTTTCGGGAAACGCACCCCATATCCATTAAACCCAACCCTACACTTAAGTTATCCCTAAAATTAGAGGGAAATGATGGGGTAAATAACACTCATGAAGAAGTATTGGTAGTAATCCTAAACTTGACATAAACTGTAATTGTCCCTCAAATCTGGGGTGCGTTTCCCAAAAGCATCATTAGCCAACTGTGTTCTGTCGTTATCAGCATAGTTCAACGAATCGATGTTTCCCGAAACTATCGTTCCAACGAACATTCGCAAATAGCATCGCAAAGTTGTGAGGTTGGAACGACAGCTCTCGAGCTGTGATTAGAAACATAGTTTACAGATATTTCTCTCTAGCTATACCAAATGCATATTCCTGGTGTTATTTTATCTTTGAATCTTTGTCATTTTCTTAACGCGATGCCTTCCTCTGAACATTATAAAATTGTCAAGCAGTTTTCAAAACCTGGGGTGCGTTTCCTGTACAACGACGTAGTTCGTTGATTCACTGCCATAGTACGATGCATCGTTGGAAAAATCGACTAGCTAGTCACGGCTGTTTCCCGAAACCCACTGTCGCAAAGTATCGTTCAAACCACGTTGGTTTCGCATGTGGTGGAGTAATAACTACCTTGAAACTGTTTGAGATCCAATTAACGCTAGATTTGTTTTATATAAATTACAGACATATGTGATCTGAGGACTATTTCTAATTGTTCTCAGTTGTTCTGCTTTATTACCAGACTCAATATTTGGCTCATTCTTACATAAGAGAATACGTTCGCACATGCTCTTCAAACACGTTACTTCAAATCTTTTGAAAAACTAAAAGACGTAAATTAGTTGGCTAACGATGCTTTCGGGAAACGCACCCCTGATCAATAAAGTCTAATGTTGTCCAATTTTCTTTGAATATGTGCTTTCATTCCGCAAAAACATCCCATTTTAGAAAGTAAAATATGTTGAAGATTTTGTTTAACATTGCCTTTTATGTCAACTGGAAATGTTAGCTTTTATTACAGACATCAAATCTTAAAAAGTTGAAGGTAAATTCCGCATTCAAATCATTCTGCGTATTAAAAATCTTTTGGATCACTAGATACAGTCCCTGCTTTCAAACACGTGAGTTTTATGACGGATGCATTTTAACATAGTTTGAAGCTGGATTATGAGTAGCGCTGAAAATAAAGTGGTTGTCTTTGGCTAAGTGGAACACATGAAGAGTTCAGATGCAAAAGCCTCTAAACGCCATTTGAAATTTTCTTCTTTAATGATGATTTTTGTCGAACTTGTATATTTAAGTTCAGTAATTTCACTTAAATAACAATTAATAGGTAATTATCATTGCCATTTAAGTGAAATCACTGAACTTAAATATACAAGCTTGACAAAAATCATCATTAAAGAAGAAAATTTCAAATGGCATTTAGAGGCTTTTGCATCTGAACTCTTCATATTTAATAAACAATACATGAACAGCACATATTTCAAGTTGTCACATTGTTTTAAGTTTATGCATGTTCACATTCATCTTTTCAGCAAACTCAGGGCAGTGGATCCTTAAAAATTCAGTTCATATTTGCTACAATTGGCAGTTCATAAGTGATAAAAAACAGATGGAATCAATGAACAACTTCTATAGCTCTTCCATGGCTTTCCTCCATTTAGAGGGTTCTATTATGCCCTTCTTGATTTTGTTTTTGGGGTGTACTATGCTTTCATGCTTGATTGTAAAAAAAAAAAAAACATATTTTACATTATTACAGCACCTCTCTCCCCAGTCTGTCCTGAATGCACCATTTAACAGTTCCTGTTTCAATGAAGCCCCTCCTTCTAAAATACAACATGTGCTGTGATTGGCTAGCTGGCCCAGTATAATGTTATAAGCTATTGGCTTAGCACATGTTCAGAAAATGTCACGCTCATTACCATAAATGTGAATTCTAATCAGATGTAAATATTAAGGATGGTGTCAATTTCAAACCATTTCAAGCCTGATTCAGACCTAAGAATGTTGACAAACCAAAAAATTGTCCAGAACGTATTTCACGCACATTTGTTTCATACAGTTTAGATATGAACTTATACACCATTTAATCGTGATATTTGTCCGAAATCTATGGTAATAGCCTACAAACAGTAAACGATCACAAAACCATGGTTCGTATTTTCCTAAGGGGCGGTGAACCGTCTTACAAAAGCAAGAGCTTCCAAAAGCTACAGTGTTAGTTAGCAAGCTAGCAGAGGCAAAGCTTTGCCCTTCGTTTATATCGAATCAACGACATAAAACGTATAATTTGAACTGTTAATAAAAAACGCAACTACAAATAATAAGACATACTACAAACAACAGATTGTACCATCAAAGTAGGAACTGCTCTATTTCAGGAGAAGCTTTTGTGTGTATAGCCTGCATTGCACACTCTTTTGGAAG